ATAATGGTCCTCAATTTGTAAGTAATATTTGAAGACATGTGCCAAAAAACTGGGCATACGTCATTTAAAAATGGTCCCGTATCGGCCGCAATCAAATATAGCGGAACGGGTCAATAGAAATATAGTGAAAATTATCCGTAGTTATGTTAAAAATTTTCATAAAAGCTGGGATAACTATGTCAATGAATTTGCTTTCGCCCTTAGGACCGCAAAACATGATACAACGGGCAAAACTCCTGCTGAGTTATTTTTAGGCAGAAAGATTATAACGCCGTTAGATAAATTATTTTATGTGCAACAAAGAGCCCCAGAATTTAAAATGGGTGATATAGAAAAACTAATTAAAGAAGAAGCAAAAAAAGATACTGAAGTAGCACAGAGAAAACAAAAGCTTGTATTATTATGACTTGAAACGACGGGGAGTAACTTATAAAGTAGGGGATGAAGTATTAAAAATTAAGCATTCACTTTCTTCAGCACCAGAAGATAAAACTGCCAAATTTTTTCCACGATTTGAAGGACCATATGTTATAGAAAAAAATAACTCACGCTGTAGTAGTAGTGTTAAAAGCCAGGAAATGGTGAAACCTGCTCCGCAAACATTGATCAAATCAAAACCCTACTATGATCGTAATAAAATGCAAATATTTTCAGATCTTTTGCAGGATCCGGCACGGCAGACACCGCAGGCACAAGCTCCAGAGGTGGAACAACGACAAGTACAAGGGCAAGCCATTATGAGAGGCAGGAGCAAGTGAAAAGAAAGTTTCCCCGCGGAAAATTGAAGGTAACAAGAAAAAAAGAAGCCGTTCCACCGTCCAGAAAAGAGAGTTCACGAACACCCCCAGAATGAAGAAGGGAGAAGGACGACGTATGCAAAGAGAGCCAGGAGAAATGACGGCAACTATAACCCGGCTCTAAAACGGAAGATCTACTCATCCGACAGGACAGGACTCTCCGCAGCAAATGTCGCCGAACTGCGGAAGGGCCACCAGCGGCGGAGGAAAAGTTACAAGGAAAAATTTGAACGGCCAGCAACGAGGTCCAAGCAGGAACACGAAAGAAGTTTCCCGGTTCCGCCAAGACCAGCTGCCATCAAACGGCCAAGACCACAGGCAGAGGCGAAAAAAAAAAAGAAGGTATTCAAGGGTGACCGAACTGGAGAAAAAGAAAGCTTCCAGAGGAAGGCACTGAAGGGCGAGCCCGCACAAGAAGGAGGATAAATCAAACTAAAATCTGCGCTACCTTCCAGGACTGGGCCCAGAAAAGAATGTCCGAATATCACAAAGATAAGTAAAATTTTATGTTACTTTGCAAACTTAAGTTAATCTTTCATTCTTACTGCAAGTGGCAGATTTCAAGAAGTTTTACCTCATGCGAGGTCTACCTTTATCGCCAAAAGGGCGAGAAAGAAATGAGTTGTTACCGATTTTGGTATTATGTTTTTCAATTACTCGCGCGTAAAACTAAAGTTGATGTATAATAGCGTGTAAAAGACTTAAATATTGTAAAAAAGTTATTGTATAAATTTTATTTAAAACATTCTGGCAAGAAAGAAGTTTTAGTCTGAAAGACTTTTTGAAATGTAGTATTTCAATGTAGAAGAATTGGCACTTGCTTTGAAAAGAATAGAAGTTAACAATGTACTACTAATGTATGTTTTCAAATGCGTAAAATTAACGGCATGTTAATATGTTCTTATATACAATGTGAACTGTTATTTTAAATGTTAAGAAATACCGTGATGATATGGTAAAAGTGAAAGTAATGTTAAAAATTTTTATTCGTGTGACTGTAAAAAGATTAAATCATGGTGAATATGTGTTAAAGGTTGAAAGGTTGAATGATGTAGTTAGGCTCTCTGACGCTACACTTCAGAGTTAGCCACTTTCAGAATAGTACCTCAGGGTTTAGAGTTGAAATTAGGGTGTGTTAAGAGGTCTTGTTATGTTGAATTTTAACACGTTAGTGTTTTGATTGTAGGAGGAAGTGTTGAACACGTATACATAAACACATTCGTGTTTGGTGTTCTTTTACAACACATGTCAGAGAGCACGGGGAGAGATAATTAAAATAGTCATGAATGAAATAAGAATGTTAAGAGAAATATAAATATGCATGTTACTTGCCATTTCATTGTGTAACATTTCATTAAACTAGTTTTCCTTCCAGATCTCTGGAAGGAACCAGATTTGAATAAAAGCTCCTGTTTAGATGCAGTACAGATGAAAAAATTGTTGTCCTTGGGAGCTGCTATTGTAAAAACAAATTTCTTTTTTTTAAATTTCTAGTTTCTAGCTGAGAAATGTTTGTAAAAGATTGGCCTCGCGTTAGATTCTAGAGCTAAAAGTTTTCAACAAGGTCGTTTTAGACCTCAGTTTCAAACTAATTAACTCTGGCGGGAAGTATGTAAGGATCTTAAGTTTTACTAACGTTTATTTTATTTTAAATCTTTACTATCACTTCTTATTTTCTACTTCCGGCCAGAATTAAAAGCGTTAACTTATTTATGCAAAATTTGTCTGGCGAACGCCAAGTATTTAAGTTGTGGCTTTTTGCCAAGCAAGAGAGAGAGAGAGGAAGGAGTGAGTTCGAAGCAGGCCGCTTACCTTAGAAGTTTTACTCAGTTGCTGGTTGCCTTCCAGGCCAGAGGTTTTAATCCTCTTGATAATTTTAAACGTATTGTAGTGTTCACAGTTCTCTGTACTACATACGGCTTCCTGTTAATATAAGGCCAATCTTCCACGTTTATTATTCCAAAGTTAAGTTAGAGTTTAGTTAATATTTTTATATTCTTACGTTTAGACCACAAGTAGGTGGGTCTTTGTATTCCGAAGTACGGAAATTATTGTAAAGAGAGAAAAATAAAGGGTTTTGTATACCCTTCTTGTGTATCCTGTCTACTTCCCACAATTATTGAACATAGCTTTAGTAAGCTCTCTGTTCCGAGTCAGGTCCTTGCATGTTCCCAAAGAAGTAAGAAGGAACATTGAACCTGATAATATGAAAATTATTTTTTATCTCCTCGTAGCGTTTCAGGTTTTAATTGTCTCGGACCAAACTTATAAGTAAAAGAATGGTTACAACTCTGGTTATATTTATAATATAAAAAAAAATAGCATCGCTGATATATTATCAGTTTAGGGAACATAGGTATGGTAAATATAATAAATAATGATTCGCCAGGTTGGCCTCAGGGATATAAAATATTACTTAGTGTAAAATCAACAATGTTTCTATGTAGATTGTTTTGGTTTGAGATGTATGCCACACACAAATTTATGCTAAAATGATTATTTCTTTAATAATGAGGTATTTTATTCAGTGCTGAAGTGAGATTAAGAATCAGGATTCTCCGCATGTTTTATTATGAGAGGGGAAAACCAAATGCGCATGCGTAAAACATACAAAAAAAAAAAAAAACTTAAAACAAAAATGGCTGGTGGTGGCTTTTAAGTCCGGATTTTAGATCATTTCAGATATTGGACATCCAGATCTCAGACTTTGTACAGTATTTAGTAACATACAAAATACTTATACTACATATACTCATAAGAGTAGTCATACATGAATAGTATGTAATTGCAAATTCAAGACGATTCAAGACGAAATTTTTGAGTTATTGGACATTATTTAGTTGCACTTAATTTATTATTTAGTTTTATTTACATTTAATTATTTAGACATTATACAGTTTTCAGGTTACTTTTATTGAGCGGATGTCATTAAAAAAAAATTTTTTTTTTTTAAATCCCTCTGAAAATTATTACTGGAGTTCTTCTGAAGACACAAACACCATCATTTCTCCTATAGTCATTTCAAGGAAATGTTCATTTAATGGAAAATTTTTCATCGCAATCTGGCAAAATTTAACAAATTTATGATAAACTGAAACATTCATTTTGTTCGGATTATTTCACAATGAGCTTAGAAATAACGAATTAGTGGTTCCATAAATATGGAACATACCAATACATAACCCATGTATTTGTATGCCATTAGAATGATGATTCTATAGAGACTGCTTCTTCAAATTGGTATTCTCATCTTTCAATCCAGTTAACCAGAAGATACTTACATGCAAAAAAGAAAAAAGTGAGTATACAACAACCAAATTTGATTCACAAATATAATTTTGAAATGCATTGAGTCGATCTATTAGACAGAATGTTGAGCAGCTACTATCCTCCAGCGATGCAATAAGAAATGATGGCAAAATTTATTTGCAAATGCATTCAATATGACTGCCATAGCTGAATGGCTTTTACATGCAGCAAATCACAGAAAAAGTAACCTTTCTCCCTCACTAAGAGTTCTGTTCAGAAGTTACAACTGCTCAGTTATGAATTACTTCAAGAAAGGAAGGATGTCAACAATGACCAAACATTCATTTTATATCACATATATAGTATTTATGTCACAGTGGAAAGGGATGGCCAATACCTCATGGCAAAATCTAAAGATAAATGTGCACAGTGTGGAGTAAATGCAAGATAAGAATGTAATGAATACAAAAAAATAAGATTACATTTGTACTGCTTTCCAAAATACCATGGGATGCAGATATAAAATCAAATATTATACAGTTTTCGTCCAAAAAAGGGGGTTGGGGGGAATTTTTTCATTTACATTTATAAATTTTAAGTTGAACTTCATATGTACTTAAATTTAAAAATTAATAATTTCTTACTATTTTGCTTATTATTTTGGCTGTTTATTATTATATTCCATTTTTAAGACCAACATAGTGAAAAGTACTCAATGTTCCCAGCTTGAAAAAAAAAAAAAAGAAAGAAAGAAAAAAAAAGAAGAAAAAAAAGAAAAGAAAAAGAATTTAAAAATTTTTTTCCCACTTTAATGACTGATACTTTTAAACTAAAGATTAGAAGATGAACAAAAATGCAACTAAAAATGTACTTGTACATAAATTCAGCCTTTAAAAGATTAAAATTCTTAAGAAAAATAGGATTATTGAAATACATAAAACGAAAAATAAAAACCTTATGATCAAGCACATGGAGCTCTTCCAGGAGATCTTCCCTATCCGAACTTTCTAAAAGTAACTTGTGAATGGCATATGCCTCTTTCTCTAATCTTCGCAAGTTTGATACCAGAGATCTAAAAATACAAATTAAAGGGTAATTTGACATTTTATGTAATGGAATTTGGGTACTTACATATTAGTGAAATCACCTTAGTAGAAACTGCTCAATTCTAGCAACACATAGCAATCCTTCAGTTCTAAAAAGTAACACCAGCAATTTTATGTATGATTGTTTTGGTTGAATTTTGAATCCTGCTGTTTGTGTAGAAAAAACGTGTTTTTTTTTTTTTTTTTTTTTTTTTTTTTTGTTAGTTTTAAAATATTTGTTTGTAGAATTCACCTGTAGTGGAATAAACTGATGTAAAATTTCCACAGCAGTGCAGTAATTTGTCGCAAAATCGCTATTCTTATACTGATCACTAAAACATTTCCTCCAGAACTTTTAATGTAAGAAACCAAAACTGACTTGTAAATTGGCTTACTGATTGATTTTTGGAATAAATACCTTATAAAAATATAAAGCATTTATGTCTGTAACAAATGTTTTGCAGTCATAAATCACCATTCTTTTTCTTCTATAAAAAAACAGCCAAAGTGGTTGCATTAATATGCTAGTACTACAATTTCATAGCTAATTTAACCCTTAATTATTTTTATTAGAATTTATATTCTGCTTAAATAAGCTGAAGAAGTATTTTATACCATATTAACTTATTTGTTGATCAAAGAAATAAAGTGTACGATTAAAAGAGGCACAAAGGTAAACAGAAAGCAGAAATAATAAAAATAAAATTTAAGAAGCATGAATAACATTTAAAATAATGAGTACAAATCCAGAGAAAAATGTTTCAAACCTTATGTTTTCTTGTAATTGCAAGATTGGGCCTCTCTGATCTTCAATTTTCAACAGCTGAAGCTGAAATCTCATATACTGTAATTTATCTGTGGCTTCTTTTTTCCTTGGTTCAACGTAAAGTAGCAGATTGTTTACTACATCAAGAATCATGGCATATTGAAGAGAATTTGTACAAATATCTAAATCATGATGGGTGAGTGTAAAAGAATCTACAGCTACTTCTTTCTCCCATAAATCATTATCTTCTGGCTGAATAAAATAATTTAAAACTATATAATATGTAAACAGATACTATAATAACAAAAAAAGTAAGACAGTTAAATACTAAAATTATTAGTTTACCTAATTTAAAAAAAAAAAAAAAAAAAAAAAAGATATATAATGAATATTAAAACAACAGGTAGTGGAATATTATTTTACAACTAACTATACACTTTTGAAAAACATTTACCAGAGGTGGCACCTCTTCTAAACCACTAGGATTGATATTTTCTCCATAGCCGGCATAAAAAAACTGACAACCACATCGAGACACAATTCTCTGTAGTTGAGTAGGAGCTGATTGTGGATCAGAAGTAGCACCTACAGTACTACTAACTACGCCACCAGCACTATGGCCACTTCCAACTAAATCAGGAAGATCACTAATCACCATAGATTCTTTTTCTTCTATATTATCAACAGAAAGCCACATCACATCATCCACAGATGGACTCGGGCTGCCTGCGTCAACAGTTGCATAATACTGAAAAGCAATAATTAGCAATCAGAATCTTTCACATGAACTCATATTATATTCAATATATTCAGTTCTGCAAACATTTTTCTATCATAACTTTCTTGTTGAAAATAAAAGTTCAATTTAAATTTGGCAAGAAAAGTATCTTCCTCATCCCCCATGAATTTTTGATACACGCAGAATAATATACTTCAGATATGACAAGCTTATTCTCTGCTTGGCAAATCAATATATATAAGCTAAATATAATCAATAGAATAACCAAATGAATTTTGACTAATATATATATGTATATAAACATACTGCAATACATCATAGTTGTTACCATAATAGATTTATGGCAAAAGAGTACTATTCGGTACAAAATAATAATACAATATCACTTCACATTAGATAGCATTTTACTGAAGGCAAAATGAATCTAACAGAAAAGTGAACAGCACGCACCAATATCTGTTAAATAGCTAATTTATGGCTCAATCACTATGCACACATGCAAAATAAATAAATAAAATAAAATAGATAAATAAATAAATAAAATTTAAAAAAAATAAGAATTAATTATTTAGATCTGTAATCTACAGAAAACAGCAAAATCAAGATTTGTGTCTACATTTACTGAATCTTCCAGAACTTATTGACCATTTGCATGTAATATTTCAACTTATTATTTTTTTAGTTTAAAAGCAATTCATTTGAAAAAGGCACATGATATTGAAAATGAATATAATTTTATTCTACATACAGCAAATTAATATTTGTATAGATGCTTAGATAAAATACATGAACTTCAACAATATAATCACAGTTTTCAAAGAGTGGTTAATAAGAAATATTTTTTGAATAATGGGAATACTACATATAACATTCATTTGTTAAGTACCAACCAGATTGCCAATGATTTTAGCCAAATAATTACAATAATTGAAATAGTGATGTAATAAAAATTCTACATATAAAAAACAGCATATTTTACGTCACTTATTAGCACTTTTTTCTTTTCTTTTTTTCAAAAAAAAATCATACAATAAATAGATATATTTTATTCATTTTTTAGAATCATATTTTCAAGAAGGAATATTGATAACCTGCTTGCATAGACTAGCTGACAACCCCTCTACTGTTTGTGTATGACACCCACTTTGGGGGTCCATGAAACCATACTTGTTGACAGTAAAATGCTCAAAATCATCATTTCACAATTCATCCGACTTATATGCTTCCCACAATAGGTACTAACAGTAATTCCTTCCATGAAATTTTCCTTTATGGCATTTAATAAAGTTTTTGCTGATCAACTTGGAATGGTGATTAAAAACATTCTTTTGATTCTCTGCACAATCTGTGTGCTTTTTCTTTGAATGAAAAGGCTTTCATCTACTTAAATTTTGTCACATCCATTGATTTTCAACTTGAGCTCAGCTATTAAAGCTATGGTACACACCTCATGCATGTAACTGTTCCAGTACACAATTGTATAATGTACTAAATCAAAATAGTGGGTACATTTATTTAGTTGGAATACACAAAATTCAATAGATGTAATCTTCTGACTCCAAAAATGGATGAACCTTATGGCTCTAAGGTGATTTTCTGATCCTTCAAGCCAATTTTGTGGGCTTAACCTTTTCTTCCACCACCAGATAGTACAGTGGTTAGGGAAGCTAACTGCAATACCAAAAGGCCTGGGTTCAAATCCTGGAGAAGGCATAGTTGTAAATGTCTGTCCCTTCATATAAGGCCTAGATAGCCCACCTATTAGCTGCCTCCATACTAAAGGGACCACAACTTATGGCCTTAATAGTGGCTAAACTGAAGTCAGCTGAGGGCCATTGGAAGGGGACCTTTTCTTCCTATAACAGTTATCAATAAAACACAATTTTCTCTCATGGTACTTTTGGGGAAAATTTTTTTATCAAGAATAAAGTCTTTTTTTTTTTTTTGAAAAAATTCTATTGCATTTTTAGTAATTGGGGAATTCCCAATTTTTTAAAATCCATAGCATTATCAAAGAATTCAAAAATTAAACCAGTTCTCAACGGTGATTTAAAACTCTAGAACTATCTAAATTTATATGCAGTCTCAATTCCTGCATATTTAGAGAAATCTTAATTTATCTGAAGTTGGTGACTAAAAGGCATGTTTGCTAGATTTAGAACTCATTTGCGCATATATATTTGCTACAGTTTCGTATGGTCCTGATAATAGAATTGTACCAAAGCCAATTTGTATGTAAGCAAATGTATGTGTAATAGACAAAAAGCTCTGAACATCATATGTGTTGTAAAATTCTCTAAAGCCATTAATTCAAATATACCTAAAAATTTAATAAAAAATGTTAAATGTCTCTGTACAATGAAAATTATTGTAATGTATGCTACACAAGTAAAGGAAAATGATACTGCATAATCAAATAACAGTTTTTACCTGCATACATTCAAATGATCCGACCCATGTAGTTTTTGAGACAAGTGATCTATCTTTCCAAACAGGAATGTGCAACTTCTGTAATATTCTAGCCTTAGCAGCACTCACAATGACATAACCAGATGTTTCACAACCTTTCAACATTACTTGACTATTAACTAGTTCAACTAGAAGAAGAAAAATGATATTATAACATATTTTAAAAACTGCATTGATTTTCCTTACCATTGATAAAGCAATGAATTAGCGTAAACAAAAAAAATGCTTTGCCATGCATTCATAACATACCAAAAAAGATAATTCAGAACTTTCTCTGTTCTAAATCTAGCTTTATCTCTGTTCTAAATCAGAACTTTCTCTGTTCTGAATTATCTTTATACCATTTGTTTTAAAATTATTTTTCCTTCATTTATTTAAATTTTACAGTTACAATTAAATTTTAACAGAAATGAAAGCTTTTTATTCATCAGGAAGTCAAAACAGTGTTATATTTAACATCTTTTCAAGCGATAATAAAATAAAATCTTGAAAATGGAAATTCACTTTCATTATAGAACATGAAATAATAATTAGAACATGAAATGATAATTTTCCATTTCATTATAGAAATGGAAAATTACTTCATTGTAGTTCATTGTAGAACTAAAGTAATTTTCCATTTTTTAAACACACTACTCAACATTGAAAATGCAACAAGAAGAAGAAATGGCCTGAAAATCATGCAAATTTTACACTACTCAACATTGAAAATGCAACAAGAAAAAATGGCCTGAAAATCATGCAAATTTTAGGGTCGACACATATCACTGAGTTATCAGAATGATGTGAAATGTGCAGCTCTCCAGCATGTGTTGAAGAAAATATAAGAGAAGGAACCTGCAGAATATTCAGTTTTCGTGCTGTTATTTCTGCTAGGAAATCATTGTAGAAAATTTGTTGCCTTGTCTCAGAGGACAAGTATAATAGCAGGGAATGCCAGGTCACTGTCAAAGGAGACAGTTCCAGCAGACAGATGATTTTATGAAGGATGTGGGGATCAGAACGAGAACAGCAGTTTGGTCCATATGGCAAATCTCAGCTGACACACATCTGGATGCATCCACAGTGCACCAGCTGTGGCAACAATGGATGGAACAAGGAAATGTATCAAATTCGAGGGGTGCCTGTGCAATACTTGCCATAAATTTATTATATTGAATGACAGGAAGTGGTTTTGATTTCATTTCGCCTCTTTTGTTTGTCGTTTCTACAATATCATACTTGTATTCATTAAAAATATAATTTGTCTCTTATCCTTCCATTTGCCAATCATAACACCATTAGCATACTTCGCTATAGTTTTCCCTTTCTTCAGCTTTTTCTCACTAACTTCTTTCAGAAATGTCTTTTTGTTCTTTCTAATTGTCCCAGCACAATGAGTGTACCTATCGGCAAGGCATTTTGCCAGTTCATAGCTATTATAATAGATGTCTATAAATACACTATGCCCAACATCTACAATTCCTTCCAATAAATTAATCACTACATTTTGTGCATGTTCTTTTCCTCCAGAATCTACCATAATACTGGTATACACCATAAAATTTGAAAACCATACCATTAGGTGTTGTGATCATATATAACTTGATACTATATTTATGGCATTTGTTTGGAATAAACCATTTAAAAATGAGCCATCCATGCCATAATATCATCGACTCATCTAAACTAATCTCTCGTCCTGGGTAGTATACTCCAGCAATCACATGTTGAACAAACTCACCATACTTCTAATTTTATACAGTCGATCTTTTGGGGATTCTGCACTTTGCTCTGGAATTGTTGTGAACTGCAATGCTCACAGCAATAAAAGAAAACGATTCCTGCTCATATTATATGAGAATACACTCAAGCCAAAAGTGTATCTGTTTTTCAGTAATCTTGAATGCAATTTATTCTTATAGTTTCCATATGTAAAATTAATCCTACATATACCAACATTCATCTTTTGTGGTTTCCTTCCCAGCATTAATTCTAGAATTTTCTTTCTTTCACCACAGCAAAGTACAAGCATAATCATTGGTTTGAGCAATTATTTCATCCAAAATATTATCGGTAAATAAATGATGAAAGTAATTAATCAGATTGTGACCTGAAACAGGTTGCAACAAACATTCTGATTTTGTGATAGGAAACTGTCCCATTGCTGTGGGGTCACTTTTCCGAACTCTATTTCCTACCATAGCGGAATCATGCTGATGATATGTCACCTCTTGTATATCTTGCAACTCTTCATCTTCCTTCTCAGAATATGAAATACGAGGTAACCTAAAACGTTCATGGCATTTCTGATATGACATTGGAAATGTGAACCCGAACATAAAAATAGTCACCAAATCTGGAGATGGAGTGGTTAGGATGGGAGTTCGGACATTGACCAAGCGTATAAAAACGTGTTGCATCGATATTTCAAACATAACTCCCACAGCAACTGATTGAAATGGTTGTGTCAAAGGCACTCATTCGGAGTTGTTTGCTGTATGATTTTAAAGTGAGCCTGATTCCAAGGCCTTTAGGGATGCCGTTAATGAATGAACCCCTATGCAATGTTTCCAGAAGTTCAGGTCAGGGGATATGTCTCTTAGAGATGCAACACGCAGCAGCTGGCTTCACATGCTGGGCAATGAAGCCCTGAGAGCAGCCATAGAGAGTGACAGTAACCAAACATGTGGTGAACTTGCTGCACACTTCTAGTTATCTGAAGAAATGATCAGACGCTATTTGCACCACATAAGAAAGGCATACAAGCTGAGCAAGTAGGTACCCCACTCGCTGTCTGATGCAAACAAGCAACAGTGTGTTGCTGCCTGTTTATCACTGCTTACTCGGTACCTCAATGCTTCCATATTTGATCGAGAAATCACCAGCAATGAAAAGTGCATCCAGTATGACCTACTATGCATTCCAGACATTGGTTGTCACCACGGGACCCTGTGCCTCACACTACAAAACCTTCTCTCCACCCACGCAAGATTATGTTCTGTATCTGGCTGACTAATCGCCAAATAATGCACTATGAGCTTCTGCCAGTGGGTCAAACCATCCCGGCAGGCCTGTACTCGCAGCAGCTGGGACATGTGCATCAGGCACTGATGCATAAGGCCCATATCACACGGCGTTTGTTTCACACAACAACTGTTTTGGACAATTTTGCTGCCTGGTCTACTATTGAAAGAAAGACGTGCAACTTTTTTCTTCCTTTTCAAAAAAATTGCAGGTTGTTCCTTATCAACCAATCAGCTATCAGCTTCGAATGCTATCAGCATGTGTAATGGGGAACCAGTTTTCCCTGCCTTAACCCCAAAGCCATCTGTGGTGATTGGCTGTTGTGACAAAGCAGAAAAATTGTTCCAAACAGTTGTTCTTCTGAAACAAACCGACGTGTGATAGCAGCCTAAGGAGCCAGCACTGGTCAACTGTAAGGGTAGGGTCTGTACCTAGGCAGTCTCAACCACAGGGGCATACAAACAGTCTTCACAGGACTAGAACCCGAGTATTGTACTTAGGTTGGTTCAGGCTTGGCAAGGACTGTACTGGTACTGTCGTGTCCGTTCCTCTGGCTGTGGTGGAGCTATATGTAGATTTATGTGGGTCTCTTCGATGGGGGTTTAGCCCTCATAATCCCAGTGACGGGGACTGACAGAGTAAGGTGAGGCACCCACACGAATGTATCTGATGCTGAGGGAGTGGTGCCCCGAGGCAAAGGTGTCCTAGTGTATTTCTTTGTATTAAGCTTCTTTTTTACCTCGCCGAGGCTATGTATAAAGCCGGGCAGGGACTATGGGGTCTGCATCGCCACTGATGAGTCCCTTCTAGAGCCCGTTTCATCTAAACTTTGTAAGGAAATTCCAGGTCGAAGGTTCGGTCTCTAGCGCACGGTCAACTGTAAGGGTGTACTCCTCCTCCATGACAATGCAAGGTCACATGTGGCTCAGGAGGCCAAGGACACCATTCAGCAATTTGGCTGGGAGACACTAACCCATCCACTATACTTCCCAGATCTCACGCCAACAGACTACCACCTTTTCCATTCCCTGGACAACCATCTTCACAGGAAATCCTTCAACAACTGACCAGACCTCAAAAAGGCCCTCACGGACTTCTTTGTGTCCAAGACTCCTAAGTTTTACCACAATGGTGTTGCATAGTTAGCCACTTGTTGACAAAAGGCACTGGATGGTGATGATGATTACTTTGATTACTAGCAGTGATTATTATTTGTTTTATGACTGTCCAAAACGGCAAGAACGTTTTTGGTTACCTTGTATTATGGACATGTTGGGAAGGAATGAAATCTTCATCGCTGTCATAACTAACATCACTTGGGTACTTGCCCAAAAGCTCAGCCAACAAATTTGCTATTTCCTCATCTGTTAGAGGCTTATTACATTGTATTTTTCTTTTTTTTGGGTACGTGAAGTCCCTGCAGAAATATCATCTCTAGAACTCATAATGCAAGATTTTTTAATATCTAATAAAGCTATAAATTCAAAACCACATACCTTCACAACTAGTTTTTAACCCCTTTACTCCGCGCCAATACCAGCAGACACATCTAACATATAATGCTGACTGAAGTGGAGACTAAATATTAAGGCGATGCTCTTCCCACTTGAGCGCATAGTTGGCTAATGTGACATCACTCCACACCCCGCGCTGGCGCATGATTGGCTCTTTAACATTGACGCCACATCCCAAGCTAGTGTGAGATCAGCAGCGAAAGTGTTAATTTTTTTTTTAATTTATTTATCTGCTTTAAAATATTGCTAACAATTACCTAACAATAATTATAATTTTAATTGACATTTTGAAAATTATATACACAAAAAGTTACTCATAAAAATATTAAATATGGTTTATAAGTGGAATAGGTTATTGCAGAACAATTTAGTACAAAAGTTCAGCACACAAAATACAAATAATATAATACAAATCAATAAAAAAAAAAAAAGAGTATCAGTGAAATATGATCACAAAATTGGTAGGAAAAAAATTATGTATTATTTTGCATATTCTTAATAATAGTACATTGTAAAAACTTTAAACAGTATCTAGTTTCATATCATAAATTTATAGATAAATGATCAATAAACAATGTCTTCAACAGTTTTTTTTTTTTTTTTTTTTTTTTTTAACGAACACTGATATACTAAATCTGCAATGCATTAATTCTGTGGTACAAGAATCAGAAATTGTAGAGAAGTAAAAGAATAAAAATCTTAGTACTGAGCCATTTTTTCTGTAGAACATCATTAGTCTGACATGCAGCGACACCGTGAAGTTGCTGTTCTCGTGTAGTACCTTCAATCTATAATAAAAAGAATCAACTTTATGTGCAAAAAAATTTTTTTAAACTGATATAAATAATAAACAGTATGAATCTAAAATACATTACAGACTCTGCAATACCAAAGTTCATTCTTTTCATAGACATTTTCATCCATACCATTTATAGATGTATCATAGTTTCAAAGGAAAAGATGATAACATATAATTGCTGAGATAGTTTTAGTCATAATTATTGTAAAATACATCTAACGTTTTCAGGCAATTATACCATTATCTAATGGCATATATCTCCATTTTAAATATAGTCACTGGTTATTGAATTTGAAATCATTATACAAATTACTGAAACAATTACTCATGGTACTGTGATGTAACCACAAGAGTGACGAGAAAAAAAAAATGATACATACATCTAAATTTAATATGTTTTAACCGTATTGTGGTTTACATTTTCTAAATTTAATAACTTTTTTAAATAAGCATATAAAAGGGCACTAAATATTACATATAATGCACTTCCTTAGTAATGTAAATATACATCCTTAGTACTTAATATTTATGAATGAAAATGTTATTTTATTGTTCTTTGAAATATTTTCTTTATTTTGTTATTCCCTAGCTATTTTTTAATAGCTAGTACTTTTAAAAAACCATAAAATAACTTAATAAATATTTTATAGAGCATTTCAAAGAAAGAAAAATGTTACCTCTTCTATAAAAACAGTAGGGTTAGCTTCTGATTCTGCTACCAGTTTTTGAAGCATAGAAGCTACATGACTTGACTGAAGACTACTAATCGGACTAGGACCTACTGAAGAGTTTTGTGACATACTTGTTTGAGCTCTAGATCTCTAAAATAAAATATATGTAAGTCAAGATACAATGCTTATACAACGCAATTTAAAAAATAACTGGAGCTTGCAAATCATCAACTGAAAAGATTACAAATTAACTCAATTTAAAAACACAGTTAATATAGACTAATAAAATACATTTAAATTAGCAAAGCCTAGTAATGAAACACAACATCAGCATACCTAAAAAGAAATTGTGGCATATACATCAGCCTTGTTATGTCTCAATTAGCATATGCTAATTAAAAGCAAATAATATCATTACACCTAAAAAAAAGATCTGTGAACTGAAAAATGAGGCTTATTCTCAAGCAGCAGTATATTCCAGTATTAAATGTCACACATATAGGATTGGACAATAAGTTCTGGGAAGAAAGAATTCATTCAACTTACATCTGTTACTCAAAACCAAGGAACAAAAAATTTCTTACTATTAAATTTTGAATTTTATTCATCAAATAGCACGTTTGAAGCAGAGAAATGAATCATCTATTTTATATACAACATATTATGTTTAATAATGTCCATAGAATGCTCATAAAACATTTAATAATGTCCATTCATTCACATGCTACAATTTGATAGAATTTATTCAATGAATTCTGCTGAATTAAATGAGCATTTTTAAATATAAATAACTTTGTCCAATTTTAGATAAAAAATTACAAAATGATCTGAAAGATGGTTAACTCATATTTTCTTTTAAAATGCAAAATTCTGTTTCTTGATTTAAAAGCTGGTAAAAGTTTTCCTCTCAGAATTTTGCTTCATAATTTTGCCATATTTTATTCCAATTACTTGTATTCTTTTTCTCATAAGTACAAGATAAAGCTACTACTAAAATATATTTGTGGTACATCTGTATACCATAGGTATACCCAAGGTATGATAATAATTTTTATCTCTCAACAAAAAATCTTTAAAAAATAAAATAATATCATACTTTAATATGCACAAAGATTACAACAATTCCCACTCTGTGCATGTATGTTTACATAATAAAACTGTTTAACTCTTTTTTAAATTTATTTCATTTTAATTTTCAACAAAAATAAAATCTTTAAATTTTGTTTACACTGTACTCTACAGAATATAGGAAAAATAAATAAAAAATATCAAAAATTACATTCCTACTTTTAAAGTTATTTAAAAAAATGGGAGTTTAAATTAATCATAATATATGACAAAACATAACTTTCAAATTTAAGAGCTTTTTAAAATAGCTAATTTTAAATTTTCAACTACACAGTTTTTAAATATATTAAATGCAGTTTTGATCAGAAGCTTTACTATCAAGCCATTATACATGAGCTATGAGAATTACTTTAAAAATTTTGCCATTTTTTTACCAATATATGATATAATCTTAATGAATATAACATACACAATAAATTATAACATTTTGAACTTTTCCATTACAAGACAATATGTACTGAGCAATTTTCTACAGAAAGATACAAATGTTGCCTAAGGTTACTGTTAAATAAATGTTCTTGTTTTCAAAGTAAACATTATAATTTTTTTTTAATGTCACACATATCATATATATATATAAAAAAATTTTAATGATAAATAATTTATTCTATTAATTTTTTACCAAAATAACTAACCTAAGAGACATTTCTCATAAAAATTTTATTACAGTCAAAATATAATAATAATGAAAGTATATTTCCTCACTGGAAGTATCAGGTTAATATCTTTCTAGAGAAAATTGTTTGGCACATATTTTCCTATGACAGAAAATATCCTAATTTTTTAATACAATTAAATAAACTTAGTTTTACTTATGATTCAACTTGGAAACTTACCTGTAGAATTTTGATATGGTTTTAATCAACATATAATTTTATATTGCACGCATATTGCATATTTAAAGACTTACATAAATCAATATTCATATTTTTTTCAAACTAAATAAATAAAACAAAAAGAAACAAATTGCAAATTAACTATCAACTGCAGTAACGTAAATTAATAATACTACCTGAGGCGTATTTTGAGATTCAACTTTGAAACAACGAAGGGCATCTGTAGACAGATTTTTTTTCAAAATAACAGTTTTTTGATAGCTATCAAAGAGACTAAAGATAACTAATCGATTGTGTCTAGTCCAGGCACCTTTTAGCCCATGAACTACTAATCGATGAGTAGGAGTGTCAGCTTGATCCTATAAACAAATGATATATAATTTGAAGATTATAATTCATAGAGGTAAAATATAAAATAAAAAATTATGAATCATCAAAATTAAATACCTCTTCAGATATAACATCTTTTACTATTTCTTCTCTTCCATATGAAACTCTATCAATGGAGATTTATAAAATAATAAACTTACAAATAATTATATAAAAGTTAATAATAAATATTACAAGAAAGATATGCATTTCTCTATAATTTGATACTAAAACAAACTGAAACAGCAACAAAGTAAGGGGGGGGAAATGTTCTGTCACATATTATTGTATGTGTATATTTAAAATTGCATTTATTACAACAAAATTTTTTTTTTTTTTTTTTTTTTTTTTTTTTTTTTTTTTTTTTTACAAATTAGAAATATTAAACTAATTATTTCTCTATAGAACAACTTCCTCTTTGTCTCTCTACCATATAGCTCTCTCTCACACCCAGAAACACAAATATAAATTTATAAAACAATGCTTAAATAAGCAAAAGAAAGAGGATGATTAGTATATGTTATCAGGAACAGTTAATGGCATCTTCTACTTAAATTGGTTACTATTTTGATTATACCACATCAGGGTATGATACTTGAAAACATTTTTTTTTTTTTTTTTTTTTTTTTTTTTTTTTTTTTTTTTTTTTTTTCTTATTACATACTGATCAATATTTTATAAGGTATTTTTTCTCTCCTTTCTTCATGCCATCTTGGTGTGACAGATGCACACTAGGCAGAAATTTGAGAGGTCCAGGTTCAAGTTCCGATGAAGGCATTGCTCATTTTCCCCATTTTCAGCTTAAAAAAACCTAATGATAATTTTTCCCCATCAGAATTTGGCTAATGGGTCCCATAATCTCCAGTCACCCCATTTTCTCTTTCCTTTCTGCATATCTTTCTAGAGTAATGGTAGCACACTCGACACATATTCAAGAGGTTTGGATTCAAGCACCAGATATGGCACTGCTCATTTTTCACATATCCAGCATTAAAAAAAAAAAAAAAAAAAAAAACTTATGACTCTACAAGTGATAACTGAACTAAATGGTAGTGGATGATAATTTGTCCCCACCAGAATTTGGCTTAATGGATCCCATAATCCCCAGTCACCCTATTTTTCTCTTTCCTTTCTGCACGTCTTTCTAGAGTAATGGTAGAACACTCGACATGTATTCAAGAGGTTTGGGTTCAAGCACAAGATACAGCACTGCTCATTTTTCACATATCCAGCATAAAAAAAACCTTATGACTCTACAATTTAAATCCAATATTTAAGTCCTTCAAATTTTTCTAAGGTTTAGTTATATATTCAGAAACATGACATGTGTTTGGTTGACAATGGTTTGTACACTGCTCTTTCCCTTAGATGAGATGGCAAATGATGAATAATTTTAAATTTGTTTAGTTTTATTATTTCTATTTTAATTGCTGAACTTAAGTATATTAAAGAATTTTTTCTTTGCTCTGAATTAATTCTATAATCAAATGGTGTTGAGTTCCCATCTAAAAATCATAATCATTTAGTTATGAAAGTTTGTGTGTGCATGCTCATTAGTATATGCATTACAATTTATACAACATTTTGTTTTTGTTAAATGTTTTAATTTTACTTTTTAACTGAGAGTTGTTATATCCAATATCAATCAACCATGATTAATATAAGTGAAGAAAATGAGCAATTTTGACACATACTCCAAAGATTACAAATTAATTTTTCTGTGTCCTTGGGTGTAAAACAAAAATCCACTTAAAATATATCTTTTCACAATCATTAATACAAATAAGCATATATGCCTAATAGTCATTTAGTAACTAGTGAAGAATAGAAATATGATGATTTAATTGCATTTAAAAAGTTTAGATATCTTCCTTCATACTTTCATCCATTTTTCTAACTGAACATTAAAATTATAAATTTCAAAAATGAAATGAAAGTTATAAAAATTCTACTTATAATTTTTTGGGGGGACAAATTCATATATTTATGCACGAACTAAATCTAAAATTCTAAAACTCAGTATCTAAGTATTTGGGTATAAACAGGATTTTATAGAATTAACACCATATGAAAAAATAATTTGTTTCATTGATGTTTCCTGAATGATATAATATTATAACTCACCTATTAACACTCAAAAAGTAACTTCGCTCCACAGGTGCATGGAATGACTTTGTAGCCTGAAGAAGATTTCAGACTTAAAAAGTTGTACTGAAACATTTACAGAAAATTCTCTTAAAGTCTGAAAATAAATAGAAATGTCAAATGGCAACATTTAATAAACTTACATTTTCATTTTCTTCATCCATACAATTATACAGCCAAATTTCACTGTCAGTTAATTCAGAATTCAAGTAACCAATATTCCAGTTTGCACGAGGCCTGTTGGAATATATTTAAATTATATGCAATAAAATAATAATATGCATACTAACATTTATTAAGAAAAACTACTATTCATTAGGCATAAATAAGTTATGCCTATTAAAAATATTATTACATTTGATGTGTGATTTACATTATTCAAAGACCATCAAATTTAAGAGTGTATTTCTGAGAAAGTGTAAAACATTCAATGTTTTAACAATTAACTATGTATATCTCTTGGAAATAAGGAGAGGTATAACTCTGTTGTAACAATAAACAAACAGCATACACATTTGGAGAAAACTCAAAAATTACACTGAGGAGAAGCTTAAGTAAAACATGAACATATTAAAATCTTAAATATTTGTAGAAATAGAAAAGAAGTTTTGAAATAATTACATAACAAAGGAATAAAATTTTCCTCAAATTTTGTAATTTAAGCTAATATTTCTCTTCTGGATACTTTACAGCTCAAATTTTTCATATTATTAGCAAATTATTATTGTTTCTTTATAAAAAGATATTTTCAGAAAATATGCTGGTTATTTCTGTTATTATGTAATAAGGAGGGAGAAATATTAAATAACAGTTCCATTTATGAAATCACATGCAAGATTAATAAGCATGCTCAAACATAATTCAGTCAAAAAAAGACTTACAATGAATCCCAGATTCAATTTTCTTTCTTTAATTAATAAACACTCATATAATAAACATTTGAAGACAATAATTTGGATATGTACTAATATTATATTAATAATCCACAGTTCTATCTTTATCACAAAATGTGTATGCAGTTGGAATAAGGAAAAATTAAGTTAGCTTATACTAACTTTTTTAAAGATATTTCTCTAATTTCAAATAAGGTGTGAAGAATTTTACTCCTAATTAAGATTCTCATAATTTGACAAATAGTTAACGCTGACTAGAAACTGTTACTTTTCATATAGAAAATTATTTTCTTTAGAGTATTTATAAAAGAATTTTAAAAATATAATAAAAACATGTGTTATTTATCAATAATTAATAAAAAATGGATATTCAATCCTAAATATATTTGGCTTACATGGCCACTCAATATATTTGGCTTATAATGGATTAACCTACATTAAAAAATTGGAGTAAACCTCCAAGCTGTGATTTATAACCCATACAAAAAGATTTGAACTTCATTTGAGAGGGACTGTGACTAACATTTCCTTTATAATGTTCCAAGACAAAACAGAATGTCATCTTAAACAGAACAGAAAAGACACAATTGATCTGAGATGAACAGAAATGAGCACTTCGGATCTTTAACAATGTTTCTAATAAGAAAACTAATTTAACAGATTTAAGAATACCTCAAAGGAAAATTTAATTACTACACTTGCAATCTAATTTGTATACAAAAAACTCACTCCGTGAAAAAGATTTTTAGAGATTTAATGCTTCCTTAAAAGATGACACCAAATTTATTTATAAGCATCGAAATTGATATTTAAGTATATGATAACAAGTACTAAATTCTGCTACTAAAAGACATTAATACTTTCTGCTTGGCTTCCACTTTTACAGTTTACCAAAGAAAATGATTTCAAGCCCAGTATGAAAAGTTACTGTGAAAATATTAATGCTCTAAAATAGAATGGAATGAATTGACACATATTTCTTTAATTAATACTAAAACTTGAAATTTGCTAAACTATAAAATTCTTTTTTATTTGTGCTCCTTTCTCATCTACCACAATACCCCCCCCCTGGGTATCGACGCAGAAAACTCTGTGAAGCTACTGGCTAGGATCTGTACCTACACAGTCTCGTCCACGGGAGTATAAAATCACAAACCTGGCAGTTTTAGATCACGGGGTTGGGTCATTAATATGGCTTGACCTCGGGGATTGGTGTAAGTCGTAGAACAGATGGTTCTGTAGCTTGGTGTGGGATGGCACTGAGTTTGCTAGGTAATGTCCTGATGTTATGCAATGCGCGCATAGTACTTGCAGGAACATTTAAATGATCAGTCAGTCCATCAGGTATTCAGGTCACGCCTCCACCGAAAAGCCTAGAACAGGGAGTGGTGACCCCTCAGGCCCGGCCTAATAAGCGGAAGGTTTCTGGAGTTATCTCATCTGTGGCTAAGAGCCGGTTTGGGATCCAGTTTTCCAGACATAAGTGATTAGTTTTAAACTCCTAAGTTGAATTTGATGCATGGGCTATGGCTAAATTTTGGAGTTTTGTCGCCCAGGACTCCAGCCCAATGAGAGAGTTCATTTGTGACTCACCTGCTGTTAACCTGCCCCCTGTCTAATATGGGGGATTCTCAGTTAGAGGATAACAGTTCCCTCAGTTGCGTAAGTGATCGCAGGAGAGATGTATAAATTTTGATTGATCTACCACAATATTCATTCAAAGTAATTAATTAAAAGCACAATACTACAATCATAAATTAGATTTAATTTTATGTAAATGTTTTCAAAGAATTCCATTTTGTAATTACTTGATACTTAAAAAAAAATTACCATCATTATGTCATTAACTTAACAACAATATGATTGCATTACAAATCATATTGGTCATCAGTGTAAAATTTTGATGCAATAAAAAAAGCATCTTCCAATTAATTTTATTAACAGCACAGTTTTTAATGGATTTTAATAAAACATTAATTTTTAACTGCACTTAATAAAACATCAATTTAAACTGCAAGTTTTCCACTGCAGGCATTACTATACTTGTGGGCTCTTTAGTCAGGTTTTTGGTAATATTTTTTTCCAAATTTTGCTGCATTATCTTTGCAACATCCTGCCATTCTTCATAAGTGTTTTTATTTATAAATCCTAAAACATCATTAACACTCATAACATCTTCATCATTATATACTTGATACTTCTTGAGGCATCGTAATGATTAAATACATGATTCATTATATGAAGATTACTAAATCTTTAAATCTATTGTCACAACCTTTTAGTGTTATCTGGCAATACAAATTTTACATTGTACTGTCTGGCAACACTGTTGCATATATTATGTAGAATAGATGGAAAAACAGCAAAAACCACACAGCACTTAACATGTTAAAAATACTTGTAGTAATATGACACAGGAGTGATTTAAAATAAGCAATTGCATATGAAGCACATGAAAATCTTATATTCTTTATATATGATATAACTTCAAAAAAAAAAAGCCTTCCAACTTTAAAATATGGCTATATAATTAATTTCCTTTTAATGATAATAATAAAACTTTTTCACATACATCTACACTTATGAAACATAAATGTGAAAAATTTTTTAACAAAAACTAAAAATAAGTAGCCTGTAAGAAAAGTACTTTGAGATAAGCCCATTTCCACAATATAAAATTTTTAATTTATACCTATGTTTAAGGCCATCAGCTACAGGTACAAGTGTTTGAGTATGCTCAGAGCTGAGAAACAGATGCCCACCAATAAGTTCCAGTCCTCGTTGCTTGGCAAAAGACATCCAATAAATTATTTTAAATTTATGTAAGTTCAAAGAAACGCATAATCTGTGATAATGTCGACTCAATTGTGGCTTACGAGGTTTTGTGTTTGAAAATAATACGCCTCTCCTTGTTAAACGTGTCACTCCAGAAAGAATCATCTGAAAACAATAGTCTATTAATATCATCTTTATACTATATGTATGTAGGTTTTGATAAAAATTATTTTATTTTAATAAAAAAGAAAGGAAAATGCCTGAATTCATTCTGTAACATATATTTATGTGCTTTGATGTACGCAATTAAAAAATTAAAATTAATGTTACATAACAGCATTTTGATAGTTCATTACATCAAAATGCATTACATCAAAATTATTCAATATTTAATTTCCATATCAAAGAAAGAATTTTTAAGAATCATACAAACATTATTGTTCAATAAAATACACATGAACAACTGATAATTTTACAAAATTAAACTAAATTATTTTACTTATTCAAAAATAAGACACACATATTTTGTTATAAAATTTGGTACAGTCTTAAAAATGGGTATTTCATACGATAAATTGCAGAATGAGTTTAATTACCATGGTACAAAAAATAATTATACTGTTTAAATATTAGATAAATTGCAAAGGTATACATAAATTCATAACTACTGATAATTATTATAGCCATGTCCAACTGAGCAATTTCAATTCATGCCTGTTTTCACTACACTGATAATGCTTGAAAACAAATAGGTAACAAGATATCACTAATTTTTCTGTACTTTTCCTTTGAGGTGGAGCCACAGCTAATGATACTGTTATTTTAAGAAAATTCTGAAGGAAGGATAATAAACTATGATTCTCTTTCTCAAAATTACTGCAAAACAAAATAAAAATTTACCTACATTTTCATTTCTGATAACTTTTCTTCAAATGTATCAAGGGTCTTATACTTGAGTAAAAATTGCTGCAATATTTTTCTGAAAATAAATCTTACAACAGATACTTTGAATTCCCATGTCAATACTTTATTCCATAAAAAATATTCAATATTTACTTATTAACCTGCACTGGGAACTTTGGTTGGTGCCAAGGTAACTGAATAATAGGGATTTTAGTTATTTCATTTTGGTACTGCTAACTTCCTGATAATCGCTTCAGTCATGGCTTAGCCAGTGATGTAACTAGCATGTAGTGGCATTTTAGTAGTGTAGCTAGAGTGGAGGTGCAGGGGGTTTCTGCTATATGTGGCATGTTTTTAGGTGCAGAATTTTTTACATTTTATAAGAGTCCGATGGGTCATCGAGGCAGGTGAAGAATAATTAGATTCCAAATTATTATATGAAAATAAATTAAGAATAAAAAAATTATTCTAAATAAAGTATTTAAAGAAATCACTGCATAATTTCAACTACTACATACTTTCGCTACATCTTTTTTTATTTCTTCGAAACTTGAATGCAAATTCCAATTATCAATTAAATTATGATCACAGTGACATTCATAAGGATGAATTCCTCGATATGAAAGAGTTATTTCATGTTTTATTTCTGTTAATGTTAAGGGAATCAAAACAGGAATGTGAAAGAGCAGTCCTTTGAATTTGTGCAGTTTATTCTAAAATACAATCTCTAGAATAAAGATCCGAATGTTGTAATTCTAAAGCAAACTTTCTTCTCAGTGCTGCAAGTCTTCCTGGTAATGAGAAACATTTTCTAAATAAAAACCCTTTCAGACTTATAAATGTACATATTGTATTTAAGAAATCTTTTTATACTTTCTACATACGAATAAGAGCAATCAAATAGACCTCTACAAAGTCATGGACGGTTTTGCAAGCAAAAAAGCAAGCAAAATAGTAATATAATTTTAAAAAGTTCAAATTAAACTTTTTCTTCAAAAAATACACATAGGGTTTTAATTCATTTCCCTGAATTTTGTTTTGAGATTTTTCACAGTTATTTGTTCATATAACACGAGTGGCAGCAAATTCAGGAACCGCCCTGGGCGACAAACTCAGGATGGCCACGGGCAGCAAAAGTTTTATTACAACACTAATTTAAAATAGTTTTATCCACCATGTCCAGTTCTTGGCAAAATTTGACTATAAACCAACAGCACTAACAGTAAATAAAATGTATAACTATAATAGATGGTATTCGACTTCACTTAAACCAATTTCTAACTTTTCTTTTTGCTGTTTGCCAGGATTTTTTAAGCTGCACAATATTTTTTCCAATATGTCATTATATGTAAACTAGTACAATCCCAACTAAGTGATATCACATAATTTAAACAAAAAATGAAAGAACTTCTAATTCATAATTTGGAAAATATCAGATGTCTGTTAAGAAAATAATAATATTGAACATCCAGCAGAAATTAATATGAGACAATCAAACTTTCATTATTACATTACATATAATGAGTTTATCTGACCTTTAATTGGCATAAAAAAATTCTGTTTTATTTACTTATTTAAAATTTCTATGTCAAGAGAATTAATTATGATTTATAGTAATATTAAAATATATGCTAACATGGATACTATGCAAGAGTTTTAAAATCTAAGATGTTTTATTATTTACAAAAATACAGCACCTTGAATGAATATCTTACCTTCAAGTTTTCAATCCATTTCAAGGTGCTACTATACAAAAGCATGGTTGGAATATCTTCTTGATCAGCATGCATATGTTTTGTTTCATATGAGTATGAGATATTTAAATTTTGCGATCGAAATGCACGATAAGAATCATGTTCCTAAATGAGAAAAATACAAATATTTGAACAATGTGATTAAAAATGAGTAAGAAAATGGTCAAATATAAAGGCACAAGTTTAAAACTATCATATATACATAGATTAGGTTATCTGCATATGGCGAAGCACACAAGGGCTACCTGCCTAAAGGGAAGTATGCCTTTGTAGAGGGCTTTCTAAGGGAAATGGCTCATATTCATTCGCTGTACATGGAGAAAACCTCAAAAAATTAAAAAAAAAAAAAAAAAAAAAAAAACAAGCAGTCAGTCCATTCACTTGGAATCAAACACTTCTCAAACTCTCAATATTCAGTGGTCTTAGCCCCACAGCCACAGTAGGCCCTCATATTTGTACAAGCATAGAGTTAAGTACAAACGCCACTGAGCAATTTCCTTCATTTAAAGATTATCATAAAGTCCAAATTAGGTAGTAATTATAATAAACCATAATAAACTTCTATCAATTTAAAGCCTTCTGAAATACACTGGTTATCATAAATTAAGGAAAAATCACAAAAATCACGATTACTTAAAAAGTTACATGAAGAATTTAATGAAACTTACCCACAATATACAACACATAGCAAGGTATCAAATAACATAAAGAGAAATTACCAGACAAATATGGTAGTATAGAAATTAGCACATGTATAAAATGAACTAATTGAAGGTGTCAGTTTGCTACACGAAAAGTACCTTCAATATGGAATATGATCGCCTCTAGAAGCAACACAGCACATACAGTGATGTGTGGTGCTTTCAATTATTCGTTCCATCAGTTCCATAGAAAGCGAGAGCCATTGCTCTTGCAAAGCAGTTGCAAGTGCGACAAGGGTCTGAGGGGGTGGATTGAGAGCAGCTAGACGTCTCCCTAAAGCACTCCAAACGTGCTCGATAGGATTCAAATCCGGGGATCGAGCTGGCCACTCCATGCGCATAACTGTTTCCTGTTGAAGATAATCATCTACGATGTAAGCCCTGTGTGGTCTTGCGTTGTCATCCTGTAACAGGAAAGCATCACCTATTGCCCCGGCATATGGGCACACATAAACATCAAGGATGTCATCTCTATAAATCTGAGCATTCACGGTTCCCCTTGGAAAGACATGGAGGTCTGTGCGTTCACCCAAAGAGATGCCCCCCCCCAAATACAGACACTGCCCTTTCCAGATGCATCGCTTTCACGGATGTTTGATGGATGATAATGGGTTCTAGGTTCTCTCCATATCAAATAACGTCTACTATTACTCTCTAGACTAAACCTGGACTCATCCGTAAAAAGAACCACGCTCCACTGATCAGGCGTCCAGTGGACATGTTGTCATGCCCACTGAAAACTGGTCCCTCCTATGGCGTGATGTAAGTGGCACACAAATGACTGGTTGCCTCCCATACAGACCACCTTCGTGAAGCTTTCTACACACAGTTGACATTGACACACACCTTCTGGTGGCTGCAGAAAGAGAAGACTCTAAGAAGAGTCGGAGTAGTGGTTCTATTCCTGCGTGCACATAATGTCAAATATTGGTCATCGACACTCGTCGTAGCAGTTGGCCGTCCTTGGCTGAACCTCCTAGATGCCGAATCTGTGGATTGAAATTGCCTCCAAAAGTCTATTAACCACAGAAGGACTCACATTTAGCCATCTGGCCACTTCTGTTTGACTTTGTCTTGCCTCTAGTCTCCCAATGGCTCTCCATCGCAGTTCTACACGCAAATGACGCCTGGAGGTCATTGTTACGAATAGGCTATCTCAAATTTCTGATGTCACTGTCACAGTGAAATATGTGGGCTTGCTCTCAAACATGGACTTTTATGCTCCTCGCTGATGACGTATTACAAAAGCAGCGTCACTAATTTGCATATCGCAGATAACCAGTGTGATAAAGATTAAATAATAACTTTCATTTAACTACACAAAGCAAAACTTACAAACATTCATTTGAAATTAGGAATTAAAACCCTTATTGCTATCTATTGTTATAAACAAATGCAATAAAATAAAAACACCAGTGAAAATTTTAAACATAATGCATAACATTTCATTTAATTGATTGAGATGAAAAATATTATGAGAAACTCCTTTTAGTACTCTTCTGTTATCAGGACCAGATTCAGAAGTGTATGTACGTACGCAAGTGCATATATATGTACATACATATATAAATGCATACATGAAAACATACATCCATACATGCATGCATATAGATATATATACACCGTACATAGTCCGTAATCCGGACGATCATTATGCGGAATGATCTATAATCCGGACCTCAAAGTCACAAACTTACACATGTGCGTTTAATGCATGTGTCCACTACGCATGCACGTAAAGCGTTTACCCATGCGCGCTTCCGATAGAAAGTGACAGAGAGGTTATTGAAGACGAAAAAATTTTGATTGACAAGTTAGTAGGTATTCAATTAGAAGTATTGGTTATTCAATTATACAGCAATTAGAAGACTTGAACAGTGGAACTTTGTAACTGAACAAGAAATTATGTCTATTCATAGAATTGAAGAGAAAACACAAAAGACGAAGCAACTTAAACAACTTACATTGAAGGAAATGTTTAATACAGTAAACAAATAAATATTAAGTTTTTTTTTTTTTTTTTTTTTTTGTAAATTTTGATATTTTTTAGATCATAATTGCTCTTTATTTCATAAATTATGGTTTCATATTTTTAATTGTATAATTTCTGCATGCCATCTTACCAGATTTAAATTGATGATCTATAATCCGGAAAAAATCCTAATTCAGAATCGCCAAAGTCCCAACGAGTCTGGATTATGGACTTTGTACTGTATATATATATATCTAAATTTCTGAATCCGGTCCCGATAACAGAAAGTACCCTCTTTTTTTTGCTTGCAGTTAAAATCTAAATATGATATGACTGATTTCCTCAATATATAAACAGGTATATTTTGTTTTACTGTAAATAATTTTAATTGTGTTTTGTAGATATTGCATCCCCTTTTCTCAGGATTCAAATCTGCAACAATTTTGATGGATTTTAGTAGATAAATTGGTATACACTGCAAACCATATTTATTTCTTTACATCTATAGGTCATTTTCAACTAATTTTCACAATGGCTCAAACTTTTCTATTACTTTCAGTATTACATTAAATTAAACCAAGAAGTAGTTGTATGACAACCTTTAAACATTCAGTACTCTACAATATTTATTACAAATTACATAGTACTAATTACAATTGTTATAAAGAGTGATACATAAAAACCCATGTCATAAAACACCCAATAAAATTTTTAATATAACATATTGAATGTTAAAAATGAGTATTTGAGTAACTTTATTCAGAGAAAATCTCATTTAAGTCAATATTTGACTCTAATTTGCCATGAAACAACAGTTTGTAAGCTGGATAACGACCAGTTAAGCATTAGACAGAAGGTGAAAATTGCAATGCTTTTTGAAGAAATGAAGAGTTTGGCAATACAATCACACTTTTGTAACACTTTGATACAAGATTGGTTCCTTCCTACAGATCTTTCACAGATTGTGTCAGCCAATGGCTCTATGTTAGAGAAGAATTGGCAACACCCAACAAATGTTTGCACACCTGAAAATAGCAACAGGTCCCCTCCTCCTACACTCAGTGTTCCAAGCAAAATGAGGCTCACCCACAAACTAAAAATGTTGTTCTTGATCTCCATATGTGATGTTTAACATGAGTACAACGTCACACTGGGCTCCTGAATGCTACGAAGATGGGGGACAATGACTGCCACTTAGCCCAATATTAATTCATGTGATATCTTTTAATGGGATATTTTGAAAAAGTGTTCGTAATGAATACTGCAAATGTAGCATAACTCAAGGCTCATAACGTGCAACTGTGCTATGCCATTTTAGAAAATATGTATTGGAGAGTTGTGACAAATGCAAAAGTTTGCAAAAAATTGTGAAACAAAATGGTGAATGCATTAAAACGTTCTGCACTAAACTCAATTTTCATGCTCACATCGCTAACTATGTATTAATTTTATATCATTTTGATGATAAATAAATACATAGAAGATAAAGGATATGACATTCCAGGCTCACCCTATAGCTTAAGTATCAAAAGAAAAATCCAAGGTCTGGACTCATTAGGACTTCCACAATTCTGAATTTGGGATTTTTCCGGATATTAGATCATCAGTTTGAATCTAGTAAGATGGCATGTGTAAATAATAAAATTACAAATATGAAATCATAATTTATGAAATAATGAAGCTTTTATGATCTAAAGGATATCAAAATTTAGTGGAAAAAAGCTTAAAATTTATTTGTTTACTTTATTAAACATTTTTTTCAAGTTGTTTAAATTGCTTAAGTTTTTATGCTAATGCTTTCTCTTTAATTTTATAGATAGACATAATTTCTTGTTCAGTTACAAAGTTCTATTGTTGAAATCCCGTAATTGTTGTGTCTAGAATTCCAATGAATTTGTCAATCGAAATTTTTTTGTTTTCAGTAAACTCTTTGTCACTTTCTTCAGTATTGCAGCAGTATTTTCTGGATCTAGAACGATACTACAGATTTCGCCATCTGTTGATTGATTGATGATTGAGGAGCATTGTCATCACAATGAAAAACTTCCTTTATATCATCTTCATTTATTACCGCTTATCCACATTTCTTTACAAAATCCGGTAATTAGAAAATTTCACCTTTAGTTTGCAATATCCAAAACCCTTCTGATTTGCAGCTATCGTCACTATACATATTTGGCTATGTATCCTGAGATTGACAACTAAAGACAAGTCGTTCTGCTAAATTTTATCTTGCTTGTATTGCACACTGAGACAATAAAGCCTGAAAAAATTGTATTAGTTATTCATTATACTAACACTTATAACCTGAATAAATAAATTCCCACATATACTTAAGGCTTATTGGCGGCCAATGCTAGAAATCTTACCACCTGATGCAGTCTCTGCGGGTCCTAAATTTTACTACCAAGCACCTACCCTTGTCTTCCCTAAATTCTGCGGCTTGGTGCAGCCATACAAGCTCTCGTGCTGGTTCTGGGTTTGAATAACAAATCAGTTATTCTTAATTCAAATAGCATTAAATGTAATCATTTGACCTATGAGTATCATTAACAAAATTTATTTTTAGCACATGGAAAGAAATGTTTGTTAAATTTTTCTTGTCAACATTTCTTAGCACATTTAACTTAAATATGTAATCATCACCATGCATAATGTCAACATAAAAGGTTACTCTTTGTTATTCAATTATTAACATAAAAAAAAATTGTTCAGTCGTCGCTACATGATTCATTACTCAAGTTGTCACGTGTTGATAAACATGCGGTGATGAAAGCAAAATATAATTAATAATAATTTGCCAGGTTGGCGTCAGGGATATAAAATGTTAGTAGATGCAAAATCAACAATGTATCTATGTAGAATGTTTCAGTTTGAGATGTATGCTAAGCAGCTATTCAGCTATGGAGCCAATTTATTGATCATACAAATTTATGCTAAAATGATTGTTTCTTCAATAACGAGGTATTTTATTTAGTGTCAAAGTGAAATTATGAATCAGGACTCTTGACATGTTTTATTATGCACAAGGGGGAATCAAATGCACATGCGTAAAGCGCACAGACACACAAACAAAAAAAAAGTTAGTTGTGCCTTTGAGACCGGATTTTAGATCATTCTGGATATTGGACGTGCAAATCTTGAACTTTGTACTGTACTTACTTTTTTTATCAGCAAAACTAATTGATTCATGAATATTTTACACATTTTACATATTTATGCATGGACTATTAATACTTTTAATTATTCAAATTTTTCATTAACATTACATCAAAATTGGGACAGGTAATAATTATACAGTAGTCTTTTATTATTCAAATAAAAGAAAGAGTTACATGCTAATCTTAGAAATAAAAATACATTGAATGTTAAAACAGGCCCCAAAGCAAGCTCCTGCTCAAAGAGTTAACTAAGATTACTCTGATTCCTTACTTTGCATACTGTAGATTGATTATACTACAATACAAAACGTAAAATAACAATATGTAATGTTAAAAGGTCATATATTTTATATGCTCTCTGAAACTAGAAAATTCATGTATTTTGTTTTATTATGAAATTCATTTCATAGAAGTGGGCTGAAAACAAGTTTGATTTCATGGTAAGTAAGCTTTGAAAAATAACTAAAATTTATTAAATTCATGATTATAAATGCATGTGATATAAAATATGAAATATTAAAAGAAACTATTTCAACATACAGAATTAAATGATGCAGATGTGTGGTAAAAAAGTGAAAAAATATTTTTGTGGTACAATCTTAAACAGATATGATATAAGCTACTCTTCCACAGCTGAATATATATTATTCTAGTGATAACCAGCTCTATGCTGAAAAAACATTTTGAGTTGTTAATGGCACTTGTATTACTAAAACTTCCAAATTATTGCAATTATCAATAAGTATATAACAATAGTTAATTTACAATAACTTTCAATTATTTATTGCATTAATAGTAATTAATTACATTTAAATCTATAAATTTATGGGTTCGGTATTATAGCAGGTATACATTTCGCAGAATACATTATGGTTTCAGTAGTGAAAAATCTAAAAAAAATTCTACACATATCTAAAGACTTTTTCCTTCCCCAACCCTAAAAAAATGAAAAAGAGCCGCAATTTGTGCAAACAAGAATCAGAATATTTTTTATAAATTTACTGAATTTTTTTTTAAATTATGCTAATTCTTGCAGCTTTAGCAACAGCCACAACAGTTATCATTAGGTAACTTACGTAGCTGAGGAAAATGCACTTAGAATGGAAAGAAGACTGGAGTAGCGGCATGAAAAGTAGATTGGAATAAACTGCTATGTACGAAAAGGAAAGAAATTTTTTATAAAGATACCCCTGAATAAGCTAATATGTAAAAATTTTCTATGTATTTAATAAAATTTGCAATAAAAGCATATTTTTTAGCTATCAAAAACAATGTTCAAAGAAGCAAACCTGGTTTATGGAATACTCTGGTACTTTATCTGGAGCACAAGGTGTAACATTATGATGATCATATGGATTTCCAAGGCACAGCCAATCAAAATTTATACTAAAAATACAAATGCATCCTAATATCAAATTCATCACTAAGTCTTCTATGAATGAATTTTGCGATAATTAAAAAGTTTAGAAGTTACCTCAATTTGAGATGAGGAATACGTAAAACTCTAATATCATCATATTTTGAAGCTGTATGAACATACATGTCAAGGTTACCTTTTGTTAGAACCTTTCCTAGAGAAAATAAAGAAAGTTCTAAGTAAAATATCTTACTGAAATGTGAAATGTCTGATGATGTGTGAAATTATAAATTTTATAAATCATAAATCAAATATCTAATTATAAAAAATAACTAAGCGACCTCACAAACCAATTTCAAATTACTTTAAATTTATCATATGATCTGAAATTATCATACACATATCATTTGCCTTTAATTACAATGCTAATTATTAAACTTTTAAATTACAACAAAAAGATTAATATTACACATAAGAAATTCATACACACATCGTACCATGTTTATTATAGGATTAATCTCCCACTCACATAAAGTATAAGGACTGATAAAAAATTTACGATTAATTAAATTATTTTTATTTATTTATTTATTTTTAATTCAAACTCAGATAACTGTAGGGACACTATATTTTTTTTTTTTTTCAAAGAGCTGCCATGTTGAATTATACTTTTTTACAGCATTTTACAAATGATTCCAAAACATAATAATAGACCATTTTGTAACATGTTTTTTAGCACTGCCAGGAAACCATTTCTTCATTTCCTTATTTAAAGAGAACTTCTTTCTATTTAATTCTCTTTTCAACACTGCGAATACTCAGAATTGTACATCATGTTCAGAAATTATGTGTGAACAATATACGAATTAGTTTCAGACAATGCTGTGGTAGCAATATGTGGCTAAGCATTGTTCTGGATTATAATCTGCTGTTTCTTTAGGAATTCCAGTGTTTCCTTACTCATAACTCCACAAAAACGGATATTGAGCATGTTTACATAATAACCAAAATTCATTGTCAGCTCATGTATTGGGAATATTCGCATCCAGATCCCACTGAATGACCTGCATACATGTGCTTTGTTATGCTTCGCAAAATGCGTCTTTGAAGTGGCTTCATCACTGAAATATGAAACATAGCTAAATATTTCACCACCACATGCCTGTTATAACATTTCATTACTGCTGTTTCCATTTTCAACACAAAATTCAATTATACTTGAGCCATATTTCTCAAAGAAATCATTCTCGCCTCCAAGACAAAATATATTCGGTGCTTCTATTTGCTTTATAAACACTGAAGATGACTTTCTCAGAATCAGGGTTTTTATGTTAAATATCAAGAAAATATAAATAGAAACAGACTTGGAAGTGTTTAATCAGCCTGCACAATAATTTAATATCAGCATAAAATGCTATATATCAGATTAAAAGGTATAAAACATTCACTATTGATATGGTATGGTTTACTGAATGCATCAGATATATGTGATCAGCAAAGTGGAATTAATCAACATCTTCATTTAATTCAACATATCTTATCAACTTGTTTAAGCATTTAAATTACTATTTCAAGTAGTAAATTTCTAAGACCGGTTTGCCTTCAATTATTCCAAAATTAAGTGTGTGGTTCTCTGTTGTTTTATAATGATGCTCAACATAATTTCTTTACCACAGGACATGTAAATAAATCTCTGTGTCAATGTGGAATCCAAATAAATTTGAGAGAGAAAGAACAGATTGACTAGGTCACAGTTCAAACAAGGATATATTCATATAAAGGAATGTCATGTATTGTGGTGTAATAAACTGCATGCTATCCTTCCTTTAAAATTAAGTTTCATTTCTTGGCATCATTCGATGCCACTTGAGTTGGTATCTATCCATGTGTTAGTCTTATGAAATTCTGATGCCAACTCATCAAAATAAATTAGGGTTATGGCACTGATTCTGTTGAATTCATGGCATTATAGCTTACAAAAAGCTTAATGATGACAGCATATGAAAACTTAAGGAAGATTTAAGCACATACCTCCGAGAAATCGGGGGAAGACAAAATTATAACAGCATTACATGGATATATTAAACAGCAGCTCGCGGATAAGCTTATGTAGCAGGATATGCAGACTAAATATACAGGCAGTTAATAAACGAATAATCAAACTGAAACTATACATATTAATACAGAACTACGTACAAAGTTGAATATGGGTAACTGTGCTCAACGTAAAGGGGGAGTGTGCCATTGTACTCCTACTGCTGTGTAAGGATCCTAAGTTTTACTAACGTTTATTTTATTTTAAAACTGTACTATCACTTCTTATTTTCTACTTCCGGCCAGAATTAAATGCTTTAACTTGTTTATGCAAATTGTCTTGCTAACACCAAGTACTTAAGTTGTGGCTTTTTGCCAAGAGAAATAGAGGAAGGAGTTAGAGGAAGGAAGCCGCTTGCCACTGTAGTTTTACGAGTTTTCACTCTGTTGCTGGTTGCCTTTAAGGCCTGAGGTTTAGCTCTCTTGATAATTGCAGACGTATCGTAGTTTTTAGCAGCTCGGCGTACTACATACGTACCTTTTTTAAATAAAGGCCAATCTTAGTGCTAGGAATTTGTATACTAATTCAAAGTTAGTTTTTAGTTAGAGTTTTAGTTAATAGTTTTTATATTCTTACGTTCAGACAACAAGTGGTTGGTCTCTGTATTTCGAAGTTTCAGAAATACCTGTAAAGTATTGAAAATAAAGGGTTTCGTATACCCTTCCTGCTTCTGTTGTCTACTTCACACCTTCCTGAACATAGCTTGAGTAAGCTCCTTGTTCCTATTCGGGACCATTCATGTTACAATGCAAAGCAAGAGAAACACCAGTCCTGATAGCTGTGGAAAACTCACATTATGATCAAGTTCACAGTTGGCTGCATACAGCTTGATATGGCTGAGTAAACAGTAGCACAGTGTGAAATGACAGAGCCAATTTTATTTCGTACAGATCTGTTATTACAAGTTAGCAGCCTACATTGAATAGTCTGTGGAAGCTGGATTTTTCTGATATTTATCAGCAGCCAAATATGTATCAGTTTGCTGCTCCTTTCCTGTGTATGTAGAAAGATCTGTGTTGCTGCACAGAGGTGATGCAAATCCACAGAGAACAGACTGTATTCACAGAAAAGTTGTGTCAGCAATGAGAAGCTACTTCATAGGTCTTCAGATACCTTTGGAAAGATGAACTATGAAATTAGCAATTATCTCATTGGTAAAGCTGAGATTCATCCCTGACAGGCTCCATCCTGCATTTAGTCACACCAAAACAAGAGGTTTATCTTGCACTAACAAACTAGAATCTTTATTTTTCAAGCAGAATTCTGAAGCGATGGATCTTTTATCAACAAACCCAGCTGAATAATATCAGCTAACAGATCTCTTTGCTTCTAAAACTGCTTAGTTCTATATGGATGAAATCCTAAATGGGACTAAGAGTTGGCAGAAAGTCATCAATGTGAATGATGCTTATGTTTCACAATGACAACTTTTGATGTTAAAAAAACTGAACATTCATGGTGCACTCATAAATTGGCCCAGCTTTCCCAAAAACCTAAAATTGAGCTGCAATATATTAAAACAAGACAAAACAGATGTTTATTTCTTTTAATATGCCAAACTAAAAGTTGGAAATTGATAATCATATTAACTTCAGTATCTGGTAGATTCATAACTGCCACATGAATGTTTAGTAACCTGAAGTTATCACAACGAAAAATCTCTCTCTCTTAAGCTTATTTCGGAACACATACAAATCAATGAACTATGCCAAGAATTAAATAATTTGTAAAATTAACATAAATTTATTTTCCATCAAGGAGTGAAAAAATAGTAGAAGTGTGTATATTATTATGTCTTAAAATCCATAAAGGTTTCCCAAATAGAAATGCGAAGAAAACTTGAATCTTTAAGGGAGCTTTAAGCAATCACAGGTTTTACAAATAAAAACAACTAGTTAAAAATAGCTCAAATGTGAAACAAGAGATACTGATGTTAATTAACTTTAATGCAGAAATAATTATCATCAATTTGGACCTAAAATTGCAGGATCACTATGATTAAAAATCCATAACTTACTGCAAACATAATGAAATTGCTAAATCACTCATACAGCAAAGATTAATAAACATAAAAACACCAGTCCACAATCAACCTCATGGCTCTTTATAGTCACCTACTTATACCACAGCTAATAAAAGGTGAACAATGCCGACTATTCCAGCAAAACTGGCCCTAGAGTATCAAAAATTTATTTTCTGGAAATTTCCAATGTACCACTGTGTTGATAAGAAATACATAAATACTACAAAAACTGATGACGGAAATTTGTCGCCATAGCCATGAAAATCTTAAGAGCATTTACCTTTAGTTCTTTTTTAGTTATTAGTACCATATTCAATCTCTATTTACACAAAACAGCAAAAATTTCAAATTAGTAAAGTAACTGAATGGGTTTAAATATAATTACCAATTAAGAAATACAGTACAAAGTCTTTAATCTGGACTCGTCGGGACTTTGGCGATTCTGGATTAGGGGTTTTTCCGGATTATAGATAATCAATTTAAATCTGGTAAGATGGCATGCAGAAATCATAAAATTAAAAATAGGAAACCGTAATTTATGAAATAAAGAGCAATTATGATCTAACGGGTACCAAAATTTACAAAAAAAAGGTTAATATTTATTTGTTTACTTTATTAAACATTTCTTTCAATGCGCTGACAGATCAACTTCCAGTTCATTGCACGCTGCGACCCCCCCAGAGCAGCGTGAAATTGATAATCAAATTTTGGAATGGTTAGAGAAACAAAGGACATGCCTTTATCCATTTTTTGCAGCAGTTCCACTTTTTGTTTGATGGACATCGAAACATGCTTTTGCTTTGTAGATCCTTTGGCAGCTCCAGAATCGGAAACTCTTTTTGACATAATTGAAAGTTCAAGCTTATTTTTTATAAAATTGCTTTAACAGTCTGCAAAAATTAATAAGCCAGATCCAATTAGAAGATTAAGGAACAATGCAATCTGCAACAATAACTGTAATAGATAATTAGATAATTTTAGCCTAGCTTATACTGTCCGTTATAGATTAAACGCGCATGTGTAAAGGTATTATGCGCATGCATAGCGTTTACGCATGCGCAGAGCATTTGTAGCTTTGAGGTCCAGATTATAGATCATGATAAAACTAATAGTACAAAGTCCGTAATCCAGACGTCCATTATCCGGAATGATCTACAATCCGGAACTCAAAGCCACAAACTTTTTTTTTTGATATGCTTTACGCATGCGCATGCACGTTGGGAGGATGTGTCTCCAGATACATTTAAAAATGCATAGCATAATTTATGGCCAGCTACCATATTTCATGGTGAGGACAATGAAGATGATAGTCGCGAATTTGATGGTTTTCGGACATTGCAAACTAAAGTTGTAATTTTCCAGTTATTGGATTTTGTAAAGAAATGTGGAGAAGTAGTAATAAATGAAGATGATATATAACAGAAGTTTTTCATTGCAACAACCAATGTTCCTTAATTGTCAATCAATTAACGGATGGATGGCAAAATCTGTAGCTATGGTTCTAGATCCAGAAAATACCGCTTCCAATAGTGAAGAAAGTGACAGAGAGGTTATAGAAAACAAAAAAAAAATTTCGATTGACAAGTTAGTCGGAATTCTCGACACAGCAATTACAGGACTTGAACAGTGGTGCAACTTTGTAATGTGAAACAAGAAATTATGTCTGTTTATAGGAATTAAAGAGAAAGTATTAGCACAAAAAAACAAAGCAACTTAAACAACTTGCATTGAAAGAAAATGTTTTAATGACGGAAAAACAAATAATATTAAGCTTTTTTTGTATAATTTTGATACCCTTTAGATCATAATTGCTTCTCTTATTTCATAAATTACATGATTTTATATTTTTAATTGTTATAATTTCTGCATGCCATCTTACCAGATTTAAATTGATCATCTATAATAAGGAAAAACCCAAATCCGAAATCGCCGAAATCCCGACAAATCCGGATTACGGACTTTGTACTGTACTAGAAAATAAAGTAATTACAAAAATTTACAATAATAGTTTGGGAGAAACGATTTCTATGTACGAGGCGTATTCGGAAACTAAGTACCGTTTTGAAAAAAAAAATAGTAAAACAATTTTTTCGAATCCAATTTTAATTTTACATGAAAATGCATGTCTTAAACTATTTTTCAACATAGTTTGAGGCAATGATCAAACACTTGTCATAGCGGGTGACCAGTTTTTGTATACCATCATCAAAGAAACTTCCCGCCAGTTTCGATAACCACGACTCCACAGCATTTTTTGTGTCATTGTCAGATTCAAAGCGCTTGCCACCAAGCTTGCGCTTCACATGCAGGAACAAGTGATAGTCGGACGGCGCCAAGTCGGGCTGTACGGCGGGTGATCAAACTGCTCCGAATGAAACTGTCGAATTAATGATTGAGTGACACCAGCAGTATGGGGCCGAGCATTGCCATGGAGCAACACAATTCCTTTACTGAGCATTCCTCTTCGTTTGTTTTGAATGGCATGCCTTAGTTTTGTTAAAGTCTCACAATATTGTGCCGCATTAAAGGTTTCACCATCTGGGAAGAAATTCAGTAAGCAAAACGCCTTTCCTATCCCAGAAGACAGTGCACATGATTTTTTGTGATGACATTGTCACTTTGAACTTTTTTTTTTTTTTTTTTTTTTTTTTTAGAATAAGAGTGTCTCCACTCCGATTGTTTTTTTTTTTTTTATTCTGGTGTGAAATGACACACCCAAGTATCATCACCTGTCACAATTTGGTTTAAAAAGTTTTCTCCCTCATCACTGCGTGAGAAATGTCAGGGCACTACCAAGTCGCTTTGTTTTGTGAACATCAGTGAGCATTTTTGGAACCCATCGGGAACACAGTTTGCGATAATTCAAGCGGTCAGACACAATTTCGAACAAAACAGTAAGTGAAATTTGTGGAAATGCCTCTGAAAGAGTTGTCATTGTGAAGCGTCTGTTCTCATGAATTGCTTCGTCAACTTTCCTTACCAAATCATCGGTGACAACAGAAGGCCGACCACTCCAAACCTCGGCGTGGACATTTGTTCAACCTGCATTAAACATTCTTACCCACTTTCTCACCATTCCATCACTTATCCCGTATTCACCGTAAACTTCTGTCACTTGACGATAAATTTTGGCCGGTTTAACATTCCTCGCGTTCAAAAATTTAATCACGGCACGAATCTCACAGTCAGCGGGAGAACTAATTGTCTTAAACATTTTGAATGTGCACAGCAAACTGAAAACACAACATAGAGCAACCAAAATGGCGACAATTGAAAGTCGGTGAACAAGAAAGACTAGTGTGCATGCGTGGGACGCCTACCACAGCACTGCGATGGCGCTAGAATGAAACGGTACTTAGTTTCTGAATATGCTACGTATATAATTAAACATGCATCATTTTTTTTAAACTGAAACTGAAACCATATATATTTTTACTAATAATAAATATTGTTTTAGAATTAAAAAAAGGGGGTGATACAAATGGATTTCACTTTTAAATATTTTTAAGTGAAGTCTAATTTGGAAATGACATTAAAACATTCAGTGGCATTACATGACACTATAAAAATAAATAAAAATTTTAAAATAAACTGTAATACTAATTTGTGCAGTTTTAAATGTACACAGCGAAATACAAACCAGTAGTCCACTCAATAAAGACATCTGACCAAGATATTTCCATATGTTCAGTAGTATTATAGGGATCAAGAGATGCTCGCATATATAAAATAAGATGCTGAGCTAATATTGTGAGTCGACCATGGTAAAGAAGTCTCATTTTATCCCACCACGGAAGAGCAGGGCTAGGATCCAATGATGGTCTACTAACAAACTCCACTGCTAAACTAATTTGAGAAACAACAGGTTCCCAACTAGGACCATAAGCCATAGACATTTCTTCCATATCTGGAAAAGTAAATAATGGTTAATTTGCTTTATGTAAACCAACATAGGAACCATTAATTATTAACATATTTATATATGCATCACTTAAAGAGTTTTTAATCAAAAATAATATAAGAAGAAATATTCAATAAAAATCAAAATAATAAATGGGCAAACAAAATAATTTTCACTATAATTAACCATATGTTGTAATTAACAATATGTTTTTCTCTCTCTTTTTCTATATATACCATAGTTACTTATACGTCCCCCCTTTCCCTACTAATTTTACTATTCAAAAACTGGGAGGGAAAAAATACACCCTTCATTAGCTATTTCTAAAAAGATGGTTTCAATGTTAAAAACGGCACATTCAAAAGCACATATGAAAGACATACTAATATTACTAGACTAACCACTACATGGTCAGCCTTCGTCTAGCTTTTAAATGTACCGGAAAAATGCCTAAAGGGCCAAATAAATTATGCCAATTTAATTTAATGCCTAACATTAAATTTAAAAACTTCACAGAATTTTACTCTGCAGAACAACTTTATCAAAAAAAAAAAAAAAAAAAAAAAGACACAAATTTCAATAAAAATATATTACATATTAAAAAAAACTACACTGAAATAAGCAATATCCCCTAATACAAATATTAATTATCCTAATAAATAAATTAACCAACTCCCAGTTGCCTTCTCTCAACAAAATTCCAGTATCCAAGAGAATCATTAAATTTAAAAACTATTAAAAAAAGAATTATGGCCCTCATTTTTCGAAGTGCCAACAGCGCTGATTTTCAGTAGTCCAATATATAAAGCACTGAATGAAAAACTGCTGCCAAAACCACATTTATAAATGAATGTAACTATTTGAAATGATGAGATTTCATCAAAAAAGACAAAATTTTAAAAAAAATCTGATTTGAATTTTGAAAAAAATCGCTTTGAGGTGCACTGGCTATTGTCTAGATGCACCTATGTTCCAAATTTCGTAGCCCTGGGTCTATTAGCTTACATGCAGCATGAACGAAAGACACACACACAGACTCTTTCTTTTATTATATGTAGAGATAATGCATTTCTTAGGATTTATTAATTTCAATAGTGTTACTTTTTACTTACACAAAGTTTACTTACTTTTTACTTTTCTATTCAAGCATATATTTTATACTGTTATCATAAATCATAAGTTTTTAAACCACACACTGAAAAACTGGGGTGAAATATAAGAGTAAATATAGTGTGTGTGCATATGTATTTATATATATCAGGCAACAAATACGTGAAAGAAATGAAATATAAAACCAGTACAGTCCCAACTTTCTGAATGAAAATGTAAAAAGATCCTATCAACTCAATGTATTGAAACCAGAAGAAACTTTGACAACAACAGAAATGCATAAAAAGAAAAAGGAAGAGGAACCCAATCAAAATCTGATTCAACATTATCAAGAGTAGGTGGATCAGATCCCAATTGAGTCAACTTTCTAGGAAACCATTGTTTTTCAGTTCACCCAAAAGTAGCTGATGAACCATTTTAAATTATTTAATCATTATAGTTCATCTGAAAATTTCAAATGCCCCCTCAACACAGCCAATTTCCTATCAATAATACATAAAAGCAAATTCTAATTAAATGAATTAAGTTTGTCTAATAAAGCAAAAAGTAATATATATTAGGCAAATTGAATTTATTTTATTAGAATTATTGTGCTATATATAAATATATATATATATATATTCAGCTATTTAACAAATAAAAGGGCAAAAGAAACTTACAATATTGTGGATAAATATTGGCTGTGTAATGTCTACATTTTTTGCACTGCACATGAACACAAACACTGAACCACTAATAGGGATTTTTGCTTCAAAATCTAAAGTTCATAAATCATACACTGAAAAACTGGAGAGAATACAATTTCAAAAGTCTACTGTATCTAAATTTCAAACCTAATTTCTATATGATTATTTAATCATATAAATACTATTTTATAATAAGTGATATAAGTACTTGTTCCCTGGATTGGATTATATAATTAAAGCAAACCATAAGAGGGTTTCTGCTAAAGCTTTAATTTTGATTGACGATATGCCTGAAGAAGTGAATGAGGGCCTTCCTCTACTGCCAGCCTCTCTCAATGTCTTTTCAATAAGCAGGTTTTAAATCCTCCCATTTGCAATGAATGATATGACAGTCATAATTATCCATGTCTTCTGTGAGATTCAAACATAAATCAAATTACTTGGCAGTCAGTCAGCCTTTAACCCTGTAATTCTGTTGGAGGTCAATGCATGTCCTTTCTTATTAATCCACACTAAATGTAGAATTGCATATTATTGATTCCATATGCAGATACTTTAATTATTTTCCTATGATCTGCTTCTTTTCATAAACTTGGAAGGCATTAAGTTTAAATTAACCACAAAATTTCTAACTTCCACTGTCTTTTCCATTCACATTTCTCAGTTAACCACAGGTGGTCAAAAATGTAAATTTTATTACTAAGAAAGAAGATGCTGCACGTTTCTTAATATACCAACTAGATGTGGTTCTCTGAAGAAAACATTTTGCCACATTACAACATATACTTCATCTTTCCACCAGCAAATGATTAAATTGGAAAGGTACATAAATATATAGAATCACTGAATTTTTGTGCTTTGAATTAGAATGAATATTTTTGCTAATGAATATTTTAATCTTATATTCTTAAAAAAGAAAAGGTCTGGTGCTTATGACAGTTAACTGAATGCATAAAGTGTAACTGATAAATAATTATGTATAAATAATTTGCACACAAATGCTTTTATATAGCTTTAATCCATCTGACAGCTACCCAAAAATGGTCTATACTAACTTCAGTAATTTGTACATCATTTTCAATTAGCATCTAATAATTGAAAATAATATTTACAAAAGTGGTATGTTCATTTTTACATTTTATATACTCTTAAAAAAATATAAACAGAAATACAAAACTAAAAATTTTGACTTACCAAATGTAAGATCATGATAAAATTTTAGAGGCTGCATGCTTCGTTCTATATCTACAGTAGACCAAGGATCATCTATTTCCAATTTTGATGTCCTCCTAGCTAGAAAATAATAAAAGTGGAAAACCCCTACTTTCATGAAACTTTTTTAAGTAATGCAATACACACATAAATACAAATACAACAGTGATTATATGCAAAGTACATGCTCTTGTGGGAAGTGATTTATACATTCTAATCATTCATTGTTACAAAAAATTTCCCATTAATTACTCAAGACATAAAATGAAAAAAAAAAATCTCAAAGCTTTCATATTTGATATTATGCCCAAAGAGGCGTTTTTTAATGTTTCGCGTGTTACCTTTATTTACTAAATATCATATTCTTCGCACTTAAACCATAATATTTATTTCAACAGCAGTATCACAAAATAATTTTAAAAGAGCCTATCTTTAGAATTTCCAATACACAGTCTTGCGTGCTAGAGATAATTTTTTTTTTTTTTCATACAGTACTGCCATTGCTTACACTGGTATCATTGAGTTTGTTAATATGAAACAGATAATACAACAAATTCCAAATTTGGGCTTCCAAGATGCCCTTATTTGAATGGAGGACTTCAAAATTTGATGTCTCTAAGTGCTGTTGTTTTTTCATAGTGTGAGAAATATACATACATTCATGCAGATTCTTCATTATTGAATTTCTCTAAATATAAAGTAGGGCTCTAATATTTGGTGTTAACAATTTGAAAAGTGAAACGCCATTTATAGTGAACCAATGGAAAATGCCAAAATGAATTAATGCCAAACAAAAAATGGCAAAACAAAATTAATAGCCCTTCTGGTCAAATTGACTCTTTGGGCTAATAAACAATTTAGGCAATCACAAATACTTTCCTCTTACATAAAAATTTTATTGCCTTACATGTTTCATTACAACATCAAATAATTTAAATGATTCATTTGGAGAAAATGTTCATTAATAACTAAAAAATATCTTTTTAAAAAAGTCTTAAAACAAGAACCTGAAAATTAAACTTTATTATTTAACTTTTTTAATAATTTAATACTTCTAATCTTCATTTTATGTAAATATACCTCTATGGGAAGCTTCTTCTTCTGCACCAATGAGAAATCCCCATATATTGAGTTCTCGAATTTGCAAAGGCATCTGGGGGAAATCTCTCATTTGCCATGTCCATGACTTCGCAGTACATCTGATTTTTCTTGCCCACAGTGTTGTAAATTCAATACCTTCTTCAGGGTATGGACTAAAAAAAATGACAACAATCTTTGTATTACAGAAAATTATACATAAAGAATTCAGATAGAGTAAACTAAATCTAATAATAGACATGATCTAACATAGGAGTTCTCAACCATGGAGAGATTTCTCCTAGGGAAGGGAATTTCTTAGTTTAAGGAGGGGGAGGGGAATGAAGTTGGCCTTTTATTTAGCTAAAACAATTAGTTTTAGTTTATGAATATGAACAAAAAATACTTTTATTTAAGTTTTGGTATTCATCAACATTTTACATTTTTTGTTGTTTAATTTAAAAAAACACTTAAAAAATAATCTAAACCTAAATAAATATACATGTATTTTTTTTTTTTTTTTAGTTTGGGAAAGGAAGGGGAGAATGATCTTCTAGTAATGATGAAAGGGGTGCATGGGGCAAAAAAGATTGAGTGCCATTCCTCTAACAGAACTGATGGTCACAACTTTAAGAGATGATAACAGAAAATGGGGGAAAAAACATTTTTATAATACAATGTACAGTGGAATGTAACATGAAAATGGGAACATGATACAAACAACACACAGAATGGAAAGTCATTTTACACACGAATATTTACAGGAATGGTTTAAATGCATAACCACCAATTACAGTACATGAATTACAATGATGATGACATAAAAGGCATACACACAACAATGCTCAGCGGGATTACAATTGTTGTTGCCATCAGATTTGGCAACTCAATGCTTTGAATTCCACAAACTATATATCCTAAACCAGCTGCAAATTTAATCATGTCTTCTTCCCATTATATTGTATATATACAATAAATGAGAATCTGCTATTTGCATTCCTTCTTGATATATCAATTTTAATGGCCAGCAGTGTACTTCTGCAGCAGCAACAATAATTCTGGCAACAAGATACTCAGGAGAGTAAATCTTGTGATACACGTATGCAGTTGCTGGCTGTTCATTTGAACAATACTTGTACATATAATCAAACAATATTTCTTGTAAATGTCATGATTAAAATGACTTTTCATTTTTAACATTATTCAAAATTACTGTGTTTTGGTACTCATATTTCACATTCACATTTACATTATACACACATTACATATTGTCATGTTCTATCTCTCCTTAAAATTGTAACCATTGTGTTACACTCTATATAACCTGGATTTTAAGCAAATACTTATTTTATGCATTATGACTTTTATATACTTGGGTTATTTAGCATACTTAAATTCAAATAAAGCATAAAATGGACAAGCAGTAGAATTTATCACTTGCAGCAGTAAATTAGTTTAAATTATTAGTTGGTGAAAAAAATTTCCTTGATTAATCATATTTTCGACTAAAGTTCAGATAAATCTAAGTTGAATGTTCAGTTCCTTTTATTCACACTAAAAGAAACTGGACATTTATTTAGCTTTAGCAATAGCAACTTAATTAATTATTGCTGATTATATAGCTTAGTTCTAGTGTATGCAAGTTGTACGAATCATTGAGTTATAATTTAAGTCTGCACATACCTACTGATCACATATTGAATATTTGTTTGTTTTTACTTCTTTTCTGTTTTATTTCCTACCAGCTGATTCAGTTACTGATAACAACAAAAATCTAGCCACAATAGTCAGATGATAAGCTAGATAAATTTTAGAGAAATGTTAGAAATTTATGATACAAAATGTACACAAAACTAAATAGATAATTGAAGGAATTCATTTTTTTATTCCAATTTAAACTATATTAAAATTCCCTTTTAATTCAAAACTCTAATTCATCAACATTCAAAATGAAAATAAAGTTTCTAAAAAATACCTTTCTGCATCTAATAATTTCATACAGCGAATAACACGTTCAGTGCCATGGTACGATGTATCAGCAATTGCTATGAATTCTATATCATCAAGTCTCCAGGTACATAAGGAAGTTCGCATTGAATTTTTCAGGTATAGTTGCTGAGAACGCTGAATGTAGATTTCCGCATTTTTCTTTGCTAATTTAGAATAGAGCAAGTTGATTTTCTCACCTAGGATATAATTAAAACCAATACTTTATTGAAAAATTCATCAGAATATTTAAATAAATTTTAAAAATTATTTCCTACATTATAAGATAAGAAAGATAAGATAAAATATGAAATTCTTACTAGGTAAAAGTAAATTTGTTCGGCGAAAATTTTCAATTTTTTCGTCAAGCATTCGTTTTCTTTTTAAGCTTTCATGATATTCATCTTCAAGTAACTAAAGTATGTGAATAATAAAAATCAATGAAACTACTATTTAAATTTTTAAATTATCATTTATTAAAATTTTCTGTTCCATTAAAAGTATTATGCTTCTATAAAACTCTTAAGTTGATATACTGAGAACTATATATCTGATGTGGAAATTGAACTTAATTCAAATTATCAAAAACAATATATGTACATTAAAATATATGCAACTTACATAATTACATAATTAATATACAAACAACAAATTCATCCTATGTTTTCTAGCCTTAGCAAAAACTCACAAGTAAAGATCGTCAGCAGGCAGCATCTGTACTGATGTTCCACCTACCTTCCTAGCTTTAGTACATCATTTAACATGCACATTGCCAATAAAGCACTTCTTTCAGGCGAGAGTTATTTCATCATATTAATCATTTTGGGTCTGTGAGAACTAATCTGTCCAAATATGCAAATTTTTTCAAAATTTCATTTTATTTTACTCTTTTAAATTTTAGAATTTAGACAACAGTGTGGTACTCAGTTTCTGTTTAATGTATTTGTAGGATTTCATGAAAATTTAAATCTCAATAATTCTGATGATTTGGCCACAGCATTACCTTTGTCTGTGTATTTTGTTCAGATTCCAAAATAATATAACTTTAGTTTCATATGTTCCAAAGTGGGATAAAACAGTGATCTTCTTGTCATTAATGCATCATAATGACAAAACTGACGAAAGTATGGATGACAAGAAAAAACTTGAAATCATAACGTTTTGTAATGAAACAAAAGGTGGTGTTGACTGTGTCAACGAGAGAGTGGATTTGATAATGTTGCTCGAAACACGAGACGTTGGCCAATGGTTGTTTTTTTATGCCCTACTAAATATAGCAGCTTATAATTCATATTTAATTTTTAAATCAAATGCACCTGATAGTTTTGTTGATATATTTTAGAATTTTAGTATCACAAATATGTTTAAATAAAAGAAGATAAAGTTGTTTTAATTTAAAAATGACGCGAATACAATATATCTGATGTAAAGTATTAACGAGTCTCACAAACCCAACCCATATATGTACGGCCTTTTTTTTTTACCCATGCACTCACGGATTAAGAATACATTTAAATAAATAAGTAAATGAATATATAATAAACAAACAGAAAGGAAAAAAAAACTCAACTACTAAACCAAACTGTTATAATTCAAATTTATTCATTTATAACAATTACAACAAGATGCAATATTTACACAATGTATAGTGTGTTCACTACATGAAGGGAGTTGACCTTACCTATTAGGAAGGACAGTTGATTTCCCTGCAGGGAGACAAGCAGAAAATTCATCCAAAGTTGCAAATGAGTGAATCCGAATTCCATTATTATAGTGCACATGTTATTTTACATAAAATTATGTCATTATTTACCTAGTTACCTAATGTGATTATTTTACTTAGTTTACCTAATATAAGATGCTAGGATCTTGACACCATGTGATGTAGGTATAGTCAAGTCTCTTTTCCTGGTGGACCTTCACAACAAGTGTATCATATACGCATCAGTACTAAATCCTCTTACGCGAAGGCATGCCCCTTAGCGCAACTCACCTGGAAGATGGTGTATTGTTGCAGTAGTACTATTTCGCAAGATGTGGTATTTTGCATCGCTAAGCATAACTTTAAAAAAAAATTCATTAAAAATATTTTTTTATCAATTGTTTTGATTTTTTTTCTAATGGTATCTAACAGTAATATAATCATAAATACAGAATATCAAGAGATTCTGAAAAAATTTTAATTAAAATCTAAATGCAAAATAAAGTATTTGATTTGTCTTGATGAAATGTAAAAAACTTACTTAAATCTATATCTAAACATATGTGAAAAATAATAAAATATATGATTAAATATTGTAGCATAAATGCTTCAGAAAGGAGACAATGTGTGATAATCTAGTTACTATTATTTCATTAGCTAAGAAACACATTTTCCAGGTCGACCTTTTTCATTATTCCCAGCAGAATAATTAATCCTAGGATTCCCATCATTTTAGGCCCATCTACAGGAGCATGTTGATTTTGGATGAAGATGGATTTTCACTCATCTTTTGTTCATAGAAATAAATAGTTTCTTCAACTATTATGTTCATTAGATCATCAAAAAAATGGTGAAAAAATCAGTTTCATTCACATAACTTTAAATTAAATTTACTTCTGCAATTCTTGTAAATACATAAGACTTCAATTACTTAACAGATCAAGTTCATGATGGAGTATCTACTGTTCTGCTAGATTGTGAGGTGAAAGCAAAATAAACTTCCAATTCAGTCTCTGACAAAATTTCAATATCAAATTAGCTATCCTCACTTAAATCTAGAGTCTTTGGTGTCAAATCAGTAACTCATGGGCTCATTTACAATTCAAATATACTCTTCTTTCATTAAAAACTTCTTGCTTTTAGACATCGCACTATTAGATTAACTCTTTTAACCAGTGCAAAAACTTTATGCCTGCTATTTAAAGAAGATACGAACTTAATATAAACAGGAGTCCCTAAAACCACAGCTCCACTCCTAATCTTCCCATATGAGAAAAAAAAAATTGATTGAAGCATAAGAGCCTGTTCAATCACATAAAGCCTGAACTGCACATGAGCTGGGTTTTGTTTACTTTATATCATCTGCTGATATATCTAATCATTAGAATCAGAAAGTACTTCACAGACATGGAACACCATCTAGTGATTTCAAAAAAAAATTTAAAAGAGCATGTATGCTTGAAAGTGCTTATATGCTACACCCGTCTGAAAGATCAGTGCAAGCAGCGATGCATGAGTGCACACCCAGCTGCTAGTGACATCTGGAACTAATGCATATATGACACTCCTGTCTCCAGAGGGTTTTCAGTTTAGCAACATGCTGTCACGAAGGAGTTAATCTTGGCTTCAAATAAGATTCAAATATGTTAATTTTAATTAATATATATTAACTAAGCTATTACAGCAGGACTCTCCTTTTGTAAATTCTATTTATTTACAGTAAAATTCTGTCCTTAATAAATCTTTGTGAAAGGTTTCTGAATATAAAAGTTATTAGTTATATAATCAAGATTACCTTAATGCTAATAAACATAAAGAAAACATTCAACTGAAAAGAATTCATTTATTGATGAATTGAAATTCTGCATTTAGAAGAAGTTAAACAATATGTTCTAGGTTACTTGCTAAAACCACATTTAATCATTAGTAAAACTAGGAGCTTTCGCAGATGACCTGTCTACTTCACAAACTGGAATGAATAGCTCAATCAAGTTCCTCCTTTTTTTCCACCTTCTGCAAAGTTCCTGTATTTCTCAGAAGCTACAACTAGATGCATGATATGAAAGGTCTCTGATGAAACCTATCTGATGCAGATTTGTAGCTTCTCTGATTTTAACTGCCTTTTATGGCAGAATTTGTTGATAACTTTAGCTTTGTCTCATTCCATTACTGAGTATGGATGCTTCAAGGCATATTTAAGCAAGAAGTATGTATTAAACATTGTTAATAAAGATGAGGAAAAAACATGAGAGCAGCACCTTTAGTGCGGGTAGTAATCACCACCCAAATCTATGATTTTCTACCAACATTTTGGTAGTTTTTAAAGCCTTTGGCACAGCAGAAACTTGGTGGCCACGAGTCCACAAACACAGGAACCTCATTTTGGACATCCTGTGCAGAACGGAAGATAGCACCAGCAAGATGTAGCTGAAGCTGTGAAAAAGGTAGAAGTCCGAAGGAATGACGTCAGGGCTATATGGTGGGTGTGGCAAAAGGTCCCATTTGAGTCCGTACAGAGTTCAGCGGGTGAATGCAGACACATGTGGTCTTGCATTATCTTGATGGAACATTAGATAATGCAAGACTACTGGAACTCATTTAATGGAACACACTTGACACATTTCCTTGATAGATAATGCCAACATGGACTAGCATGTTGACACTACCTATCAAGAAAAAAATACTGGAACTCGTTCAACGTTGGGCCGGAACTCATTCTATGTGTTTCCTCGATAGATAGTGTCAACATGGACTAGCATCTTGCTGTACACCTTACTGTCGAGGGTTTTACCTTTTTCGAAATACTCTTTGTGTATAATATCATGGCTATCTCATCAGATACAAAACATGATTTTTTGTTAGTCAAATTGTGCTTTGCAACACCAGCAATGGGCTCACTGAGCACAGACCAACCCCCTTTTCAGCCTTTTTTGTTGAAGTAAATCCACTTTTCATAAAAAGTGATGATCTGGTCGAGAATTTTGTCCTTCCATTGGTATTGGAACAGATTAGTGCAGAACAAGTCTGTCCGTATCTGCTTGAATCAGCTCATGCGACACCCTGCAATTGAACTTGTATGTCAAGTTTATGTGATACACAGAGCGACTAATAGACATGGCCATTTTAAGTCTGGCTCCTTAGCAAGTTCTTGACTGGTTGCATACTGATCTTCTTCCACAAGTTCTCACAGGTAGGCTTCATCAACATCAGTAGTACGGTCAGGGTGCTCTGCTTCTTGAAAGTCACAGTCCTTGTTTTTGAACTTTCGGTACCAAACCTTCACAGTGTCATATGATATAACATTAGTACCTAAAGCTGTACACATGATTTGGTGACATTCTGTAGTTGACGTTTTGTAAGAGAACTTGAAGTAAACGATGGTTCTAATCTGGTAGCATGATTTCAAACACCTTGTACTTAATATTAATGGCCTTTTTGTTTAATAAAAATTTCACAACAGTGTTCTAAGCAAGTCTCTTTCTTTCAAATGCCAAAAATTATTTGACAAAATATGATTAAACATGCCAACATGAACTGTTTGTGCAGATGATATTTGCAGTGACGGGAAACTTTCATTAAGACCTACTATTAAGTTTCTGTGTTTGTATCTTCACTGGATTCTTGCATCATTAGTAACTTTACTTTATTAAAAGACACACTTCTGCAAACATTTCTGAAAAATTAAAGTTGCTATCAACAGAATAAAATAAAAGTCAATTAAAGGAAACATTTCTCTACTATCTTATCAGCCTCATGTAACAGTTCTATCTTCAAAAATTGGCTTATAAACTTTCCATAACCTCAGCCCCATCTACATTGAAATTGTTACAAATGGACAAATCAGATGCCATTACAACATATATTAGCTTGAACATAATAAAGATAAAACCACAAAAACTCATTATATTGATTTGACATCTAGAAAATATTAATTAAAATTGCTGAGTATAAAAAAATATATATTTGCAAACTATATGCCAATCAGTATATCAATGAAAATAGCACATTTTCAGTTAAATACTTCTTGGAGCCTCCAATGCCTCTAAGCCTCAAAAACTGAATGAGATGCAGCCAAAATCGTCAACAAACACATGCTGACATAAAAGCAATTAAAATCAGAGAAGCACAAGAAATGAACACAAGACCATGCTGCAACACAGATTTTTTAACTTGCCATAAAGCTGCTTTTTAACTTGCCATAAAGCTTATTTATTCCAGTTTGATTCGGTTTATTTAATTATGGCAAAGCACTCGAGGGCTATCTGCCTAAGAAAAAGGGATGCTGAGGTCATTTTACAGGAAACTGTCTCGTATACACGTTACATATGGGAAAAACCACAAAAACATGATGCAGACAGTCCATTTGCTGGAATTTGAACCCCAGAAAAGTAAATCCACTTTTCATAAAAAGTGATGATCTGGTCGAGAATTTTGTCCTTCCATTGGTATTGGAGCAGATTAGTGCAGAACAAGTCTGTCCGTATCTGCTTGAATCAGCTCATGCGACACCCTGCAATTGAACTTGTATGTCAAGTTTATGTGATACACAGAGCGACTAATAGACATGGCCATTTTAAGTCTGGCTCCTTAGCAAGTTCTTGACTGGTTGCATACTGATCTTCTTCCACAAGTTCTCACAGGTAGGCTTCATCAACATCAGTAGTACGGTCAGGGTGCTCTGCTTCTTGAAAGTCACAGTCCTTGGTTTTGAACTTTCGGTACCAAACCTTCACAGTGTCATATGATATAACATTAGTACCTAAAGCTGTACACATGATTTGGTGACATTCAGTAATCAGCAACTTTACAGCTCAGCCACTGGTGGGCCAGACATTGATTCTGAGAAGAGCAGCAATTTTGCAAAAAAAAACAATAAAGAATGGGGACTTTCAATTCCCTTTCATTCCATCTCCAACTGATGAAGGAGATGGGTTGATTTAGAAAGATCCTATTTTATTAACGTATGAAATGCAGTTTTATACATTAATAAAATAGGAGTTTTCTAGAATAATTCATTTAACTGACTCACATATTAATTTTATACCATAGTTTAAACTAATACAAATGTTTGTAAGACAATCTCACAGTATACAAATATATTGAATTAAAGAGATACCCAAAAGTGTTGTATTATTCATGATGATATAGTCTGAAACACCAACCTCAAAATTATCTCGCAATTTCACTTCAAAAGGATCATCTTCTAGTTCAATAGTCCACACCTATAGAGAAAAAAAATGAAAATAAATGAATAACAGATCTGCATATTAAAAAAGGGAAAATGGAATCTATTTTGAGGGGGAGCAGGAGAGGACTTTTACTTATATCAATTAAAATCTAATTACAATATGTAGAAAAATCATGTCTAAATTTCTAAAATCTAAACACTTTTTTTAGCTATGACTCAACCAAAGAAATGTGTTTTAAAGTGATGAGAATTTATGCTGTTGATATTCCACATACACAAGTAATGATACAGTCTTTTGATATTCCACATACACAAGTAATATCCATTACTGCAAAAAGGCAGATAGATGCAAAAGTTTCTATGCATATGCATTGCAGTTCACGTTCTCTCTCTACCATTTGACAGTACCATGATAAACGGCAAAGTAAAAAATTGTTTTATGAATTTGAAAATGATTTTAAGCAATACTATAAGCAATGGGTAGCTTGCAGTGGAAGAAGTTAAAGACATTTGTTTGTACCAGAAAGAAAATTGGAACAGAGTTTTTAGCATGTATTCTACAAACATGTATGTATGTTGCCAGTCACAAACTGAAAATTTTTATACTAATAATGAGTACTGAAAACAGGACTGCAAATGCAGCTCTATTTAAAAATGGTTTGATTTCTAAAATTTACCAAAAGAACAATGAAACATACCAAATATTGCATCAAACTGAAGAAAGCAAAAGCATATTTCTAATATAATTTTTACTCGTACTACTAAGAATATTTACAGCAAAATATACTCAGCAGAAAAGCAAAAGATGATTTAAAAAGCAAAATTTCCATAATTACTTACCATCACCATTTAAATAAATATAACAGTAAGGTGAGAAAATAATGAATAAAGCTAAAATTTTATGGCTCTGTTCTCACCTTACAAATAATCTGCAAATCAGGTGGAAGTTTACTTTCTAATGTAAAAGGTGTTTTCTTTTTCTTATGTAGTATCTTGAGCCACTTTATTACATTAACGTACTGTAAAAATAAAAGCAGATCTATACATATAAAATTTGCAATAAATATGTACATTTGAAATACCTTATAAACAAGCCTAATACTTCTAAAATATCTTACATTATTTAATTATATGATATATATGTAATATGAAACAACGTAACATGCATTTTTGATAGCAAAATATGAAGTACTTCTTACATCTACCATTTTATTGGATAATATGATTATCATATTTTGGGAAGGAACATCAAATATGAACACCATACAAGCATTTAAGCTAAAGAAGAAATTAATAAGATTCTTAATTTTAGGTAAATCACTGATTATATGTAATAATTTATAAATATGAAAGATTATGGGTGTGTCTTCAAAAAGTTAAATGGCAGTTTCAAAATGGCATTTAAATACCATCTCTCAATATTTTCACAGTTTTTTTACAGCTTTCTTTGTAACCTCGCCTTTCTTTTTCATTTTCAAAAAACATGTAAGCACTGCACATTGTACCTACAGGCATTGTACATTCATTTCTTCAAAGCGTTCTTTTATAAAGCATTTTGCCATATAATGCTGACTTCCTTAATTACCCTACTAGCAATCTGATGCTTTTCTTCCATTTTTAGCTTCAGTTCTTTTTCTTGAACTTAAAAATCAATTTCTGTCTGTAACTTTTGTGGGACATTCTAAGAAAACGTTAACTGTTTTGCAAAGTAATACAAATTCAGGCTTATCCCAGCCTGAGAGCATTTTTAATAGTCAAATTACATTCTGACATTTTAGAACGTCTTTAGCAAGAACTTTACCTGGAGAAGTCCCTTGCACTTTCTATTTTCATTAAGAAAGATATAATGTATATTTAATAATTTTATTTATATTTAGGTACTTTAATCCACTAACTGCATGTTGCTTATTCAGAAACAGGTTTCAGTATCTGTCTACAGGAATATTAACCTCAGTTTTAGGATCACCATCAAGAAGTTACTTGAAGGCAACATTCTAGTAATACCTAAAAGGTTCTGCTATAGAATGTTTTGCTACTATCTCAATTAGTTTCAAAAATCTAAAATATTTTATCAAATAATGAGCAATGGAACGTCTACTGATAATATGCTTGCATATTTCAATGTAATAGCTTCACTCTCTGTCTATAAGAATACAATTATTTTTCATATATTGTTCTCAAAGCTATTTTTGCCTCATAATTCATAGCCACTTGTGACAATATAAATTTTTATTCCAAAAAAAGTGTAACTGCCTCTCTGTTCGATTTATTGCCATGCATAACTGAGTAATACTTTCAGCTACTGAATATACCAGACAGCAAACTCATTTTTTCTGAAAGAGACCAATGAAGTGATAAAATAAAAATGTACTTGAATAAACAACATGAGTTCCATATTAATTTTTTGGTATTTTAAAGAGTATTGTGATCAATTTATACAAATTGAGCCTTTAAATTTTAAATTAAAGCCTGATGTCTTTAATAATAATAATTTAAATTGTCATTCTCAGAACAATCATTAAAAATTCTAACAAATAAATAAAATGAGATTAAGAACAATTTAAAAAAACAGAATCAATGACAGCACACATTCTATTGAAAATTAGCTCACGTTATGTAGCTAAAAAAAAAAGAAATTTACAACTAACTAACTCACTTCTTCACTAAAAGCTTCAGCAAAATTGTACTTGTATGGAAATATAAATTTCACAGAATCAAAATGAAAGCTCCTAGTTAAAACAATAACAACAATTACAACAAAAATAACACCAATAATAATAAATTACAAAAACCAAAGAATAAGTACAACAACTGGATTCAATGTTATTCATTTAAAAAACAAATTACTTACAGAATTCGGTTGTTTGAGAGCTCCAAGGCATCAAAACCTTGCCTGCAAAGTTGTTGCTGCTCAGTGCCTGGCATTAGTGAAACTGCAGCATTCTAAAAGAAAAAGAAAGAAAAAAGAAATGAAAAATGTATTTCCTCATATATAACTAATATGTCAATAACATTAGGAAATTTAGCTACAGTACTAGAATGAAAAATAATTTATTTATGCTGTTTACAATTTAAAAGAAATTTTATATGTTAAATTAACAGTTTTGAAGAAATATTTATGTAGCACAATTAAATAACATCAGATATATTTTAAATTTATAACAGTGATCAGTCGCAAATTATAGAAAATATCTTTTATGAGTTTTCCTCTCACTTATTAAAGCATTATGATATCAAACCTTACTAACTGTTTACTTTTAATTAGTATTTTATGCAGAAGAGATTATAAAGATTTTTACCCTGTTTATGAATTAAGAAATTTATAGCATGCTATTATTAACAGAAAACCACATTTTGGATTATAAAGAAATTTAATTACAAATTATTTTCCATAGTTTATCTGGAACACTGTTTTAATTATCACAGATAACAATATTACATTAATCTGCATTCTCAGATTAGATTACTTTCATTACAATGAGGGTATTTTATTTGAAGATTTTTAATACAGTTTGAGAAATCTTGCATTAAAACAGTATAAGCATTAAGTTTATTCTTTAATGTTACTATTAATCCCGCTGGGACTTTTAGTTTACTAAGCTGTAGTTGTTAAAAGTTAGATTACATAATATTAAATTATTTAGTTTTTTATTTTAGCCTTCTTGGTTAAGAATAGATTGAATACAGTGAAGGAAATTTGAGCACTCTTGAGAATCTATTGTTATAAATGGCACCAACAGTTAATTTACATTTTCACAAAAATATGAAGCTATAATGTATGTACTTCATATATATAACCTTCGTATATTCTTAGCAAAGTTCCAATTTCCCAGAAGCCACAGCTTATAAATTAACTAACTTAAATTGACACAAATTTTAAGAATTATATAGAAATCAAAATACATATTTTTCATAACAGAAAACTGCATCCAATTTGTATTTCATTGTGGTCAATAAACTATTACCATCTTAGCAACTAGTCTTTATATATTTATTTATTTATTACTGTAACACTGTACTAAAACATCTATAAGATGACCACATAAATTTCAGACTACTGTCTCGTTAAGTAAAGGTGGTTTTCTTAAGAAACATAATAGTTGCTGAAACATAATATTGCCAAAGTACATAATATTACCAGGTAACATAATATTACCAGGTAACATAATATTACCAAGTTAATATAATTAAGTTGAAACATAATATTACCAGGTAACAAAGAAAGTTTGTATGGTTTTCATCGCTCATCAAATACGGCCCACAAAAATCTTAAACACCCATTTTATTCTTCGAAATAATCACCTTTGGTTTCAATTACATGTCCCCAATGAGAAACAAGCTTATAAATGCCATTTTTAAAAAAATTTTCTGGAGCCAAAAAATTGTCATACAGCCTTTGTGACATTATCACATTTTCAGAACTGGTGGTTATCCATGGACAAAGGTAATATTCTGATGGGGCAATACCCAGGGAATAGGGTAGCTGAGGCAGAACGTCCAAGCCTTTTGATCATCTCTTAGGTCACTTTTGCTGTATGAGGTCTGACATTGACATTATCATGAAGGAGGAGAACTCTTTTGTTGACCAGTGCTGGCTGCTTCTGGTGCACTGTTTGCAACTATGATGAGTAGACATCAGCTGTTATGGTTTTTCCACTTTCTAGATATTCATAGTGGACTATACCAGCAATGGTCCACTAAACACATAAAATTACCTCCTGTTAGTGAAAGGTCTGTCTTAGTGGTCAATGAGGTTAAACCAGAAGTAGACCAATGATGTTTCCCCTTTTAGTTATAATACATGATCCATTTTTTAATCACACATCAAAATTTTGTCCAGAAACAATGCTTTATTATGGAACAACAGCAATGACAAGCAGAAGTTCAACTGTTGGGGCTTATTCTCCTCAGATAGAACATGAGCAACCCACTAGATGTGACTGAATGGTTTCATCAGATATTCCAAACTTGAGAGCAATCTACAGGTTTGATAAGGATTTTGCTTGATTTCTCCAGCTGGACTCTGTGGAGGATGAATGGACGATTAACAGAAGGCTAGTCTTCAAGGATCTAATCTCCAAAAGAAAATCGACTGAACCACTTATCAGCAGTTCGTTCTCCAAACAAGAAGCATATTCTTCTAGCAAGCTCTGCAGCTTTGTATCCTAATTTGTATTCGTAAAGAAAAATAGATCTCAAAATATCCTTTTCCAACAACATGTTCTTTTGAAGATTGCACTTCCTATGAAACCGATAGCAAAACATGTTATACAATGAACAATCTGACCACACAAATGCAGCAAAAGTAACTATTCTCAAAAACTGCATTAACTTTCTAGGTTAAGTGGTAGGAAGATTATCACTGCAAAAAAGTTTTATTATAATTCTACAGGTACAAGTAAAAGTGGATACAATACCAGAATTTCACCATTGGGGGGTCATACAGGCACTGCCATGCAGCTCCACCCAAATTTTGATGGAGAACATGCCAAAGGATGGTCCAAGATCTCCCAACCTTCTTCCTTTACCACCAAACACTCAATAGAACTTTCAGTGACCCCCCTTCATACTATGCCAACTATTTTAAGTGCTCATGTGTTGCACAGAAATTATGCACTTAGAGATATCCATGCCTTTGTGAGATTCGAACCTGGGCCCATTGTTATGACAGCCAGTGCCACTTACTATTACAGAATTATAATTATTTTAAACATTTATTATGAATGCAAGTTTGAAAGCCAAATTAATGCACCAGATAAAACTAAATTTAAAAAAAAAAAAAAAACTGAAAGTCTTATTAGAATATTATATTATATATTACAAACAAAATTTTACCTCATATATAAATATATCATGGTCATCAAATACCCACGTAATGCATTTAGAGTTAGATGTTATTAAGTGATGATTAAAACTGAGACAGAAATCGGTACCTACAAGGCTCGTCCTAAAATTAAAGAATAACTATGGTTAATATATTGACTGACTGAAAAAAACTAAAAAGAAATAAAGTTTTTATACAAAAATTTGAATATTTCCAAGAAAGAACATGATAATATATCCAACATTAAAATATATACAACATAGCAGCCAATATTAAAATATAGACAACATAGCCATCAACATTAAAACATATATATGGCTTAAATGCATATAAACATATACACAACACAGCTGCCAACATTAACCACTTAATGCATTTGCCCATATCTGACATGGGCAAAAAAGGTACCGGCAAATTTGCACATGCTCGTGTCTTATTTCTAATACTTGTCTGAGATCTTGTAACAATAGATGGGCTAGAATATAATTAAACTTATTTACCATAGATGGTACCACTATGCAGCATTTTTCTTGTGCAAATCACATGCTGCATTTTGATGATTAGCTATACGTTTGTTAGGAATTCTTTGCAATAAAGTTGCTGTTTGGTGTGGAAAAGGTAACATATCCATTTTTATTGTGTTAAATATCATAAAAAAGCATTTAACCATAAATTAATTTTTACTGTTTTTGTAACTTGTTTAGAAAAAGTTATCTGATAATGAGCAACTCTGATGGTTTTGAATATGCCAATTTATCAGAAAGTTTCAACGATGAAACTGATGATCACTTGAGTGATGGAAGTAAATCTGAAGATAATAATAGTGAGATGTTGGCTGTAGTAAGAAATCGGTACCAAATTAATACAAATCAACCAAATGTTGCACCACCAAGATTTCCATTTAAAGCAAAACTTTTACCCCATTCCCTGCTCCCTATATAAAATAAAGATGAAACAATAATATATTGTACAACAGTCATAAATAAAGAACTGAATAAAAGTATCAAACTAAAAATTTTAAAAAAAATGCAGTTTGCATTACAAATAGAAATCAACTACACCAAGATTACTTTGGCACAAAGAATTTTATATGACTTTGTTTCAAGTATTAAATTGCATGTTTGGTGAAAAAATAAGGAATCAGTTTCAACATAGCAGTGATATTATTTGCATTCAATTAATATATTATAATCTAAATAAATATAAAAGCAATACACAAAAAACAGTGAGCAATTCTGTTCATACAAAAATAAACAAATGTTTAAAAAAAGCTGAAAAATCAGTGTAAACTGGTAGTTAAAAATATATAGAGATATAAATTGTTTCATAAGAATAAATTGAATTTAATTTAAAAAATTAAATTTAAATACAAATTTAATTAAATTTTCTTTGCACTATTGCTGCAAGGAATGAAATTTAAATTTAAACAAATTTTAATTTAATTTTTAACAAATATGTATAAAAGTAAAAAAGCAAATTTAAATCCTAAGAAAATGAAAAAAAGCCAAAATAATTTTTAAAAAAATGTGCAAACATATAAAAGATTCAATACTCGAACTAATCTACAACGTATCTTCAGAAGCATAAGCAAATCAATTACAAAATCAATCCATGAAAATAAATTTACTAATTTAATAAATTAAAGTTAAATTAAACATTTTTTTAAAAATGCATATGCGAATGACTGTTGAGTAGACAGGAGACAGACTTATCAAGGGGAAGTTGCCTCCAAACCTAACTCTCCAATCATTCAATTCGTGTTTCGTCATTCATGCAGGCAAGGGTAAAAGTCAAAACCAAAAGTAATTTCCATAAAGTGGTTCCCTTAGAAATTAACATTTAAGAATTAAAGTTCAAAAGAAAAATACTATGAGTCTTTGAGAAACAGTAAGTCAAAAATTAACTTTTTTTTTAAAAATTATTTTTATAAAAATTAAATATTAAAATGTTCTTGCAAAAACTTTTTGAATATGCTTCTAACTAAAAAAACTATAACCTTTTCTGCGATGCACCCATTGAATCTGAAAATATATCTCCGCACCCCATTGAAAAATGTGTTTTAATTTTTTTAGTCTAGAAAAATACATTTTTTGCGAAACTTATTGTTTATTGAAAAACATTGTACATTTTATAAATACAAAACAATATTATTTTTATTAATGACTAGTCTGTTGTTGTTTGTTCATTATTATACTGGCGAAGCGAGGTTCCTTTTTTGAAAGACATACGCGTAAGTCATCACTTGCATTTAAGCGATTTCTCGCTTTAGTTTTTATATGCAAAAGCGATGAAAATCCCATTTCGCACAAGTAGGTGGTAGCAAAGGGTAAGAGTAACTGCAGTGCTCCGTTCGCCAACTCTGGATAACGTTGTAACTGTGAACACCAGAATTGTTGCAATTCTAATTGTTCGAATTCCATTTGAACATGTCCACTTGCTCGCATTTCAATAAGTTGATCTTTTTTCAGATCACTATCATCCATCAAATTTAAGTCAAATAGAAATGGATCCAGTATCCATCTCTGAGTTTTGGTAATATTTCCGGTAGAAAAATATCCATTGAATGATTCGCTCAATCGTCTCAAATGTATTACAATGTCGGGTATAATTGTATTCTTTTCATTTTTCGCAATAACAGAATCAAGCAAGGGAAAGTTTGCAAAATTCCCCTTTTCTACTCGACGTATCCAAATTTCTAATTTTGCGATAAATGAAGATAATTTTTCACTAGATATTATTATATATATTATATTTTATACCAAATCCTTGCATTGATAGATTCAATTCATTTAAATGGCTAAATATGTCTGCTAAGTAGGCCAGCCTCAGCATTGCATCATTACTCTCAAAATCTTTTACTAAATAACAGTTTTGACTAGTCAGTAATTGAATAATTTCCTCACGCAATTCAAAAACTCTGTTAAGCATGCGACCCTTAGATAACCATCGTATTTCGGTGTGATATAGGAGCACGGTATGATCAGCACCGATTTCTTCGCAAAATGCACGAAAAATGCGATGATTAAGCGCTCGCCCTCGGATGTATTTTACTACATTTACTGCTGTAGTTAGATGTTGTTTTAAACTTTCTGGCAATGCTTTCGACGCAAGTGCATGACGATGCAACATGCAATGCGTTATTATAACTTCCGGTAATTCTCTTTTCATGTGTGAAAAAAAATCCTGAATTTTTGCCTAACATTGCTGGGGCTCCATCAGTGCATATTGAGCCAATCACATTCATTGGTAATTGATATTTAGTAAAAAAAAATCTTTGATGCGATTGAAAACATCAATTCCTCTCGTATTCACCTCCAGTGGCTCACAAAATAGAAATTCTTCTATCACCTCTTTTTCCTTCACATACCTGACAAATACCAAAAGTTGGCTACAATTATCAACATCAGTTGACTCATCCAGTTGCATGCTTATTTTTAGTGGACTGATTTTTATGTCTTCAATTACTTGCATTAAAATATCTTCACTGAGATCTTGTATTCGCGATCGTATAATATCATTCGATAATGGAATCTGTTGGATTTTTTTATGTGCTTCCGAATCTAAAACTGTTTTAGCAATAATTAAAGCAGAAGGTTTAATCAACTCTTCAGCGATCGTGTGAGGTTTCTTTTTTTTTTTTTTTTTTTTTTTTTTGCACATAAATATGCCACTTGATATGACGCTTCTAATAAAGGTTTTTGAATTGCTGGTCCGCACAATTTTAGGATAGTTCCACTGGTATCAAACCGAGCCTTCTTTGACTTCAAAGCTGTTCATGCTATGCGCTTTTTCGCCACCATGCAGATTATGTTGAAATGCTCTAATAACTTTGATGGTTTGAGATTGCTGTTTGAAAATATCTTGGAACACAAGATGCATTGGGTCGTTGCGTGCCATCTTTTTCGGTTGTGTGCAGGTAAATCCATAACCGGCATACTTATCGTTCCATTGTCGTTTTTTTTGACATAGTGGGGTTCACTATAATCGATTTAATTATTTAGAAATAATGTAATATAATATATATAATGTTCTTACGTTTGTAATATCACTGAATCCTATTCGGCTTGAACGGGCAATTAAGAATGTATTAGTCTCAAGAGGTTTCTGGACAAGTCAGAATACACAATACACATGTCGCAGACACAATAGCTGACTCGTTCAGATAGTGGAAAGGTGGACACCAATTTACTAAATAATGAGGTATAGCCCACTACTCGTTTTTTAAGTAAATTCAAAATAGTACATGTATATAAAACCTAGTGAATAAACATAGTATATAGTTGTCGAATTTGATGATATTCTATTAGTTATTATAGCATTATAATGTAATAATAGTAGGCTAACAGTCATAATTTATAACAGTTTCTTAATAGTTCCTTGAGATAAAGTTTATTATATGAATCTGTATCTTCTTCCTCTTCTTTTTCCCTTTTTTACTATATCATTATTATTGCAAGGGTTTGTTTTCAAGATAATTAGATAATAAAAGTTTTTAGATGAATTGCAGCTTCAAAAATGAATTTGACATTAATTACATTAGTGCTCACATAAATTTTTGCCTATTGAAGATAGATATTTGAATTGTATTTTCTATTTACTTTTTAAATGTTTGTCGGTAATTGCAAAACGAAGGAAGGCATTGATATTGAATTAGGCAATTAATATGAGTTGACTTTGTTAAGGGACATTGAGTAATATAATGGATTGGATCACCTTTATTTCCACATACACATTGCTCAGAGTTAGAGATGTTGAATCTGAAGAAGTATGTGGGAAATGGCCCATGTCCAGTTAAAAAGCGGTTTAATAACCATTGACCATTGTACATGTATCATTTACATGAGGTGCTATTTGATTTAATTGTCTTCTGTATTTATTGTTCTCCATTCTTCTTCCCACATTGGAGGCTGATTTTATGTAGATATTTCTTGAGGTATGATTTCGGCCAGGAGATTTTTCTTGAAGGGATATTATTGTTGGTAGTAGCTGATTTGGCTGCTGAATCGGCTTCTTCGTTACCAAGAACTCCGACGTGAGCCTTTATCCAATAAATGTTTGGTGATATTTGAGGATATTGGATAATTTTGTTAAAAATATCTTGAATTATTTCAGATGTGTGTTTGAGATTTTGTAGAGCTAGTATTGCTGATTGACTATCCGAATAGTTGACTCAACCTAACACAGGCACAGTAGATGCAGATACAAATCTGTGAATCCGTACACTCCATTGGAGTAGCACATATTGAACTCAGCGCATGCGCAAGCTGGGATAACGTTCTCCGCATGTATTCCCACAAAATGTTTTTCTTTTCTCCGTCACCTAGCTGCCTGTTCGCGTTCATTTGTAGCGTTTCATGCCTTTTTGTAGCGCAGTATATACGCCCATCGGCACCGGCTCTTTCCTGTGTCTTTTGCCGATAAGTGAGCTAGGTGCTACCAATTTTTATGAGCTTCAATATTGGGGACACTATTGTAGATTTCAAATATTTTATTATAAGAAATTTAATAAATGATATTTAATAATTTTTATGGTTAGGTAGGGGCTTCTCCCACACCCCCAAAAATACATTCCCACACCACCAGGAGTGTGGGCACCCTGGTTAAGAACCACTGATATAAACCAATAAGAAACAAAAGGAACTAATTACAATTTTTAAAAAACAAATATATATTTAAAAATATAATTTCATATTAGAAAATACTTAGATACTACATAAAAATTTAAAAAAAATACTTATAGCAAGTAAATAGTAAGTTTTAATTCTAACTTACCTACTATATGAGTGCGGGGTCTGCAAAAAGTGTTGTAAAAGAGAAGTAAGTGTGTTCTTCAAATTATATAGATGGCGCTTATTATGTAGGTAAAATTGAGGTGTCAAGCTGCTATCTTTGTTATAGTAAAAATTGTTTGTAAACATTAATATTAAAAATCAAATTAAATTAAATTAAAAAATTAAAAAATCCTAAAGGTAGTAATTATCAATTTTTTAGGGAGTTAGAACTGAGCCAATCAAGAGATGTAAGTTTGCTTGAAGGAAAATAAAGTGAGTAAGTGGTATTGTGAATAAAATGTAAACTTGTTTGTAATGTGATATGTGTGTTCTGTTGAAAAAGTGTGTTGTAAAAATTGTTTATAAAAAAAATTTAAAAAAAAAAAAAAAAAAAAACCCGTTAAGTGAAAAAATTTTTTTGTGTGTGTGAAAATGCAAAAAATTAAATTAGAAAACTGAAATGTTTTAATATTAAAGTTTTTAAAGTAAAATTTCCCAAAATTTTTTAAAAAGAAGTCCTTAAAAAACCTCTAAAAAATTCCAGAATTTCTCAAAAATTAATTTAGGAAAGTTAATTAAAACTTAAATTTAATGAAAGAAAATATTAAAAGTTTTAATGAACTTGATTTCAATTGGTATCAAAACTTAACTAAAACTGGCTAAAGTATGGAAAATTAGAAGAAGATTAAAATCTTCACTCAATTCTCAATTATATCCCGAATTGAGTGAAGATTTTAATCTAATTTAATTTTAAATATATTTGTTTTTTAAAAATTGTAATTAGTTCTTTTTTTTATTGGTTTATAGGATTATGTCTAGTTCTTTTTTAGTTTCTTTTATTGATATGCATATTCGTGTAGGGTAGGTTTCTGTAGACAAGGGTTTCTAAAATACATTGGTTTCTAGATTATTTTATTTTTTTTTATAAAAAATTAATTTTTTAATAAAATTTAATTTTTAAAAAAAGTTTAATTCTTGACTTTACTTGTTTCTTAAAAGACTTCATTAGTATTTTTCTTTTGAACTTTAATTCTTAAATGTTATTTCTAAGGGAACCACTTTATTGAAATTACTTTTGGTTTTGACTTTTACCCTTGCCTGCATAAATGACGAAACACGAATTGAATGATTGGAGAGTTAGGTTTGGAGGCATCTTCCCCTTGATAAGTCTGTCTCCTGCCTACTCAACAGTCATTCACATATGCATTTTTAAAAAATGTTTAATTTAATTTTAATTTATTAAATTAGTTAAATTTATTTATATGTTTGCACATTTTTTTTAAAAATTATTTTGGCTTTTTTTCTTTTTTTTAGGATTTAAATTTGCTTTTTACTTTTATACGTATTTGTTAAAAATTAAATTTAAATTTGTTTAAATTTAGAAAGATATAAATATGTATGTGTAAATATCAAATTGACAGGCTGTAAAGGGTGTCCCAATAAAAGCGATGGATTTGATATGTCCAATAAAATACTTTATTTTTAGAAAACTGAAAATATTTTTATATACTTACAACAGGTAAATGTTCCAATTTTAAAATGAAAAATAATGTTTGGCATACATTCTCCATGCCTTTTTCCAGAGCACTGCACTCTGCTGATGAAATTTGTTATCATTTTCTTAAATCAGCTAATCACTAACAAATATCTAACTAATGACATGTTCAGTTTCTTTTTTTAAGTTCTTTAATTTTTATTTGTTTAAATTCCGATTCTTTGGGACTAGCAATAACACTGTCATGCACAATAGCCATGTTTTCAGTTGGCTGGATCAAAAGCATGGTGATTTAATGTTTGCTGTAAAACCTGTGTACTCAAATTTCTTTACTAATCTGCAATTTTTAGTCTGATTAAATGTATTTTTACATCAAAAGATTGTATAAAGCTTCCTAACAGTCTGTGCATAACATTCACCATTCTTGTAATGAGTTTTCACAATTGAAACTTGCTACCCCTTCGTGTAGCACTAAGTCAACTTAGCTGCAACGAAGCTACGAAATGAACTGACAGTGATAAAATACCAGTTTTGACAAGTCATATGAAACTCAACATTCTTAAATCAAAATATTTGCCTGTTGTAAGTATGTAAAAATATTTCCAATTTCTAAAAAAAGATATTTTTGTGAGCATATTAAATCCAGCACTTTTGTTGGTATGTCCTATATCAGTGATCCCAAACTGATGACCCTTAAAGCAATTTTACATGGCCATAAATTAGTTAGTATTATTATGGCAATAACTATTATAAGAAGAAAGAATTAAATTTAAGATTTTAATGATTTTTAATACACTTTTGTACTATTTTTACTACCAAAAACAAACATGAGTAAAGCCCCGAAAATCCAGAAATGCAGCCAGTGATATAAATTACACTGTGATATAAATCTTATTCAAAGATTTGAAAATAGAATTTTATAAAATTTAATGGTACCTGTCAAAAGAACCCTTAGTTATGAATATCTGCAATACGAATAATTGTTTAGTTCATTTTTTTTTTTTTTTTTTTTTTTTTTTTTTTTTTGAGTTGAAAAACAATAAGAAAAAAATTGGATTGAACAATGAGCATCTACAGCTCTTGGTGAAGATAGTTTTTAGTAATTTTCCTCCAAGTTTAGAAACTTCATCAAAATCTAAACATTATGAAGTGTTGCAGCAGGTTGCAGTAAGAAATAAAGAAGTTTTGTCATTAATTTATATATTAGAAATATTTGAAATAAACACCAGGCTGAAAATTTAGTCAAAATGTTTGGATTACAAAATGTAACCAACAGAAAATTCTCACATATAACTACATTTAGATTTCAGACAGAAATAAGTATGAATTTGAATTTTCTCTTTGTGTCATTATTTTTACTATTTATATACTTTTGATAAATATTCAATAAATAAAACTTAAATTTAATTAAAATCATCTTATTTTGTTAAAAAGAATATGGACCATCAACTGTTAAGAGCCATATGTAATCTGAAATTCAGACCATTAGTATATATGATAATGATAAATATAAGTGCATTGTATACATGAAAATATAAGTGAAATGAATATGTATACGTTTGGTGATATAGCAGCTTTGACAACTTTATAAAATTTCATACTGCTAACAAATTTTGCAGAAAACTTGTTTTGGGTAATAAAAGACTTCACATTTAATCATTTTTTCTAGATTATCTTTAAGCTAATTTTAATTCTCACAATATTATTTTTGAATGTACACAGAATCAGCTGCACTTTTGTAATCATTCTGCAGTTCAAGGTCAGCAAACCGTTTTTAATATTTATATTTAATTTAAATTATGCATTAAAAACTTACTTGTGCATTTTTGAAAGGATAGCACCTATGGATATATTCCCTCTAGCCTGTAAACTAAATGTCCAACTAATAGTCTTTTTGCTGTCAGTGCCTGTTTTGTAAGATGAAGTATCTTCATCAACTTGGTCTTGAATAGCTGGTTTAAAAAGATACACAATTAAAAGAAAGCTTCTGTACAAGGTAGCATGCTTAACCTAGCACATATATATAAGATAAAATAACAGAAAAATATTACCAGCACTTTTAATGTTATTACAGAAGTTTTGAACATTGCTCTTAAATGTAAGGCATTCTTGGAAAATTGTGAAAACAGTCATATGCAAGGTTGAATTCCACAGTAAATACACAATTTCAGATAATCTGACTGTAAAGGACTAAAAAATGGAAAATTATTACAGTTCTGCCTGATTTTAGAAAATGCAACATTATTTTATTACAAAATATGAACGTTTTAGCAGATTATTCATAAAAATAAATAAATATCAAGTCCCTTGAAAAGGATGACAGAATATAAAAATATACATGAAAAGTTATGCAATTAAATTGTTTTATATACATATGTAATGACATCAGAAATACACAAACAAATTCCATTTAAATATCTCCCCAACTTTGTTAGTTACAACTTATATTTAAAAATAATGGGGGGGAGAACTATTCCAACTTTTCCCCTTTTCTTATATTTTATCCTTCATTTTTATTTTTAGGCTTCTAATTTTATTACAAATTTTACACTTATACCTACTACTGCTGCCCATTGACTATTGTTTAGATACTGCAAAGAGTATGGAAGAAATCACTTGATCTAACTTTCAAGTTAGATTAAGAGTTCAAATCACATAAATCTAGCTACTTATTTCAATAACTCAATGCTCAAATATCATTTAATAGCATAGAAAGAAGAAACTCCTAATCAAAATCGTATTTAATTACTAAACGAAAATTTTTGGTAAGGGCTAGCACTCCTATCCACAATTGATGTATTTTTTTTTTTTTTTTTTTTTTTTTTTTTTAAATATTTTCTGAAATTATGAATTTCCTTACATTATCTGCATTATACCTTAACACTTTCAAGAATTAATCTATTTTACACAGAATACAAAAATTATGTATTGCAAAGATATGTTTAATGAATACTAGAAAACGAATATCATCTTTTTGACAGTTTCTTAAAGGAGAAACTACTTTGTCTGATTTTTTGTGGAAGAATGGTCAAAGCAGAAATTTTTAAGGCAGGAAATTTTTTAATTCTCTTCATGAGAAGAGCATATATTCACTTTTTCTAGTCAATTAAGGACCAGGTATTGACTTTCCTTTTCTTGAATGAATTCTTAATTTGAGAAGATAATAAGGGGTTTGAAAATCTTCTTATGGAGCTAGATTTCCACTACGGAGGATCCTGGCAAGTTACTGCACTGTTACTCTTGGTTAAAGAAATAATTACTAAAACTAAGTGATTTTATATTTTAATTTGTAACTGAACCAATGACATAATTTAGAAGACACTATCAGTTCAAATGCTGAGTTTTCTTCGGAGGTGTCAATGACTCAGAGAATCAGATTTTTCAGGAACTCTGTTCAGAACTGCCTTGAGGTTAGACTTAATTAAAGCTGGGGTGCTCTAGTGGCTCTAGCGACAGAGTTACCTCTCAACATGTCAAAGAGTTCTGAAGATCCTCTGGTGGCACTTGGAGCAGACCTGTTAGCTATGCAGTTTTCAGCCTGTAGAACAAGATGGAGTTCTAACAACTGAATGCAGCAAGAAGGAGAAAAAAGCCATATTTGTGGGCATTTGGCTTCATTTTCTTATATGGGAGTCACTAAAGCATTCAGTGAAGTTTTTGTTCAGCTATCTGAATTTTTATATTCAAGTCATTTTTGGAAGCAGAATAGCATTCCTGGTCTAAACTCACTCGGAAGATGAAAGCAACAGATTTATGTTTGGTAATCCTTGAAAAGCAAGCTTACTTTAAAACCTGGAAAGTGGCTGAAGGAAAATTAGTAGTCATCAAATTTCTGAATTTAGAATAGTGCAAAACTGCACCTATTTCAAGATTGTGTTTAATGAAAAATAAATGCGAACTCATGTGGTAATCATTAGACTTGCAATTTGTTCTACATTATCATTATTGTTAAATGATACAGAGTTCAATGGCTGATTTTCTTCTAGCGTATTAATTACATTTTAACCTATTTAAACTGCAATTTTGAAACAGGTTTCATCAGCGATTTACAGTTTGCTTTGTAATCTATAGGGGAGAGGGAATTATCTTTATTCATGCAAACTTAATTAAATCAAAAAGGAAATTAAAATATCAACCAAGTTGTAGGGAATCCTATGTTAATTAAACAGTTATTTAAAATTTCAGCCTTTACTATAACTTCTCCTTTCTGTATTCCTCACCAGAATGCAAATGAGTAGCCAGTAGTTGAACTGAGGTTTTTGAATTTTAGGACAGAGTGAGTTTCTGGATTGCGTGCATGCTAGGTGTTAGTTTTCTGCCAGTTCTGATAGTTTTAATTATTCAATCTTACATTTGATCACTGTTGACACTTAAAATTCTGATGCTCTGGTAGAGTAGCAAGCCAGTTTTTAGTATAGTAATTAATTGTGTAGCACTGTTCATGTTACTTAAATCTGACTATTCTATTTAGTTGTTATCACCAACAGTTATGGCTTATGTTGTAAAACAACAAAGTGCCTTTGTATTCTAAACTCTATCAAAATGAAAAGATTATTTTTAACCTTCTCACAACTTTATCATTGTTTCAGACAAACCGATAATTTGTTTTATGTCTGTTAAGATTATTGGACTAATTAACCTTACAAGATCAAATGAAACCCTACAAAGCATTTAATGAAAAGGTTACTATTACTGTTTGGTAATGAATTAAATGTGCATTCTAAATATTGGAATGTCTTGAAAATAATTGATAAAACGAATTTTGTAATAGGAAACTTATTATTCAAGTGATGTTTTAACTTTTGTACTATCTAAAGCAGAGTATTCAGTCAGATTCCAATGTTGAATTTGCATTTTAGAGACCTGGTTATTGATAAACCTGGCATAAATAATTCTGTTCTGGTGATTGGATATATCTGTATTACTCTACTTCCATGAATATGATTTAAGTGCTATCTGGGAGTAAAATATCTCTAATAATGGAAAAATTTTATACTGATATATTTTGTTTTGGGCTAGTGTGTTTCAAAGAATTAAGCAATGGAGACTAATTAAAGTTAAAGAGAAAGTATTTTTAGAAGTGAATTAAGCTGAAATGTAGTTTCAAAGTTGATAAAATATATTTTAATAGCAAGGCATTATTATATATTAGAGAGGAATAACACTTACAAATATTAAGATTTGATTAGTTTGAGATCAATCACCAGATTCTAAGTTTTTCAGCTTAATTTCATTGGTCCTGCACGAGTCAGATTTCGGGATCCAAGATGCATTGTATGAAAATTTACTATATAGCGAGAGGTTGGGAACTACACTGTTTTCTAATAAACTAACAAATATTTTATTATGGACAGATTAGAAAACAAAAAAACAAAAAAACTAAAATATGGTGTGAAATTAAGAAATGGAATATTTAAAATTAGATAATTTTACTATAATAAATACCTTATCCTTTTTTATATATAATATAGATGAATCCATCACAAAAGTTTCATAATTTTTTATTTCTGATGCCTTAACACACTGATACACCTGAAATATAAAAATGTAAACCATGTAAATTTGAAAACTTTAATTTAATCTCAAGTTGTTAGCCAATTTCAGAATAAATGTTATTTACATATACCTTCCAGTCTCCATCACATTAATGCTTGGCAGAACAAACAACAAAAAAATGCACTTAAATATCTTTAAAATTAACACTGAGAAATAGAACGTTAGCATTAATTGAGAAACTTATTTCTCTCTGCTTTTATGCAGCAAAATTATTATATAGTATGTATAATACATATCAGTTACAGTGCATAATGGAATTTTCCAAAAGTCAAAAATATAAAAGTATTCACTGTGTAGATACATATTTATAAGATTTAATGATGCAGATTTAATTATGCATACTATAAGGTTTTCTGAGGAGAACCTCATCCCACCTTTTGAAAAACAAATCTTAAAATATTTAAAATAGAGCAATATATTTTAGGTACATAATGTAGATAATTAAAGAAAAGCATTGTATTTTTTACTAAAAAAATTAACATAAAATTAATGTAATTTACTCATTTATAAAATTAAACTGCGCTCTGGGTATCACTTATTCTAGCATTTATATTTAGTGACTACAATGTAATTGGAGTAACTAATTAAGTTTAATCAATAACATTATGAGAAACCAGCTGGCTTAAACTGAAGTAACTGCAATGTGATATTGTGTATCACATTTTCCATATTCAGTAAGCTACTGAAATATCAAGCATTAAAATCATGCTACACTCTGTATTTACAGAACATGACATGGTTGGCATCAAACTGCTGACTTGAATAACATTGGAATGTATATCCTGAATTAGATGTGATGCATTTTCTAGACCAAAACTGCCAAATCGAAATTTTGCGAAACTATTTTGACATTGGTGTTCTGTCAATACATCTTCTCTATACACATTGGATAATGTTTTTCTTGCTTGAACAGCACTTTTACCTTTTCGGTAGTAAAAAAGTAAAATATGACAAAAATGCTGCTTTTCACTTTCCATATTTAAGGGCACCAACCAAAAACTACTGTGTAGAATAAATCGAACTTTTTCACAAATAATCCTTGCTGTATCAGAAGTCAAAATATATAATGATTATGCGGCTTAAGTGCAATGTTGGCTGTGAAAAAATACAATTAAGGCCTCTGTTGGGAAAAAACAATACTACTTTCCAAACAACCCAGCAGCTGAAATTATACACAGATCAGCAATCAGAATGACTTCTCACTAATCTGTGCTTGCAGGATGCCAACATAATTCAGTAAAGTTTTCCTTATATTGTGATGCAGATTTTCCTCAATGAAAAATGAGGTATGAGCATAAAGAGTTCAATACCAGACAGTCAAAAGTGAAGCCTAATTCTTCATACAAAGAATACTTTTCACGAGTTTCAAGTTTCATCAAATGTTTTTTATATCACAGAAACTTTAATCATGATATCTGACACTCTGAGTTGATTGTGCTTGATTTAAAGTTTGAGGTTGCTACTTAGCCATGGAAATAGATTTCCTGCAGTCATTTCAATAAACTGACATAATTATTGACATAGTATTGTTACCAGTGTTTTCTAGAATTCAATATTGAATATTACAATCAAGAAAAAAAAATGATCCTACCATTCACAGCAATATTTAATAGTTCCAATCTGTTTATCATATACATTTTTAATTGTGTGTTTCAAAACATGATTTAACAACAATATTGATAAACTAAAAATATTACAGCAAGACAAAAATCTATTAACAAACTTCCTAGTATCACAGATTTAAAAATGTTTGGACTTTATCATTTTTGTTCTAAACCCTCCAACTATATCAAAGCATTCTGATATACTACAGAAGATTGCCTTCTAAAATGGCATTATTTTCTATGTTTAACGTTATTATGAGATACATGTGGACAATCAATTTGACTGCTTAGAAAGGGTGTCTGGTTACTTCTGAAAAGTTCTTAAACATTATGGTTTTACCTCCCCCTCCATGAAGCACATATTTTCTTTACTCCCTGCATTAAACAGAAAAAAAAAACAAAGGCAGACTAAAAAAATATCCCCCGCCCACATCATTAATTCAAGGATTCTTTGTTACATATCTGAAAAGGGAAAATCTGATTTATTTTATAAACATTTTAAATAATTGTATAAAAATAAAAAAGCATACCTGAATAACAGAATTCAGCATTCCAAGTTTGAATCCTTGAATTGCCATTTTTAACTTTTCTGTAGAAGAATTTAAATTTAATGTATCTGCTCTTATCACAATACCATTTCTACATTCATTAAAAGCAAACAAGTTCAATCCAGTAAAACTAAGATCAACAGAAAGTGATTTTCCGACTGATTTTTTATTTTTATTAACAAATGATGAATTCTGCAATTTGTGAGCAGATATATCACTTGAAAAACTGTTCTTTACAAATTTTAAAAGATACATGACTAGATGAGAGAAACTAGGACTCCACTGTAGTTGACAACCATCAAACATACAATCACAACATTGGTCGGTTTGACTGGATCTGGCCTAATAAAATATATTTAAAGTAAGTTACATGCTTAATAAATATAATGGGCTAATAAAATAAAATTAAAATATAAGTTATAAAAAATATGCTAAAAGTTTTCTAAGTTACAGACTTTTTTCAAATTATATTATTTAATTTACATTAAATATAAAAAAATATATACTAATTTAAAATAGATACCTTTAATAGTAACACTCCTATTGAAATAGGTATATTATAAAAGTGGTATCGTTTTAACATTCCAAAATCTGCAAATTTTGTATCTCCAAGTTTAAAGTACAAAGTTTCTAACAGAAATTCTAAGCTAGAAAGTAAACATATATGAATTAATACAGCTTTGATGAAAAAAAAATACTTTAAAACAAAACCTACCCACCCTTCCCACTGTGTTAAGTATTTCAAAAATATTTAACCACATATATCAGTTTTATTTAAAAAAAATAACTTCACAAAATTTTTGGTATTACAGATTAGTTCTACACCTGAGTGCTGGTTCATATAATTACAAATGGCATGCACAAAATTTAGCAACAGTATATCAATACACAAAATTTAATAATAAATTGATTAATCATAATAATCTAACTAACAAAAAGAAAAGAAAAAGAATTTGCTCATGTTGAATTTCTAATCTTTTAAAATGGTCAAGTTGTTATCCTCAACATTATCAGTATGCAGAGGCACACAAGACATTTGGAGGGGGGGATTAACATGCATCCAAAAGGGCTCTTTTGAAGTTTTAAAAGATGATTCAAATAGAATAGTGAAAAACATTATAGGCTACCAGATGAATATATGTTTAGACTAACATGGGAACATTATATATCTTCTGAATATTTAAAAAGTGAAAAAAATATATAGTATAATTCTATAAAAATATTTAATGTTTTTAATTAGATATATCATGCATTGTTATTAAAATCAATCAGATTAAAAAGTAAAAAAATTAATATTTTTAATTGCTTTTAAATAGCTTAGTTTGCTAATCAATAATAAACAGATTCCATTTGAAAGAAAAATATCTTACATTTTGCCAAATGGCAACAGACTCATATGAAAAGTGAAACAATGCATATCCAATAGATGACATGTAAAATAAATCATTGCAAAATTTTGTTTCAAGACTAACAGCCTTTTCAGGGCTTTTAAAAAAAGGGTAAAATTTTCTTGAATAAAATACAGGAAAGTTACCCAATTCTGTCTTTCATTCACTCTGTTGAAATGCAAAATTGTCACACAATTTTATTCACATTTATAATTAGCATTTAGAATTATGTAATTAAAATTATATGCAAAATTAAAAATTACTGCATATAGTTTTAATTAAATACTTTGTTAGCATTTTCAATTCTTTTAATATCCTCCCTTTTTTCATATATTTAGAGAATACTCAAGGTGACTAACAGTAAGTAACTTTACCAATATTTACATTTTTAATGAAATATCTATTGTCTGCATAATTCATGTAGCTTAATTGTCAAAAAAAGCTCCAGAAATATTACTAATAAATACTAAGTATGATACTGTTATGAATCTCACTTTCATATTTCACATTTTCCCATTAAATTTGAAAATAACAAAATAATATAATGTAATATAAAAAAAATTTTAAATTATATATTTCAAAATAAAAAATGTAAAATTATATTTTTACCTAGAACCTCCATTCAAAGACAAGTTTTGAGAAGTATTGCTTTCATGTCCTAAAACACAGGAAAAGAGGCATAAGATTTCACTTATTTCACTAACCAAAGATATCATATTGGGTTGTCTGAAAAGTTCATGCCAATTTTGAAGGAAAAATTGAAATGCAGGAGATTTAAATTTTAGTATATATTTATTAAATTATATAGGTGCTTTTCTGTTCTTATAACGTTGGCAACTTGAAAATTCCATCCTTCCAGAACTTCTCAGGTTTTTCAGTGAAAAACTTTTCTATGTGATTTTTTATCTCAACCAAACAGTTGAAACTTTTGCTATTAAGGTAATTTTGTAATAATCAAAAGAAGTGGAAATTAAAAGGCATGAGTTCTGGCGAATATGGTGATGGGGTAGATCATCACAACCAAGCTCCAACAACTTTTGCCGAGTATCAAAGACACATAAGCCACACATCATCCTGATGAAACAATATGCCCTTCTGATTTGCTATTTCTGAACATTTCTGTTCAAGTGTTGTTTTTAACTCGTCTAACTGGGAAAAATACTTCTCTGAATTTATCATCTTGTTGTTTGGTAAATGCTCATAATACAGGATCCCTTTCCAATCCCACCAGAGACATAGCATGACCTTCTTTTGATGAAGACTGACTTTGGGGGTGGCTAAAGGTGGTTCATTCTGATCCATTTTTCATTACCCATCACTACCTGCTTCAAAAATTGGGTCTTCTCATTGTGTTTATAGAGTGCAAATGGAAATGTGATCTATCGGATTCCTCTCCATTTCGTGAATGGGATCTATCAGATGTCTCTCCATGGGGAACACATACATCAAAATGGTTTATGTAGCCAAGATCCACAAATCTAATCTTCATCTGTAGTGAAGATATCTGTAGTGTTTAATCTGATCTTCATCTGCAGTGAAGGGCATACCCAAGCATTCTTGATCTTTAAGGTTGAAATCACGAGCTTTCAACCTAGCATACCACTTCTGCACATTTCTTTCAGCTGCAGCACCTTCACAATAAAAAGTTCATACTTTGTTTGATCTCTTGTGTGGCATTTTTGTCTTTTCAGTCGAAGAAAAGCATTAAATTCCTAAAATGCACTTCCACTTTTCTTCCCTATTCAAAGGCATATAAAAGTGACAAAAATTAATGTATCATAACCAAAATTTTTTCCAAATGTGCCTGCCAAATATTTTAAATTATTCCAAATACATATTTTATTATATGTATGCATGTCATTTGTTTTTCAATCGTGTCAATACATTCAGACCTGTCCACCTACCAAAAATCAGCCGGAACTTTACTGACAGCCCAATACATACTTCTAATTTATAAAACAAAAGGCAGAAGGAAATTTTTATGTTAATATTTTATGTATATGCAATTAATTTTAAATAGTATTATATATTTCATAAATGTGACAAAACCAGATTAACAACATTCAAAACTAAAGGATTCAAAAAAAATACAGAAGGTTAAGTAATAATCTACTTACTGTTAAAAATATAATGTTCTAAAGAACTCTGTCCATTCATTAATCCAAAACTAAAAGTTTCACAATCGGGAATCTTAAATGAGATACATACATCTTCAACATCTGCTGTAGTTTTAATTTTATATCCATATAATAATTCTTTAACAGTTACTTTTCTGAAATGAAAGAAGAAATTTAAAATATTACAGATTTTTTTATGTGATACAGTAGATAACAAAACAACAAAATAAGTGAAAACAAATTACCTTTTGAAGTTTGGTTCAGATTTAAACTGCATATTTTGATTACTGACCATCATAGTACTTAAAAAGTACTGCAGAATTTCTTTCTGATACAATATATGCAACAAAGAAAGGCTAAATTTAGCATCTACCAGTTTGTCAATTACCTGAAATTTTTTTTAAATATTGAAAGATGCTTATACACAGCAATAACACAAGCATTTAAATTCAAGAAAGTATACTTAAAATAGAACAATAATATACTTCACTAATAATATGATAGATAGTAACAACTTAGGTCTGACTTCAGTTCATTGTACATTGTTAACAAAACCTTGAGACATTTTAATTTTGATACTATAATCTACAATTTTAAACTAAAAGGCAAATCTATATCATTATTTTATTTTGTATCTATATCATTATTTTATTTTGTATAATATGAGAAATTTTTACATTTAAAAACTGAAAGTGCACAACAAATAGTATTTTTAAAAAAGGCTGGGAATGAGAGATTTCAACATAACATTCAAAGCAAAAAATTTTCTATGCATTAAATTTGTTTTGCATTTACATATATATATGTAAAATATAAAAAATAGGACAGCTTTGCTCTTTGAGAACCAGCAACCTTTAATTAACTTTCTGCAGTTTAGGATCTTTCCCCTAGAACAGTTCTTTCCAGAACATTCGCGCCTATTACGAAACCACTAGTATAAATAATGAGCTTGCGCCATTTTGACACACAACAACAGAAGCTCTTACTGCGCTACGACACATCGCTTCTGTTTTTCTTTGTTCAAAGTATGACACAGTAAATTTAAAGTAGTACTATTTAGTAACGAATATTGATTGGCTTCTGAAATTGAAATAAAGATATGGAATAGTAAAAAGTGAAATCCTGTGTCATCTTTGGATACCGCCTTAATACTCAGCCATCACAATGCCAAGCTTCATCATGATTGTTGGAAAATATCACATATATATACAACAGACATTTTCCACAAATACCATCAGCACAAATAATTTTAATGACTACATCTATCACATCTATTTTGGGAAAACCAGATCACAGTAGTCACTAAATATAAATTACTACTTTGCATGAATATTTTTACACGAGTTTAAGTTGTATCTTTCCAAAGCATACATATATGTTAATCTTCTTCTTAATTTATAAAGAAGAGAAATTTATCACTAAATAATGGACAGCTTTCTTTGAGCTAAAAGGGAAGAAAATTACCTCTTAATATCTTTACAAAAAAATTTAGTGCAAGCCCATCAGATTTAAAATCCTGACTATATGGCAGTGAGCTAATCAGAATAGTTTCAAATTTTAGAACCTTTTTTCAAACATATAATTAAGCAAATAGGAGATTTGTAACTCCATTATAAAGTACAGATAGAATTTGAATCAAACTAAAACTGTTGCCAAACAATGTGTTTTAGTGCCAATAATGGATAAGCATGATTTAACACTTCAGTTTCATGTTAGCTCAATTAATTCTTGTTAAGTTGGTTTAATTTTGCTAAAAAATGACATAATTTTGTTTTATCTGTCTTTCAATCGAATTTAGAAAAAATTATTATAATTAGGGACATGTCTTCAACAGAACAGCATGCAGAGTATTTTCAAATTTATAAAACTAAAGAAAGTTTAATTTACATGAAAATGTATAAATACTGTCTGTGCAACATGCAAAATTATAACAAGTGATATGAGATTTTTATATGTTATGTTTGTAACTTGTATATGTTTGATTAATGAAATAAAGATCAATCTGTTGTTTCAAACTTTTTCTGGAATAACTGGCATGAGTTTGGCAAGATCTTGACCAATTTTTGTGGTTGCCGGAATTTTGTTATCAAATATGTTTCATTTTAAATGTTTATGTCAAGAATGCCCTTATTTCTTTCAAAATCTCACATAATTTATATGTAGGCATTTGACATTCAAGCTGATAACAAATAAAATGCCTCTTTTTATAATTTTAGACTGAAAATGTTTTCTTCTATTCATTTGGCTTTTCTGACATGAATTACAATTTTTACACATTCACTTATCCAGAATTTTTGTGCATCCAGAATTTGCCATTTTCAGAGCTTTCTGGACAGTTCAGCTTTTACTGTAATTTGTAATTTTGAACAACATCTGATATTTAAGCCATTATACCTAAACAATCTAAACTTCAAAAATTTTTTTACTTCCGGCATTGGATGTTGCTGGTGAACACAATATGGCAATATGCTTAGCAATATTACTCAAACTCAATGCATATAAATGAACAATCTGTTGTCAAAACAAAAACTTTTTAAATATGAACAAACAGATCACTGCATCTCTTTACATTAACTGTATTCTTATTGTATTATCTTGCTTATAACAATTCTAGAAAATAATACATGATTTTAGTAATCCAGCTAACAGAAAAAATATTGTTATGAATTCTGTGTATATGTAAATAATTTTAGTAAAATTGTATGTAAAATTGTAGTACATTTTGTATAATGGAACATGAAATGCCTCAAGAGACAAAGCTCGGCCATAAAAATATGATTACAAGAGAAAGTCTATTTAATATTCGCTATCTCGCTGAATTGGTGAGATATAGTCAAGGTAGCAATAGTTTGGACAACTAATTTTTGTCGCCAAAAGTCTCCAAACTTGGTGACATTTTGGTCCAATCCCTGTGTAATTGGTACTGTAATATATTCCTATATGTAAATATAACTGCATTCAGCCCTTATATACAACGTTAACAACATATGTTTTGTGTTAATTTCGAGAAATAAAAGGTACTAGAGATTTCTTGGTTGTCAGGGGAAAAGTATACAGCATCAGTTCTCTGTTTTTAGTTTAGAGTTGACTTTAGAGTACTGAGAGATCTCCATACGAGTTTTGCTCTTTGGATGCTTTGTGTTTCACATTATTAGTAGTTTGAAGTGAAACTCCTGTTATACTGAGAAGAGCTGTACAAGTAATTTGTGGAAGGTCTTAAACTGTAAAGTGTTTTTTTAGTGAAAATAAATTTTATCAAGCTATCATCGGTTCTGTGTGCATTCAGTCCATTACAGATCTATACTCATGGAACAATATAATGCTTCCTGAATTACTTTCTAGGAGAAGAGTCCTAGAAAGTGATTCAGGAAATATGAAACAAGAGCACTGTAATTCATAGAGCCATCTTCCAAAAATATAAATTTGATTAAATTAATGTAGGACAGAAGAAAGCCCTGACCTAAATACGATGTGTTATTTTACTTATTATAAGCCATGAATTACTCTTTTATTCAGTCAATTTTATTGTGATTGACAGAAGTTTATGTTAGATTTTTCGTCGGTAATTTCATTAGAATCTTGTTTAAGTCTACTGCTATACAACACTGAAGTTTTGATCAACTTCCTTAACATGTTCACAGCAGAAGATATCTGTGAAATTATAATTCAAATTGCAAAAATTTACTTTTCCTGAATCTAGTAAGTCATTAATTAAAATTATGTTACCAATGAAACCTTGGATTGTCATCTTGTAATAATGATTCCTTTCCTTAAAAATAAAAAATTAATTTTAAAATATTTTATTAATTTAATAAAACACTGAATACTAAATGTGCAGTCACTGGCATTCATTAAGGTTATAGTCAGCTAATAACATTTGTATTCTACTAATGAATTTCTGAAAAGAATTATAAAAAAAAATAATCTGTTCCTCGTGGGATCTTCCATATGATTTTGATTCTTGATCAACTTTGTATGCCTAATAATGGCCTAAACAATAGCATCTGAAAATCTTATCCAAGAATTAAATGGCAGCAAACAGATGAACACTCAAACATTAAATCTTAAAAAAAAATCTTTGCTAATTTCATAAAAAGCAGCATTTTACATAGCAGATTCTTAGAAAGCAAATCCTACTTAAATAATTAAAAAGATGTATAAGAAATTAGAAATGAAGATTCATTCATTTCATCAATTAAAAATTACCATAAATTTATATTCTACATAAAAAATTCATGAAATTGTGAAGATCACAACAAATATAATACAAAATTTTGGCTTTTTATGATGATTATTATAACTATTAACTGAATCATCCAAACTCCACGCACTGAACAACTCTTCCTCTATGCAAGGGTAACAATAATTCTCTTCACTGTAAGCAAATAATAGATGCAAAATACAAATAATGTGTTTTTGTATGTGTCATCAATTTAAATCTGGTAAGATGGCAAATAATGTGTCATCGATTTAAATCTGGTAAGATGGCATGCAGAAATTATACAATTAAAAATATGAAACCGTAATTTATGAAATAAAGAGCAATTATGATGTAAAGGGTATCAAAATTTACAAAATAAAAAAAGCTTAATATTTATCTGTTTACTTTAGTAAACATTTCTTTCAGTGTAAGTTGTTTAAGTTGCTTCCTTTTTGTGCTAATATTTTCTCTTTAATTCTATAAACAGACATAATTTCTTGTTCAGTTACAAAGTTTCGCTGTTCATGTCCTGTAATTGCTGTGTTGAGAATACCAACTAACTTGTCAAACAAAATTTTTTCGTTTTCAATAACGTTCTCTGTTACTTTCTTCACTATCAGAAGCACGCATGGGTAAAAGCTTTACTGGGTTTACACACATGCGTAGCAGAAGCGCGCATCAAACGCGCATGCGTAAACGCATTATGCACTTGCGTATGTTTGTGGCTTTGAGGTCCAGATTATAGATCATTTCGGATAATGGACGTCTGGATTATGGACTTTGTACTGTATAATGAATTAGTCCATGAAACAGCATTTACCTGCTTCTTTAAAGTCTAATATATTTCAGAATCTGCAATCAGCAACAGAAATTCATGGCAATTATTTTTTGAAATTCTCCTTGGTTATAGCAATATGTTCAATACATTCCAAAAAAACCATTCAGAAGAAAACAAACAAGAGCACAAATGAAATTTACATTCACCATAATACTGCACATCTTCAAACATTTTAGACTAGAACTCATGTGACCAATAAAGTAAGATAGAAAGTTCTCTATCCATTGTACAGATCTGATCTGCAGATTGTATAGACCAATGCATTGTATCCATTGTATATACCTGATCTTCAGATTCAGATTTCCATTTTTGTGGTCCAGTGAAGAACTATGGTGATAATGATTTTCTGATGAAACAAAGTGAAAATGGGTTTAAAAAAGCAGACAAAACAATGCAGGTTTGAATTTCTCCAGAGAATTTGAGGATTCCGTGATGGTGTAACTCCACTGCTTGTAATAGAGACTACATTGAATAATGAGGACCTTCATACAGAGGGTAAAATTACCCTAACAAAATGTGGAGTTTGGATGATTTATGTCAATTAAAAAATTGGGCTGATTTTTTTGCTTTGCTTTTGATACAACTCTCATATTTTATTTGAATCTCCTTAAATATATTGAATCTGAATTTAAAAGCAAAATTTTAAACAAGGAAAAGGAATTATAGCATACATTAATTTCCAAGGCCAATTTTAATAAATGTCCAATTTGAATGTGATCACTAGCAGCAGAAACTTCTTTTACTTCAAGCTGAGACACAATATTCGGAAGCTTTGCATCCTCCAGGAAGTCACCGACTTCCAGGTGTAGAGCAATTAGTTTAATTCCAAATGTAAATGTCCTAATATTCATAAATATAAAATTAAAATGATATTTTAATTAAACATAATTAAAAAATTAAAAAGGGAATTAAAAACTTTACCTGTGTCCACCTTCCATCATTACTTTCACAGAAAATAAATCAACAGAAACATCAGAAATCTATAAAATACAGTAATTCGATTCAATATCTTAAAATCAAATGCATGTTCAATTAATTTAAAAAAACTCTAGAGCTGCAGTTCTCAACCTTTTGACTGACGAATACCACCTAAACAAAAATTGAAAAACTGTAGTATCACCACTACATTTTACAATGATTACTTTTCAATTTCTCAATAGAAATATTAAAAAAACATTTTCCCCATTTTCACAAACTATTGGTTATTTGTATTAAATATGCACACATTAAAAATATTAGATTAAAAATTGGTTACCATTTTAATTATCAAAATTTAAGTTACAATATTTTAATTTTAAAATTTAGTTTGAAATTTGGGCCTGTTTAAGAGAGATTATTTTCTTTATGTCTGTTCTTATTTCATTTAGCTTTAACCTTAAATTAGGATTCACTTTTAATTTTTTTCTGTATTTACTTTACAAATGAAGCATGGAAAAAAATCTTTGTTCACAGAAACCAGTTGTGCAAAAAGGTAATAAAAATGTAATAGCTTCATTTGAAATGCCTTTAACTTCTTTCTTGGGGGTTGGGGGGTTCAGCTAAAATTTAACAAGTGTGTTATTTTTGAAATCTTCAGTTAGAGTTCGATCACAGGAAATTTCTATCAATTGTTCTTTTTCTTCTCGAGATTTTTGAATTTAATAGTTAAAAATAGTTTGTTTCTTTGTGTACCACCTATTTTTCTCTTGTGTACCACCGGTTGAGAATCGCTGCTCCAGAATATTCAATCAATAATTATCAAAATCTTTTGGTACTTCAAATTCTGACATCATCATCATCTGAATTCAACACCAAAAATTTGATGCATCTTTTCACTTAGATATAATCAAATCACTTCACATAATTTTTTTGCCTTAAACTTCTAAAATTTTAAATGAAAATCCTAATATTTCAAGTACTAATGCTACAAAACAAGTGGCTTTGCCTTACAGAAAATACCCACCCAATAGGCAAATTATCTTCTGATTATATCCTATGCTGCAGCTAAATAAATTTAGGTTAAGAACTCTGTCCTGAGAATGAAAATATACAGTTTTGAAAATCAGGAAATGACATTACCTGTGGAACATTTCTGAATTTCCTTTTTAAATCATTTGAAGACACAGATCCCTCATCACACACTTTTGTTTCTTCATCAGATTGTTGTTTCTGAGTTTGTAAATTATTTGTTGCATAATTTTTAAACTTAAGCAGAGAAAAACCTTTTGAGAAGAACAAAAAATATTAATGCTATGGACTATTATGAAAAAAATATGAAGTAGAAACAATATTTTATAGAGTAAAGAAGAAGAATTATATATGCTAATTATAAAGTTTAATAATATAAAAAATTTAAACTCATCATTTCTAAATATTATTAATCATACATTAATGCATCATCACATTTTAATAGCATACTAAATGCAAGTTTAAAAAAGGTGAGTAAGTTGCATACAAAGAGATTAAAATAAGACTGTTTTTGAATTTATAAAATCTGAATGCAAACTAACAGAATTAAAAAATCAATTTATTACTACATAAGAATTGTTGTTGAAAGTTTATTATTAGCACTAAGTGCAATAAAAAATGTAACAACATTCCTTTTACAGAGCATTTTATATATTTATAAATTAAAAAATCAATGGCATTTTCTTTAAGGTAGATCTTTTGAGAAATTGCATACTGCTCGAGAATACTACTTCAAATCTTCATAGCACTCTTCAAATGCCTAAAGCAGAATCACTTTTAACTGGCTAACCATAATTTCAAAATAATAGCTCTTCAAATGAATTTTTAGTCTGGGGAAAATTAAAAATAATCATACAGATTCAGATTTGAAGAATCTGAATCTGTATGATTATTTTTAGAATCACTTGAGAAGAATTTTTAGAATCACTTGAGATTGAGAAGGCAGCAGAATCACTAAACCACCTTTCCAACTCATAACTTTAGTAATGAAAAACATTACATGACCAGAGTTCTTAATATGGTGCAGCAAACAAAAGCCTCTGAATTCTTGGCCACATACAAATTATTGAGAGCCATTCAAGAATCTCATAATAGTAACACTTCTTCACAATTTGTTTGAGGCATGAATTCATTGTAAATAAGTCTGCAACTTAAAAAAAAAAATACATAAATATTGATATGATTTTAGATCTTTCCCTCCCCCCCTGGGGCTTATGGAAAGGAGTAACCCTTTCCTGGCTCAAATCACATTCAAAATTCTGAGTTAACACTTTCTTGGAGAAATTTCTCTCAGTTTGGATATACTCCAGAAGATTCGAAGACACGTTATTTTCTAATTGTTCTCTCTACTCAAATATGCATATAACCCTTGTATTTGAAATAATCAACTAAATAAACGATTCTCTGGTCGAATGTAAAGTTTTCTTGCTATGAATCTGGCACACATTTTCCACCTCAGTTTTTGAGTTACAAAATATTTAAATTTAATTCATTAGTAATCATCATCACTCTCAGTTTCTGACAAAACTTCTTATTCACAGCCTTCATATTAAACAGGTTTATGGATATCTAAAAGTTTTGTGTCACTTGAAAATCTGTACCCTTGCTGAAGCATTATGTGCCTGTTTGCCTTTTCAAAAGCTTCAGTACCCCTAAGTTTCACGAAAAAATTGTATGATACAATGCTGTTAAAAGTCTGATGTTTATTTGTAATTACATTAGACCATTAGGTGGAGAGTGTGCCATAATATATGGTATTTGACATTAATTCAGAGTTTCAGGCTGATTATGATAACTTCTCAATTTGTAAGTTTTCAAACCCCAAAATTAGAATTTGCTCTGGGAATTAGTGACAACAGTGAAAAAAGAACAGGTGTACTCCAAACTTCATTCTATAATGTCATTATGAAAAACTAGGAGGTGCTCATACTTAAACCTCAAAGTTTTTGGAAAAGGTATTTTTAAGTTTTCAAACCCCAAAATTAGAATTTGCTCTGGGAATTAGTGACAACAGTGAAAAAAGAACAGGTGTACTCCAAACTTCAATCTATAATGTGGAGTTTTTGGAAGGTATGGGCTACATGGTGGTGCCATTTCAAAAGAATTCCAGATTCATTTTAACTTGCTTTATAATGCATGATTCAGGTTATTCAACTATTTATAATAAGTTTCTGATGTAAAATACGTCAATGCTTAGTTAGATATTCTAAATGTTATGGTCTTTGGGTAATTTCATTTTGCACTTTTCTTATATTTTTATACTAGGAACATCCTGAAAGAAATTTTCACAATTCAAGTTTCATGAATTCAATAAATTTCATTTACTGCTGAAAAGCACTTTCCTTGGTAAAGACTAAAAATTAGAACTTGGAAACTTTAGTGATGTATTAGAAGACTATGAGATGTGATGAAAAATTGAGAGAACTGCAATATTGTAAATAACAAGATTTAAAATTATGGGGTTGAGTCTAAAATAAATAATAATAAAAGCTTTATAGAATTAAACTATTACATCCCAATTAAATGTTGTTACAATCTAATTTGGCAAATCTTGTTCATCCCAAACATCTACCAAAGTCTTCATGTATTTACAGCCATGCCAGCTCATACATCAAGATACATTGTTCATATGACCTTCTTTCATTCACCTACAACCCAATGATGGAAATTTTTAATTATTTTGAATGATACACACAGACATAATCAATGGCTTCCGATCTATTCTCAAATTTAAATCATCAGTAATTCATTTGGTTGCCTCAGATTCCTTTGGCAACCTGCACTGATCTTCACTAGTTTAATTTATAAGTTTCTTGAACTCACCAGTGTGATAGCCAGTTTCAAACTTTTAATTACATTTTACTTCATAATAAAGTTGCTTACAGCATACAGGACAGAGTATATCTATTTGAGCAGAAATTTTAATGACTATGCTTGTAGGCACAAATTATCAAATCTATTCAAATGGACTCAAACCGTTTTGCACCCTCACTTAACTTTTTCCTGGGGACTGGGAAACATATATTCATTCCTGGAGGCTGGAAAATTTATGTTCCACACATTCACTAAAAAAATTAGTTTACCAAGAAGATTTAAAATTTCCTACTTAATATAGAGTAAGAAATGGCAGATCCTGTTGATTTGTTTTTCTTTTCCCTACTGACTTAATAGTTGATTAAATGGCTTAGATACATAATAATTATTCTCTATATCCCAGATGAAAAGATGAACAGAAAACATAATATTAACATTTTGATGGCTTCACTTTTTTATACCATTAGTCACATACATCTAGGTTATATAGATGAGTCCATAGATATGGTAACCAATGACTGCTTATATAATGTAGAAATACATTTATAAATGCACATGCATGTTCACATTGTAGTATGTTTTTAGAAGAGACACCAACTATGATTTAAGTGCTTTCTAAATTTTGATATTATTAAATACCCTAAGATATAAAAGTTTACTAAATTATATATTAAAAAGTTAAAGAAATAAATCATAAAGAATCACTTTATAATCTATATTGACATTTTCATCAATATTTTTAAAGAAATAGAAATTCATCATTAAAATTAATAAAAATTCCTTTTATCCTTTAAGTATGGCTACAGGGATTACAGCTCTAGAATATCACAGAAATAAATATTTAGCCCATTTTTAAATGTTAAAAGCTTATTTTTATTGTGCTAGAAGAAATCTCTAATAGCTAACATGTACTCACAAAATAAAAATGCATATTAAATAAAAGTGTTCATAGTTTCATAGTAAAAACACACAGAAAAAATGTTAGAATTAATTTTACCTTCATATAGCATCAGTTCAGGTTCTCCTACTTTAGCACATACAGACTGAAAACAGATCAGAATATATATATATATATATATATCAATCTTTTTTATAAATTATAGCAATTTTTTAATTTAATTACTTTCATACAAAGAAATCAAATCTTTTAAGAAATGATAAAATAAAATTTAAAGGGAACTGATAATACTAGTTTCAGTCATATGGAATTTAAAAAGCATCAAGTTACATTCTTGTTACTAAAGATTTCATAGCTGAATGCATTTCAGAAGTAAGCCCATCATATATTATATTCTATCCACAACTCAAAACCCTTGTATCACTATTACTGATTAACAATGTTTTTATTATAAGGGATATTTTTAGTGGTTTTTATGATTCTTAATTATTTATTGTGTGGCTCAACAGCACTTTTTGAAGAAAAAAAAAATTAGTCATATGCATAAATGATACCTGATGGGAAAATTTAGAAGCGAAACCTAAAGTTAATCTGAAAAAATGCTACAAATTTTAGTACTGTTATAATTTAAATCTTTGTAATAAAAAATACATAACATAAATAAATGATTTTGCCATAGTTTAATTTAATTGATCACACTTTCTTCGTCCTCTGCCACTGCTGCAAAGTTTATAAAGTTAATATGCAAGCATTTTGTACAGAAAAAAAAGATCTGGCTTATTTATGAAACATACACTAACCTTACTAAAGTTTAATAACTTTTGTTTTCAATTTTGAAAAATACCAACTTATATGGCTACTTAATGTTAATTTTTTACATAATAAGCTATAAAATAATTTACATTACAATGTAAAATAGATGAAAATAAAAACATCTATTACCTGAAATGGGATGACTTTTGAAGAATTTGCTTGAATAATCAAAAAGAGGTTTGATGAAAAATGACAAATACAGGCTTCCGAAGAATGATATTGTTCTTGATCCTGCAAATTTAAATTCAAATCACTAACATAATAATGTTATTTTCAAGAAAAGTGCAAATTAATATATCAAACATCAGGTTTCTGTAACATTAACTAACATTAATTATAATTTTATTTAAAAAAGGAGAGAGAAACTTGGATCTCTTACTAAACTCTAAAATCTTAAAGGCTAACAATGCAATAGTTATGAATATGAAATTTATAATGTGAAAGAATGAGGTATATAAAAGCAATTTTTTAAAAATGAATTTTTAAAAAATAACATTTAATTAAAAAACTCATTTCTTTCTTTGTCATATAATTTAGTATATATATTATTTTTTTTTATGCACTCAAAAATGTTTAAAATAAATATTTTTAAATGAACTATGACTTTTCATTTCCTTTCCCATGGTTTCAGAAATACCAGAACAAAAAATTTAAATTAGGTAGTTTTGAAATATTTAGAATATTTTAGATAAAGAATTAAAAGCAGGATTTTAGAATTAATTTAAAACGTTTTATTAGAATTTTTATTCTAAGAATTTATAAGTCTAAGAATAATTTGACCTTCACAATTTTAGTTTATAATAATTATTTATTATGCTTAGTTGTATTTCTTTTTTTTTTTTTCCCCTTGTTTATAATAATTATTTTCATTTTTTTTCTCTCTCTCTCTTTAAATGCATAATGATTTTGACTTGCATCTCATGAAAAGCTTCACTGGTAGATACTAGATACACTCTTTCATTCTTTATCCAATTTTTCCCCTCCTTATTTAATTCAACCCACTTTTATGTGAAATAGCATTAACCTACAAAAGAAGTAACAGAAATTTGATATCATACTTACATGTGGCAGATGTTTAAAAACCTTCACAGAAAAAGATGACACAGCCATGTTGATTTGAAAACTAAAAGAGAATATTGCGGGCCATTTTTAGCTGCATAAAATCTTTTATAATTATGAAAAAATAACGAAAGTATAAAATACTTATTCCTTTTTAATTGTTTAAAACATATTACAATTAATACAGAAAAAGAAATTTTCTAATAATTCATTACAGGAAAACCTTTTCCCTTTCCCTTTCAAAAGATCGAAATAATTTCAAAAAAAGAAAAAAATAATTGCTATATTTAACAACTGACTTTCAATAAAATATCCTTTCAAAATTAGGTGAAAAAAAAACAATTTTCAAGAAAGGAATTAAACAAGATATAATGGGTTCATATGCCAGTAACAAGAAGAATCTTCTACATTAAAATGCAAAAAATGTATAGGCTACTATGTTAGAAATTCTCAAAATATCTCCAATGTTCTTTATTTGAAAATAAAAAGCATAGTTTAGCCTAAATATAATGTTATTTGATGCCACTTTTATTTCAGCAGAAAAGCTTTCAGCAATTCAATACTATTATCTTTTTAAACTGCAACCTATTTCAGATACTGAAATCTTTGCTATTGAAGAAAGCTACATTCAGTTGCTGAAAGTGCATCTGCTAAAATAAAATTGGTGACAATGTTATTTATAATTAATTTTACTTAGCATCACTTTTTTCTCATTTTGTTGGTTTCAAATAAGTCATTTGTCCTTTTTTTCAGATTTTTTTTTAAGCTTTCATTGGTTTTTTTTTTTTTTTTTTTTTTTCTTTTATTATTATTATTATTAACTTTCTTTTAAGCGAAAAATTCTGATTTTTTTATTTCGATTTTTTGCTTTTTATGTTTTTTGTGTGATAGTCATTGACTTTTCACTTTGGCCATTAACTTTTGATACTTTGTCTCTCGTTTCACTTCCAGGAACTTTAATCTTCTTTCAGTCAGAGAGATTTTTTTTTGTGAAATTTGCTTTACATGGTTTCTCACCCTTTTGCAGTGCTGATTTTATGCTTCTCAGTTTTTCCCCTTTTCATTCATTGCATCTTTAGTTTGATGAACCTGTTTTTTACCCCCTTGTTCTTGTTGTTTGAATCCGCATTTTTATCTTTCATCGTATCTCCCGTTTTCAATCGTTTCAATAACCTATGCCTTAAAGTGCAGCAACTCTGGAATCACCTTAATTTTTTAATAGAATGCAAATACAAGGAAATTATTCTTAATTTCATTCATACTTGATCCAAGCAAAGACCTCCTGTCCTTGTTCCAAAAACCTTTCACAAAGTAAATTAGTTTTGCTTCAATCTCTTTTTATAAACATGTGATGAGTTACAGTAGCAATAAGGAGCATGCTTTGCCTCTGCACTATTGCCTACAAATACGGCAATCCTAAGGAGATGTTTGGTAGAAGCACAGACACTGGCTGCACGTGGTTCCTTTTTTGAAGTCTTGAAATAAATAATGAATTTTTGTTGTGTATTATGTCTGAATGAAGTTCTTGATGAATGTTGTGAGAATATCAAATATGCCCGGGATAATTGTGATCAACTCTTTTTATAATGGTGATTTCTGGACATTTTTAAATTAAATTTCTCAAAAGTATGCAAAATTTTGTTTTCAGTGGACCACCAACTTTCAAGATTTCCAAAACAAGAGTTACGAATCGCATTAATTTTAGCCTCTAGACCAGAGGTTGGCAATGCATCACCATGGTGTCCGCACTAAATCATTCTGCTTTGTGCGCAATTTTGCAGTTTTTGGTTTACGTTTATATAATACATACTTAAATTATATATTTTTACATCTATATGTCAAACAGCCACTTTATTGCATAGATACTGCTCAAATTCTGGTTTATAATCAATCAATAAGATGCAACCTTATGGTTTATTATGTGTGAAAGTACATTTTCTCTTGCCACCCCAAACCTATCACAGAATCAGTTACCTATATGTTACTGAATATATTTCTCATCTTCCATCAGATATTGTGTCATTAGTGTGGCATTTTCTCATGAAACCAGACACTACTGACCTTTATACAAAGCTCAAAACTGAATTAATAAACCAGTCAAGAGAATCTTCCCAGCAAGAAATCTGCCAGTCATTTCCCCATCATATGGAGATGAATTAGGCTCTCAAAAACTTTCTGATTTACGTAAAAATATGAAATGCCAAGAAGGATCCTTAAATGTTCTTGATAACTTAATGTTAGAATTATTCCTTCAGCGCTTGCCTTCAACCATTCAGTCTACTTTGGCCACAGTCTCCAGTTTGATTTTATACAAAAAAGTTGGAGAATTTCTGACAGAATCTTGAAAGTAAATTCAACCTGGGGACTTGCACTGTTTTCTATACAGTCAATTGGTCTACTGAAGATAAATTAGAACTAGAAAAAACAAACAATCACATTTCCTTTATGCATGGTCTTTTACTAAATCATGGAGATTGCAATATATGTCACAAAAGAAGCAGTTCCAAAAAGGGAGATTATTCCATTTACTAGTATCGCAGGCATCTGAAAAAGAAATGCAGAGAAGATAAGTGCATCAAACCTTGTTCATGTCAGGGACAGCAAAGAATACAGGTGACTTATTCTTTGCCTCAAATTTCACGTAGCCTGTCTGTTCATGACCAAAGAACAAATATTTCATTCTTGGTCAATACCAACTCTGGCATGTAATTATTCCCTGCAAACAACTCTCAAAAGCAAAATTCTCCCCATCAAACACCATTTGCTGCTAATTCTTCAACTATTTCTATTTGCGGTCAAAAAACATTTTCTTTGGAAACCCAATCAAAGTGCCAGTTTACTTGAACTTTTCTAACATCAAATATTAGTACACCCACTCTTGGAGCAGATTTCCTCCATTTCTTTTAATTGGTGTCTGAGCTACAAAATAAGTGTCTAAAATATTTAGAAGCACAGTTTCAAACTGTACGTTGAGTGAAAAATGCAGATGTTTATTTCAGTAAAAAATGTTTTTAGTGATACACTTTTTCACATTTTTTTTTTTCCCTCTTATTATATAATTACAAGATCCTAAGCAACTTGTGAAACACAACACTGTTCATTATATTATAACTAAAGGTTCTCTTGTGGTAGTGAAAACTCTTCAGTTAGTTCCAGATCGCTTAAAAAGCAAAACAAGAATTTCAAATTATGATGCAGGTGGGGCATTTGAGGCCTTCCAGAAGCAATTTTCATCCCCACTTCCCATGGTTCAAAAAAGAGAATTTTGAAATGGAGACCAGTAGAAGAATCATACAGATGCCTCTTCAGAAAATATTTTAAGGAAAATACTTAGATTCATATTACTCAAGTGAAAGTCCTGGAGACCCTCCAGGCATGTAGATCATTCACCAGTAAATGAGCCTAATAGATTTTGAATATTCTAAAAAGGAGACAGAAGAGGATAATGAAGATGAAGGTGATATAGCAAAAACAGCCATACCGGGACTATAAAGTGTATAGACAAGTAGATTGGCTGTATGGATAAATAAAATGAATTCAAATTTAATGACATTATAAGGTATTTCTCCCCCCTTCCTAGGGTGCCTTTGTGCTGTAGTGGTTCTGCATGCTGGGCCAGTATTCCAGAGGTCCGTGGTTCAATTCCCGGCGAAAGCGTTTGCTCATTTTTTATCTCTCTTGATTTAAAAAAAAAAAAAATACTAATGTCTCTACAGTGGTGCCCGAACTAAAAAGGTGTTGGATGATGATTCTGCTCACCCAGAATTTTACGTCCAGGAGTCAATCCCCAGGATTTGACGTCCAGGTCAACAGAAGTCCCCTAAAAACTCCAGTCGCCCTTTAAAAGGGGGAGTATATAAAGTATTTCTCCCGCCTTTCCTAGGGTGCCTTCGTAGTGTAGTGGTTCTGCACGCTGCGCGGGTATTCCAGAGGTCCATGGTTCAATTCCCGGCAAAAGCATTTGATCATTTTTCATCTCTGTTGCTTCAAAAAAAATCCTAATGTCTAATCTTTGTAATATTTCTTGAAAAAAATGTAATAGATTTTTTGAAAAAGAAAAATGAAAAAGCTATTATTATTTAAATTAAATCTTTTTAAAATTAATTAATTAAATCTTTTTTAAATATTGCATACATTTCATAATATTATGCAGTCTATTTAAAACCGCTGAAGAGTTTCAAGGCATTCGTGAATTTAATTGTGACTTACAGATGTCATTTTTGGATTAACCCTGTTCTCAGTTAACTATACTAACTTGTGCATTAATTCGCATAATTAATCAAAGGTTCAAGTATATGATGATGATTGTACCAATGAGATGATTTGTAACATTTCAATATACTCTTGAAAATTTAAATTTCATACTACAGTACAAAGTCTTTAATCCAGACGTCCATAATCTGGAATAATCTATAATCCGGACCGCAAAGCTACAAACTTTCTGCCCATGCGTAGCGTTTATGCATGCGCACAATACCTTTACGCATGCGTGTTTAATGTATAACGGACGGTATAAGCTAGGCTAAAATTTACTAATTATCTATTTCAGTTAATGTTGCAGATTGCATTGTTCCTTAATCTTTTAATTGGATCCGGCTTATTATTTTTTGCAGACTGTTAGAGCAATTTTATAAAAAGCAACCCTTGAACTTTCGATTATGTCAAAAAGAGTTTCCGATTCTGGAGCTACCAAAGGATCTACAAAGAGAAAGCATGTTTCGATGTCCATCAAACAAAAAGTGGAATTGCTGCAAAAAATGGATAAAGGCATGAAGAAAGTGACAGAGAGGTTAGTGAAAATGAAAAAATTTCGATTGACAAGTTAGTCAGTATTCTCAGAACAGCAATTACAGGACTTGAACAGCAGAACTTTGTAACTGAACAAGAAATTATGTCTTTTTATAGAATTAAAGAGAAAGTATTAGCACATAAAACGAAGCAACTTAAACAACTTACATTGAAAGAAATGTTTACTAAAGTAAACAAATAAATATTAAGCCTTTTTTTTTTTTTTTTTTTTTTGTAAATTTTGATATTTTTTGGATCATAATTGCTCTTTATTCCCTAAATTACGGTTTCATATTTTTAATTTTATAATTTCTGCATGCCATCTTACCAGATTTAAATTGATGATCTATTATCCGGAAAAAAACCCAATCCGGAATCGCCGAAGTCCCGAGGAGTCCAGATTTTGTCCCGAGAAGTCCAGATTATAGAAAGACTTTGTACTGTATCTATTGTTTTTAGTTACTCCCCATTCTACAGAATCTAGGCATTCAATGGCATTTTATACCAAAAACAAGTTAAGTCACAATAACTAAAACTTGCATCTTTTGAAATCCCAGAAAAAAGAAATTCAGATTCTGAAAAAGTTTCAGACAACATAATGAATGGTTTTTAAGGTAAATTATTTGGTTTATTTTCAATTACACTCGTTGATTTTGTAATATGAAAACCATTTCATAATTTCAAAAATTTACGTTCTGGCAAAAACCAAAAATACTTTCAATTTAGAAATATCTTTACTCACCTTGACTGTACACAACAACAATATAAATTGAATTCTTGAAATGAGAAGTGTAAAAGAAATTCTTCATCTGACTTCCCAAGTTGCATTACACTTGCATTTAAAATGTACAATGATACAAACTAAAAATAAATAAATAAACAAATTATATTATGGAAGACCCTAATTTTTTTTAAGAATAATCCATTTTAATACATGATACTGAGTATGACTAAAGTTATACTGGTACGATTACACTATTACATATATAAAGCAGTACAACTAAAGTTTTTGATAAGGTCACATAATTTCTCGTTCAGCTTGTATTTTTAACATTTCAAATACTGCGACTTTATGCTCTGAACTGTGACACTAGTCTGACAGGGTCATGGAAATGCTGCAATTTTTTTGTGAGGTAAACATATCTTGTCCCAAATCACATATGAAAAGAAATGCCTTCGCTTTATATTGATTACAGATTATAAAATGCCACATTAATGATATTTTGAAGGTTACTTAATCTTCCTTTCTGATATGCTCACTGTAGTTTTCATTTGATACTTCCTAAAGTCCTAAATTTGATCAGTAGTTACTCATATTAGAAATCACCTTTTGGTTTGACTTCCTCAACAATTCTTCATATTTTCTGCTTATAGATCTGATTTGTTCTCCTGATGATGTACTTGATTGTTCCGATTCTCAATTGCATGGGAGAAAGGAAGGATAGGAAAACAATTTCAATTCTATCCAACGTTTTCATTTTGATGAGTACCATGAACAAAGTGCGGTTCTTGTTTCGACGTGTACAACCATCAGAAAAATCAGCAATATCCTCAATACTTCCAAACATCATTGTGAAAATCACTACAAAAACTGAACTACTATTATGATAGAAAACATTAGATTTCTCCTGAATTCAAATTATACACATTACTGTAATTCTATAGAAGCTTGCCTCCTCCCCAATTTACATAAAATTAATTGAAATGTGTTCAACTCAATTTATTGGGTCATTTTTACAAAGAAATTTTTTTTCATGTTTCACATTTAAGCCCTTTATAAGCAAAAAATGATCTATATACAAGCTGGTTTAAAATAGCATACAAACATTGGAGAAGACAAGGGAATTTGCAAGTTATAACAGGGACAACTGACGTAGGATTTTGTACTCGTAAATTTCAAAAATACAAAATTAAAGCACTTTATAATAGAAACAATGCAGTTAAAAGAATGAACAATAAATCCATACTTAGGTTTTTATCTTATATACTGATCACTTTTGAGAAAAATGGCTTTCACTTATGGTTGGTCTATAGAAGTCTATAGAGAATGGACCTTGATCTCTACCCACCACCTATGCTGGCAGTATGGAAAAATCCTCAAATAGCCCTATTTTGAAATGCCTAAATTATTGATTTTTTCCACAAAAGAAAAAAAATCCCTTAGAATAGCCTAATTTGAAATGCTTAAATTATGAATTTTTTATCCAAAAGAAAAAATATACATGTATACCCCTAAAACCTCTGAATGAGAAATTTATGTATTTCAAATGTAACAATTTTAGGAAGATGTTAATTTTATACTAAAATCATGGAGGAAGCATGCTCCTTTAGTATTAGCCATATTACAAACCTCCCCCATGGGGAAGTATTTGTTGAGCGACTGAGTGAGTGAGTGAGAGATTATGGCGCAAAACCAAAGATGATTATAGCACGCCAAACACGAGATGGGGTGATTACAATTGATGAAATTAAAATACAATAAATAAAAACAAGTAGACAAATGTAACAAATCCAGAGGATGAAGTCATATAAAAACAAGTTAAAAGCACACATTTAAAATTCAAGACACAATCTTCAAAACAAATTACATTATGTAGTAAAAGCCAGTCTTTTTTAAATAATAAAATAAATTACAATTGACATCTCTTCCGATTAAACGGTCGAGAGGTAAGTCACAGCTATTAAAATATTTCTGGCGAAGACTATTAAAACATGGACACTCAATTAAAATATGACGAACAGATAAACAAACATTACAATTAAAACACACAGGCTCATTTTCAGCTTTGAGAAGATAGTTATGTGTCACTCTAGTGTGACCAATTCTGAGGCGAGTCAAAAGAACTTCCTCCTTACGATTTCCAGCAAAATCCCAATACTCAATTCTAGGCTTGACATTTCTCAACTTGTTGTGATGCTGAACATCCCAAATTTGCTGCCATTTTTTTTTACGGACCTTTCCCTTGATGACACAGCAGATATCTCTAAAAGGGATAAGGCGACTGGACAGTTCAACAGCAGATTTTGCTGCGATATTTGCAAGCTCATTTCCCTTTATTCCAGCATGTCCAGGAACCCAGCAGTACAGGACTTCATATCCTCGAATTGTTAAGTTTATATGAATTTTGAGAATATCCACTACCACAGGATTGAGTGTTGGGTAAAGCTTCCAAAGATTTAAGAGCACTATACGAGTCTGTATAAACTATGAACTTTTTGTGGCAGAGCTTTGAGATGTACAAAAGACCATAATATATTGCAGTTAGTTCAGATGTTAGGACTGAGAAAGCATGGTGCAGGCATCTGCCCTCTATGTAATTTTCAAATACAAAAGCCATCCCGACATGATCATTTGACTCTTATCCATCCGTGTATATCAAATAATAACTGCTATATTTGTGCCTGTGCTCAGTGAAGAGTTGTCTGTAAACGATCTCGTTAGTGCTTGCCTTCACGTGATGTTTGAAAACATCAAGAAGCTAAATCCGTGAATTTTCCCAAGGTGGGAATTTCAAATTCTGTACTGCTTGGGGGCGCATATCAGAGAGGGAAAGTTCCTCAATGACAGGGCAAACTCTTAAAGGAAAGTAGGAACACAGGATGGACGTGTTTCAAATAAAGTGTTACACACATTATCAAGTAAGCACAGCTTATTGGGATGTTTAGGTTGCGATAGAATATTAAAATATTGCAAAAGGGACAACTGCTCACGCCTCAGATAAAGTGATGGTTCGTTAGATTCAACATACAGGCTCTGGACAGGAGAAGTCCTGAAAGCTCCTGAACAAATCCGCAGAGCTTGATGGTGAACAGGATCCAGTTTTTTCAATACCGATACTGATCGAGGCGGATCCGTAAACAACTGAGCCATAGTCCAGTCTAGAGCGGACAAGCGCTCTGTAAATGCGAAGCATAGAGCAACGCTCTGCACCGCAGGATGGTGTTCGCCAACACTTTTAAAATATTTAGTGTTTTTAGACACTTTTTTTCTCTCAGGTTTAAAACATGAGAAAGAAAAGTCAATTTTCGGTCGAACGTCACTCCTAAAAATTTTACTTCAGGGCGCAACTGGAATAATTGTACCATTCAGATATATACTCAGGCTCAGGGATGGAGACCTCGCTTTCTACAAAAGTGCACGCACAAAGTTTTCTGTTTTGGAAAATGTAAATCCCTGTTTGTCTGACCATTCTTGGATCTTATTTAGAGCCATCTGCAATTGCCTCTCTACGTATCTCATGTCTGCTCCTCGACAGCTAATCTCGTAGATCATCAACATATAGAGATCCCAAGATGGTGAGGAGAGAAGTTCTTTTTATACAGAGGTTTATTTTTAAGCTGAACACAGGGTTACACTAAGCACACAGCCTTGAGGCACATCCTCTTCCTGTTCAAAAACATCCGACAAAACAGAGCCAATCCTTACTTGGAAAAGTTCTAGTAGTTCAAGAAATTTTGAATGAAAATTGGTAGGTTTGCCGCACAAGCCACTCTCGTGAAGATCCCGAAGTATACTGTATCTCCATGCCTTATCATAAGCTTTCTCAATGTCAAAGAATATCGAGACAAGGTGACTTCTTCTTACAAAAGCTTTTCGAATAGATGTCTCTAAGAGGAGCATATTATCTACGTCGTTCTTCCCTTTCGAAAACCGCTTTGATAAGGCGATATAATATCATTCTTTTCCAAGAAATAGACTAGGCGGCTGTTTACCATCTTTTCAAACAGTTTGCATACACAACTGGTAAGGACAATTGGTGGATAGTTCGAGGTATTCCTTGGATCTTTCCCTGGCTTAGCAATAGGAAGTACAACAGCTCTCCTTCCACACTCTATTGTAAAGAGTGAGAAGGGCATTCAGTGATTTATGGGATAGATGTTTTAGCATTTCGTAATTCATGCCATCAAGACCCGGAGAAGACCTATGTGTCTGCAATAAAGCTCTCTTAATTCCAAGCATAGTAAATGCTCTATTGTAAGGCTCAGATTTGGAAGAGTTGAATGCGATGGGATTTATTTCAGAGTGCTGCTTGATAGAGAGAAAATGCAGGTGAATAGTTTCTGCTGGAAGAAGAAACGGCAGCAAATGTCTCACCAATAGTATTTCGCAATTTCTTCTATGGAGCTAATCACTCGGCCCATCTTTTTCCAAAAAGGAAAGTGAGTGGTCTTTATATATTCCGCATGCTTTTCGAACTCTTTCCCAAACCCGCTTACTAGGCGTGGAGGATGTTATTGATGGACACATATGAAATCCAGGAATTCCTTTGGCTCTGCTCCTTCTTACTTTTCGTGCATTTGCTTTGGCTCTTTTAAATGCAATGAGGTTTCGCAGAGTAGGATATCTACGAAAAATACCCCATGCTTTTTTTCTGTTTTTTTCAGTGCTTCATGACAGTCGCGATTCCACCATGGTTTCGAATATTTTAGTATTTTTCCTGATGTTCTAGGAATGGAAAGCATAGCTGCCTGAATAATAGTATTAGTAACTAATGCTTTCCATTCCTAGCACTTCAAAAGCGTCATCGATATGCACATCTTCTACCATTTCATCTGTGAGCTCTGCAATGGAAGAGAAGAGGTTCCCAGTCTGCCCTATCGAGTATGAATCGAGGGGATCTCGACATGGGGTTTGCTCCTCTTCGTGCAAGAGATACTAAAAAAATGGGATAGTGATCGCTGTTGTAAAGATCATTTCCCACACTAAAAGTGCAAAAAGGCAACAGAGATGGTGAACAGATGGCAAGGTCGAGAGCGTGGAATGTCCTTGAAGGCTCATGGAAGTACGTATCCTGCCCATTATTCAGGAGACAAAGGCTATGATCTTCGATCATCTGCTCAATTTTGTCTTCCTCGGCAATTTGTATCTTTACTACCCCAGAGCGGACTATGGCCGTTAAAATCTCCTATTATGATATAGGGCTCAGGCAGCTGCTCTATAAGACCATTTAAATCTTGCTGATCAATGTGCTCATTTGGAGGCAAATACAGAGAAACAACTGAAACAACAATATCAAAATTTGTTTGAGTAGCGACAACTTGGAGGGATGTCGTCAAAGAAAGTACATCTGAGGAATAATCCAGTGAGGTGAGGAGACCTACACCTCCACTGGCACGCTCACCTGCAAGGTTATCCTTCCTGACGAAAGAAAACCTCCGAAGTTTTGCATGTTGTTCTGGTTTCAGATTTGTTTCCTGTATTGCTAAGCACACAGGATGATACGCATTTATTATAGATTTGATGTCAAAGCAAATTTCGGTGGAAACCGCGACAGTTCCATGAGACGAGGGTGGCCATTATGAATGGTTTTTGTTCTTTCTGTGCTGTTCTTTTGTTTTTCGTGGAAGTAGATGCCTGGGAACTTCTAGACCCTCTTCTACTTCCATACTGTCCGAGTCCGCAGATTCAGAAATCATTCCATCAAGAGAGCTATTGCTGGAACTTTTATTTTATTTATTTATTTATTTATTTATTTATTTTTTTTTTTTTTGTGGCAGTTTTGGGTTTACTTTGAATGACAGTTTCTTTCTTTTGTACTAAATGAGTTGAATTTTCTTTTTCTTGGTGGATGTAGTCGGTTGAGTTTTATTTGCTAGAATCTGCGTACCTATTGATGTTTGGGTGGACACTGTACAAGATGATTTAACAGCACTGGCGTATGATGTATTTGGTCGAAGCTGTGTGCTTTGGACTAATCTTCTGGCTTCGGCGTATGAGATGTTCCTCGTAACCTTTGCAGTCTGCACTTCTTTTTCCAATTTCCATTTTGGGCACAGGCGTGAAAATGCTGGGTGCTCACCCTTGCAATTTATACACAGAGGCGCAGCGGTACAATTTTCAGAATCGTGGCCAATCTGTGAGCATCGGGCGCATGTCAGGCTGCCACGACAAGACGTCTTAGAATGGCCGAAATGCTGGCATTGGAAGCATCGCATAGGGTTTGGAATATAAGGTCTTACAGGACAATTTAAGTATCCGGCCTTAATATTCTTAGGCAGATCAGGCATATTGAAGGTCAGGATCGCGTGTTTCGTGTCGATCAACTTACCTTCTTTATGCATCTTGATCCGCCTAACACCGCAGACATTTTAGTCGGACAGCTCGGAAGCGATCTCTTCTTCAGAAACATACAGAAGGTCGAATTCCGAGATTACACCACGACAAAAATTTAGTGACTTATGTGCTGTTACAGTGACATTCGCTTGCCCAAGTTTAGTTATTTGAAGTAAAGAAGCAGACTGGGTGGCTGAGGTTGTATCAATAAGCAAGTCTACAGAGAGTGGAGACGCTTTATATTATTCGGCTCACCAATACAAGAATGAATATATTTATTTATTACAAAACGAGACATCTTCTGCAGGTCGCCAGAAGGACTAGAGATAACTAGAAAACAGGGACTACAATTAGGATTATTTGCATTTGCATCTGTATGTAATGTTTTTGCAGTAGACTTTTCAGAACTAGGTTGAGTGATTGGTTTAGCAGTAGACGTTTCAGAACTAGGTTGAGCGACTGACTGGAGTGACTTCAAAATCTTTGATTAAATAAATGTGTGAATTTGCCATATTGAAGTAAGAAAAGATTCGGGTCCAACGGCCCCGCCCACCATGGAGCCCAACAAGGGAACACAGATTCCTGTGTTAGGGCTAGCCGAACCTATACGCAGACTGAAGCCCCACAGTCGGCTTTCCCGAAAGCAGGTACTCCCGAGAGTTTATCCCCAAGCCACCCCATCAGGACGACTAAGGTGCCTCCCGTTTAGCTGAAGCAGAGGCCAAAGTAGTGTGTTGGGGACAGTACCTCGCCCCTAAACTACCAGGCCCCTCCTTTCCAGCGACACAGGTCTCCACGCATGGCAAACACAAGGGCAGTTTTCTCGCCACTCGAAAACTAGAGACAAGGGCTGTTCCAGTCTCTTGTGACGAGCCCCAAACTCCGAAGAGAGAAACCACAAGGGAGAAGGGAAGGGAAAAAGTTCCAGCCAAAAGGAGAGGAGATGGAAAAGAGGATAGATCACTGGGGCTCCAGGATCGTGACACCCGTCTCACCAAGATGATCCCCCTGATGGGCTAGGGTACCTCAGGATTGCCACACCCGTACTCAAAAAAAAAGAGCCCCTGAGGGCTGTTGTGCGACTGAATTGTGTAAGGAAATTTTCTTTTGAAGAGTGTTAATTGGATTGTTCTATCTTTTTTTTTTTTTTTTTTTTTTTTTTTTTTCCAAAAAATTTCCCCACTGCGGAGTACCTTTTCATGGCCTGGGGGCTCCCTTTGCTAAGGGAAAGTGGTCCAAACTCAGTAGCTGAAGGTTGTTCCAGGCAGTTTCTAACAGCTGGACAATGGTTTTACAAATATGTCAAGAAATTCAGACACAGCCTGTTGACTCTACTGCTCTATTAGCAGATAGACGAACAATTTTAAGTTATTTAGAAATTGTATTAAGAGACACAAGCAGAGTCTTGAATATTCTAAAAGGAAAAATTATTTCTATGGTGCATCAAATTTATGATTTATTGGTTACACAACCAGTTGATAATGTGATCCTTAAGGGAAGGCTTGAAGAGTAAACAAAAATGTTGTTGAATCTTCAGCCACTTTCATTTGCAGCATGGCAGATCCAAAACATTTTCTTCAGAAAATAATATAGAAAAAACGAGATAGATCTACTAGTAAAAGTGGGTCCAAGGATTTTACAGTTCTACTCTATCCAAAAAAGGAAGGAATCACCTGTGAGGAGGTCAAAAATAAAATTGTACTTTTGATTAATCCTACCCAATTACGCATTGGTGGTAGAAGATTAAAAATAATTAATAAAAGAGGAATAGAATAATTTGTTCTAAATCCTCTAATGTTAAAGCCTTGGACACAGATGTTAAAACAAATTATTTGCTTAAAAATGATATGGTAATTCAACATCCTGTTAAGAAAGATCCAGAAGTTATAATTTATAATATAGATTCTGATTGTTCTTAAGATGATCTTAAGATTATGATTAGAGACCAAAATATGGTCTTTGAAAATTGTTTTGACTTAAAATTCTTGATAAAAGGTAAAAATATAATAAAGTACACTGGGTGGCCAGTGTAAAAGCAGGAAAACTTAACATAAGATGGTCTCGTCTTAGGATTAAAGATTTTTTTAAAGTAATTCAATGCTTTAAGTTTTCAAAGTATGGGCACTTTCAAACAAAATGCCTAGAACCACAAATATGTGCTACGTGTGATGAAGTTGGACATAAACATTGGGAGTGTAAAGATACTCCAAAATGTTTTAATTGCAATTAAATGAGGCAAATGAAAAGTATAAATTGAAGCTTAGCGTTGATCATACTAGTTTAGATAAAAACTATCATTGTCACAAACGACAAATGGATCTTTTAATCAGTCATACTAATTATGGCAAGTAGAAGTGATGAAGACTTGAAAATAGCTCTGTACATGAAGACAACAACAGTGTGTATAGTGCCAATTTGTTCATGATGAGTTTTTGTAATCTTTGATTTTGTTTAAAGCTAAAACAGTGTACATGGAGAGAAAAGCAGAAAACAATAATAATAATGTTTCTTGTGTTTTTAATTTTGTTAATTGGTTGCTGTTTATTGTAATTCTCAGTGTGGAACCATTTTTGAAAATGTCTGTTATCTTTTGGAATTTAGCTTCATGAATTAGTTGCCAATGGTTGATGACTTTTTTGGAGGGGTGGGGAGCGGATAATCAGAAAGTACTGATAATTTTTGCAAAAAACTGCAAGATGAAATTTTATTAACACATTAAAATATACAACTTAAGTAGAAAAGTAGACTACTACCTTAAGTAAAAAAGTACAACTTGGGAAAGCAGTTAAAAAAATTTTTCTCTCGGACTGTTTCTTTGTTGATGGTGTGTATGATTTTATCCAATCAGTGTCTCCTTGAAGGCGTATATCATTTATACAAATCACAAAAAAATTCCTGAAAGTAATCAAAATATTAGTTTATTGCTATCTTACATAATAAGACATAACAGAAGAAAATTTTCAAAAAATGATAATGGAAAAATTAAAAATTACTTACTTTAAATTTGAACTAAACAAATAACTATTCAGTCCAACATATTCGATTTCCTGAAATTAGCAAAAGATATGTATAAGGAAATAAAAATGATTGAAATAAACTTCAAAGAAATCAGTATCTGAAATTAAATTTCATTAATACCAAAGCATAACTGTAAATTCAACACATTTGCTAGTTTAAAAATCCTTTTAGATGTCAAAATATCCATTAATTAATTCAAATAAAAAATTACTTTGAATAAAACAAAAAAATTATCTGTTTTAATATGTAAATTATGTAACACAGCAATAAATAATTTTTCATAAGATTTATTCACATTTATGAAATACACACATTAGTAAAATCAAATATTGCATAAATTACACGGCAAAAACGAATTCAAAATTCTAATATGGATTTACAATGCACATGTAAGCAGTCACATTTAAGTAGTCAAAAAAGAAATGTGTATAGTTATAAAAGTAAAATAATATTATTGTGGTACTTCTAATACAAAATGTTTTTTTAAATTGTATTAATGCAATGGGTTATTCATAACTAATTTGGAGAGGATTTTTCGATTCCTCTTATTCTTAATTTCCTTTCTTTATTAAATTCCACCAAGTCTAACTAGTATAACTGATTACAAAAAAAAAAAAAAAAAAAATGCATCATAAAAAGAACTACTAAAATGCCTCTGCAAAATCATCGGATTCAATCCATATTTTAAAAAAAATATATTTAAGTCAGATCACACTTTATGATGTACCGAAGCAATGCGATCTGAGATCAGTGATCTTGCACAAATTAAAAATTAAATATAATGTGCCCAAACTGCTTGCCAGTGTCAATAATATGTAGATATCTGCACAACAAGTGACTAAATTTCCACTGATCACTTTCAGTCCTATGCAGCCAATATAACATCGCCCACAAGCACACAGCCAGTCATTTTGTAGTATATGACATGGTACAGTTTAGAAGAAAAAATAATGTCAATAATACAATGACTTAAGCACTGAATTTGCCATAATACCAGTGATAGTTTCCAGATATTCTGACAGCTATGACAGCTTAAAATTTGGATTCCAAACGAACTTGCCAAATATTAGCATTAAGCATTTGGAAACAAGCATTGCTTTTTGAATTAGCATGCTTTCATCTGTGTCAAATGCTAACAATTAATTCATTAATTGCTAGCATTGGAGCAAGCAATGGTCACAAAGAAAATGGTCCATTTTGAGTCATAAAGCAAATGGATGCTTTCCAAGAGATACTGTAAAGCACACTGGCTTGATCATAGTTCCTCCCCAAACAACAAATGTCTAACCCAGATCTACTCCAGCAGAAGGTTCTGATTTTTGTATAATGGACTGAGAAGCATTATTAGTGTTTATTACATGACCAAATAATTCTGTATAATACACATTGTGGTGCTACTTTGGTAGACGGTTGCACGGATTTTTGGCGATTTACGTTGGCGCAATTTTTACAATTGTCAGCCATCTTGAAAAATGCTGTTTTTACGCATAGTAAAGTATTCAAAACTTTTTTAAAAAATAAATATCGTTAAAAGTAATGGATTAATTTTTTGTTAAAAATGTCGTTTTTTAAGACGGCAGGCAAGTGTAAATAAAACATTTTACGATGAGTATAAAGTACTAAAGTAAGGCTATTACTTTCATATAGCAAAAAAGAGAATAAAAACACGCTATAAAAACATTGTGCCAACATTTAATTAGATTAAAATATTACTGAAATTGAAATATCGAATTATAAAACCATCCTACCAACATTTAAAAGAATTAGAATATTATTAAAAATTCAAATACTTTAAAATACGTTAGAAAATATAATTAACTTAAAACATATGTGACAATAATTATCTCAGCAATTTTTGAAATAGTGTATTAATTTTTTTAACAAAAATTGAAGTATACAATTATAAATAAAAGAAAATATGTACTTACATTTTTTTGAGTAATTTAACCTCTTGTTTATTGATAAGTACCACAAAAAAAATCGAAATCATAATTAAAATCGGATCTTTTAACCATCTCCATCTGTTATATCCAAATATCTCGCACTTCATTGAAGAAGCAATTAGCGAGGTTCCTCCAAAATTTCCTCTGACGCTATTAACAATTTATAAATAAATCTTGATTAGGAAAGACAGGTTGGCCAAAATAAAGTCTCAAAGGGCATTTTTTTTTATTCCAATACCAATATTCTTGGTAATTACCAATAACAACATTCGTCTTCGAAAGGGAGATATCCATTCCATTTTAAATCCGAGAAATTCGAAGAGATGAATAATAAAATTTTAAAATAACGCGGTAATGCACAAATATTCAGTAACCAATCAGGGAGCTGATTACATCACGCATAGAATTAAAAATTATTTAAATAATCATTCATAATAAAATTATTTTTAAAACAAATGCAAAATTACATTTTATTTTAATATATTTAAAACAACCATAAATAATGTTTAAAACAATTAGATTAAATTTATAGATATTAATAAAACCAATTACTTTTTTAGTAAGGTGACGTCATTGATTACATCATCCACAACATAAAATTATATAAAATATTATAAACAACAAATTTTTATTTCAAATAAAAATGTAATATTAAATTGATATTTAATATTTAGAAGCCATAAATAATTTAAACACACGGAAGTTAGCATAATAAAACGCATTATTTTTTTAATAAAATGACAACAAAGTATCGGTTACCATAAATAACTTATCCAGCAATGGGTTTACCATAAGTTGTATTACTCGCCAAAAGGCAAATCGCCAAAAAGTCTCCAAAATTCGTGCAACCGTCTACCAAAGTAGCACCCACATTGATGTCAGTTAGAATAATATCACCAGAAATATATAGTAGTAAATAATCATCACATTTACCGCATATTTCTGGTTATATTTTGCATGCATCATTTTAGTCCTTTATTATTGCCAAATTGAATATGCTTATATGGAATAATCGGTTAGGAAAAAGCAAAAGAAGCCAATGCTTTGAGGTATAAAGGCCTTTCTCATCCTACATAGTAACCAGACTTGGCATCTGCAGTTATTAATATATTTCATAAACTTCTTTACTTCTTGCAGAGCACATGTCTCATGAGGATGTTACGATTCATGCTATTAGTAAGTTCTACAGGAAATGTGATAACAGTTCCACCATCATGTCACCCTTGCACAGCAGATACATTAGACATAGTGTATTGCTGACCATTATATATTTTTATAAATAAAATGTATTTCTTGGTCTACTATCGCTGATTTCTTTTATTTGCATATGAACTGGCCAATGGTGCCAATATGTTTGTCAGAAAATATTTCCTGCAGCTAAAATACAGCATTCTCCCTCCCCCCACAAGTTTCTTAAATTAAAAAGAATGAAAAATATCTGTAGTCTGATATTTTAAATTTCAGCTTAAGTTGACATAAGCAATCTCCTGGGTATTTGCTGGAAAACTACAGAAAATAAAAAAAATAAAAAAATAAATAAAAAAAAAATTCAATTTTGTAGATCTACATTCTGCAATTCATATGTAGAATATCACACCGGTTGGGGCTCTTCGAAATGGCAGAACATGAAACCTAGGAACACAGCAAGACACTGCTTGAAGTCATTACTTATCGGAGTTCATGTAGTGGCAGAAAGTTGTTGCTCGGAGTAAAAAACCCTCGAAGCTATTTTAGAGAAAATTGCCATATATTATCCAGCCGGCATAAAGAAAAACTAGTTGTATCAAATTAACACCAAAGTTAGCCAATCCTTCTCTGTTAACATGTGAATACTACTTAATATTAACTTATTTACAATTTTCCTCTATAATTTTTCCATCTGTAAAATTTCTAGGCATTCACTACGTAAGAAGTTACTATTTAGCTCAAGAACAAGGTAAAGGTAGATTACTGAATTGAAGCAAACCACACAATAGATATATAATTAGGACAATGGTTCTCAATCTTTTTTGCCCCATGCAACCCATTTCATAACTGCTAGAACTACTAGAAGAACACTCCCCCTCTCCTTTCTCAAACTCAAAAAATATGTATGCATTTATTTCAGTTTAGGTTGTTTTTAGTATGTTTTTAGAAACTAAACAACAAAAAGGTATAAAAAGTGTTGATAAATACCCAAACTTGAATAAAAGTAGTTTTTTATAAGCATAAACTAAAACTAAATATTTGATAGAGAAATCAAAGGCTAACTACATTTTTCTCCCTCAAAGTATGAAATCCTCCCTAGAGGGGAATTCTTGGTTGAGAACCCCTGAACTAGGAGGAGGGATACCTTCATGAAAACTTTTTAAGGTAAACTGGTTTATATTAACCACAAAAACTACCATGCAGTCAGCCCATTCACCAGAATTTTAATCCAGGTCAAGTTAAGGGATTTTACCACTTGGCTGCCAGCAGGCAGACCAAATTAAAAAGGCACACTAAATCAGGCCTTAAATACAAAAAATAATAATAATAATAATAATAACATATTTTTTTAATATTAGCACTATATCAAAGGTACCAGATGTGCCTTTTGCTAGAGCCCAAAAATTCCTAATGGTAGTCAAAAGTCTTTAATCCAGACTCGTCGAAACTTCGAAGATTCTGGATTATCGGTTTTTCCAGATTATAGATCATCAATTTAAATCCGGGTAAGATGGCATGCAGAAATTATAAAATTAAAAATATGAAACCATAATTTATGAAATAAAGAGCAATTATGATCTAAAAGGTATCAAAATTTACAAAAAAAAAGCTTAATATTTATTTGTTTACTTTATTAAACATTTCTTTAAATGAGTGCATAGTCGAAATTAGAAAATTGCAACCAGAAACTATTTGATGTGTATTCGTGATATTTACAATGACGAGGAATTTGATTTAAATCATATCAAAGATGGAGTACATACTACATTTAGTAAGGAATTATAAGCCGAATAAAATAAAAACATCTACCCTGAAGATAAGGATAGTACCGACAGATCAACTTCCAGTTCATTGCGCGCTGCGACATCCCCCCTCCCCCCCCAGAGCAGCATGAAATTGATAAACAGATTTCGTAATGGTTAGAGAAACAAAGGATATGCCTTCATCCATTTTTTGCAGCAATTTCACTTTTTGTTTGATGGACATCGAAACATGTGTTCGCTTTTGTCAGCTTTAGAATCGGAAACTCTTTTTGACATAATCGAAAGTTCAAGCTTACATTTTATAAAATTGCTCTTAAAAGTTTGCAAAAAGTAATAAGGCGGATCCAATTCGAAGATTAAGGAACAATGCAATCTGCAACATTAACTGAAATAGATAATTAGATAATTTTAGCTTAGCTTATACCATCCATTATACATTAAACGCGCATGCGTAAAGGTAGATTGCGTTTACGCATGCACAGAAAGTTTGTAGCTTTGAGGTCCGGATTAAAGATTTTTGACTGTACCAATATATTATTTTGAAATAATGCCATTCCTACTTTGTCCCTTTGTAGGGAATGCTTCTGCATATAATTAATTTTATATTGTGCAGCAAAATTATTATCAATAAATACTGCAGAAATTATCTTTAAAAAAATCTGAATGATTATGAATTCTTGGTGAGATATAAGAAAATTGAAATTGCATACCAGTTTTAAGCCATTCCTCAGCTGCAAATGAATGTCACGAAAGCCCAGGAAGCCATAACCACCCACTTTCAGTTTCATACCATATTTTCTATATAGAAACCATGATAGAAGTTTTATGGAAATACTACAAAAAGAAAAAAATATTCAGCATCACAAAATTAAATACTGAAATTCATTCAGACAAAGCTGAGATGTTCTCAGATGCATAAAGGATTATTAGGCAAATCAAATTACAAATTTTAAAAAGCAACATTTAAAAATAGTTAATAAAAAAAGGCTTTATTATAGTTAATATGTATAATTTATTATAGTTATTAACTACATTATTATAGTTAATAAAGTAATATGATGGTATAAAACAAATGATCAGAAGGATTTATTGTTATCCAATATCTGCTTGCAAAAGGATTTAACAGGAAAATAGATTCGGTGAAACAAGATAGATTTAAAAAATGCAATTAAATTGCTTCATTTTCTCAAAGAAGAAGTTGGAGTGATTAATTCTAGGAAATTAACAGATGTGTATTATACTAAAGGAAGATTATGTTGAAATATCTAAGCAATTAAGCAAACTCAATAATTATCAGAGTGCCCTAAGGTCTTTAGGATCTTTAGGATCACATGAAGAAATTCAAGGAACATGGATAAATAAAATTGAAGGGTAATTAGAGTAAAATGTGAGCCAGTGTGCATGTATCCCAAATTTATGGATAACATCATTATGCAAGGTTATTGTGAAAGAATTCATCGTGATTTTCATAGTTAAAATGTGCATACTGCTAATTTCCATTTTTGTGCATATGGATCATATATTAACATGAAAAAAGGTGAATAAAAAATTATCACTATTAATAATCTGCATTTGTCAAAAATTCTGAAAAAGACTACAAATGTGAAATTTTCATTAAGGTTTAAAGACCTCATCTGGATGATTTTATACACAAAAGGATTATAGAAAAGTTGGAAAAACCTTCACAATTACCAAACTTACAAACGAATTACAAAATTGTGTCTCCGGCCTTCAACAGAGCATCGAACAACAATAACACATTCTAGATGCACAAGGTTATGCTCTTTCTATGATAAAATATTAAAACTTATATTTAGTGTGGCAGTTAATAGTTAGATTAAATTAGGTTAATTGCTTAAGCAAACTCAAGAGCTATCTGCCTATGAAGAGGTATGACTTAATGGAGGACATTTTAAGAGAAATTGGGTTGTAACCACATAACACATGGAAAAACCATGAAACTTCCATGCAACCAACTCATGTACCAGGATTTGAGTTCAGGTCGAACTAACAGTATTCAGTGACTTTAACACTCGGCCACTAGTGGGTGCATTAATGTAATTAACATTACAAGCTAGCCAACTTGGAAGTTGCTTATATTTGCAGCAAGCAATGAGGACCAAGCAGTTTTTCCATATTTCAATCATATAAAGCTACTATGCTCAAGATATCTATGGGCCTATCTAAATAGTACCGCAGAAAAAAACTTACTATGGTGTCAGATCTACCAACATTGGAAAACAATGGTCGTGTTCTCTTCGAGGGGAGGGGGGAAAATTAAAGTTAATTCAATCTGCAACTGGATTGGGAAGGATTGCCTCCTTAGAGGAAGTTTTAAAGGAAATTATACTCATGTTACACATTTGAAAAACCATGTAAACTTCTACACAATTAAGCCATTCACTGTAGAACCTGAATCAAACTACAGTTTTAGCAATCTTACCACTTGGCCACTAGTGGGCATGAAAACATAAAAGAAAAATTACTGTGGTGGTGGAGTGATGGTATGAAGTAGCATAACTACTGCTGGAGACACTGAGTTTGGTTATTGAATTAATGGCAGCATGATAAGCAAATATCATTTTAAAACAATTATTGAAGGCCAGGTTCACTTATTCTGTAATACAACAGTTAAATTTTTTCTTTTTATGGATGATAATGCTACACTTTAATCAAATACAACTGTACAGAAATTTCTAGAGTGTAGATATTCATCACACAGGCAGGCCTGCATGCTCCTACAAGGAGTCAAATTGCAGCTTAACCGTGTATTGCTATAAAACAATCAAGGTTTAATCCACATTCTACAGAAGGAATTGAAAAATCCCCCACGGGAATTCCTGAATTTGCAGTGAGCATGTAACAGCACTGTGATTACTACATTACAATTTGACAAGTGGACATACAAGTCGATTGTGTGAGTATTGATAAGTCAATTCACTTAAAAGCCTATGCATAATTGTTTTGCAAAAGGCTTACTACTATTGCTTTGATTTATTACATCAAATAGATTATTAGTTCGTTATTTCCATTCACGTATACTTTCCTCTATATCAGAAAAAAATACACTCATCATTAAATTTTGAACATGTACTAGCAAGGACTACTATAGATTTGATGCAATTTGATACATCCGATAAAAGCTAATTCTTGATGTCTGCAAGATTTGAAATGCACTAAAAGCTACATACTATTTAGGTGAAACAGTGTCCATTATTTGCATTATAATCAAATGCTTTCCCAACATATTTGTGTTTATTAAGTTGCTGTATTTAAGAGACGACAATATTGAATTGCAGATTGGGATGTCAACAATGAACTTATCTATCAAGGCAATAACTCATGATAGGCATCCAGACAGTATAGTGGTTATGGGAGCCTACTGCGGTACCAAGGGGCCCGGGTTCGAATCCCAGAGAAGGCATGGTTGTAACTGTCCGTCCCTTCATATGAACATAAGTTAACAGCACAATAATGCTTACTTCAATTTTATAAAGCCAACTGTTGTTTTATTTTTAAACATTAACCAAAGATGTCATCTTAAATATAAACCAAAAGCATACTTTAAATTTAAAAACTGGAAAATGAATCTTTGTTTTTTGAAATCATTTATATAGTAAAATCCTCATTAACTAATTTTAATATGTAGTTATGCACTAAATCATCGATTTTAGAATGTACATTAATTATGATTTCTCTGCTAAAAGATTTATATTTTATAATGTTTTTAATATTAAGATGAGTTGCTCTTATTCCTGAATTTATCTAAAGTTCCATATGCTATTGCATTATATCTATACACCTATATAAAGCATCTTTTCTAGAAATTTGAAGGAATAAAATATTTTCTCAATATTTTAACAAAGTCTGCAGTTGAAAGAGTTTTAGACATGGAGACATTTTAATCTTCTACACTGAAAACATATCAAAACACTCTCTCACTTTTCCATCTCTTTTGTGCTTCCTTAAAACATCTGCAATTTTTATAAGTTCTATATCATTTTCAGTACTTTTTATTCAGGCATATTTCACAACACTGCTTGGAAATATTAAATATAATTTCTCTTTGGTTGTACTTACCAAAAGCCTCACAGTCTGTACCTCAAATATTGAATGTGCCTCAAATGAGTACTGTATTTTAAATATGAATTCAATCAGTAAACTCCAAATAATACTGAATTTAAGTATCACAGAAAGATGAAATAAATCATATTACATAAAAAATATTAATAACTAGACAACTGATGAACTCTATAACAAAAAAATAGCAAATGATTTTTTTAAAACTTTTTATTGCTTTTTAGTTAAAACTTCTTATATTTTACAAATTACTTTAAAATGGAACTACAACTATTTAATTATAATTAACAGTAGAATTACAAGGCCTATCAATAATAATACATAGTTTTATTTCAGTACTTATAAAAAGACTCAATATTTTAATACAAAATATGAATTGAATAGTTATCAAGTCTTCATGAAACTAGTCCCATTACTTCAATACTATAAAATATATATACGCACATATGTGCAATATTTTAAATATTGCTGCAAACAGATGATGCATTTTAGGCATACAATGAAGTTGTATAAATGACTGAATTAATAATATTCCTTTTTTTTTCTTATCAGCCAAATACTTTATTATGCCAATATAAAATTCCATGCCACAGTGCCTATTTTTGAAGAACTAAACTGGTACTGTTAATTTTTTTAGAATATAATTTTGAAGAGAAGATGCAGCAGCAAGTTCGCAGAAACGAAGTAAAAAAATGAAATGCAATATATCCCAAATGGAGGCTTAGTTCAAAAGAAATTGATTAGCAATTTTTCTCATTTGCTATTAAAAGTTTTGATTATGGTTGTCTGACTTTCAGTTTGCAAATATCTGCATCACTAGCATTATGTCAAAATTGTGAAGAAAAAAAAATTACACAAAAGAGTCTGCAAACAGAAATATCTGATACTAAACAGTTGTTCATTAGCAATGTAATTCACAAAACAGTTTTAAAACATTATTCAGTAAATATTCAAGAAGGGACTGCCACTTGAGTTTACCTATGTGGTGCTGCAGAATGCAGGGATATGGGAAATATCTTTTTTTTAATTTAGGGAAGAACTAAATAGCAGAATTTAAGAACCACAGAAGGTGCATCAAGTAATAAAAAACATTTAACCAAACAGTAGCTGATTGATTAAATTAATAAGGCAAAGTAAGCAAAGAGCTACTTGCTTATGAAAAATGATCTCACTGTGGAAAATTTTCTTGTATTCATGTCATATGTAAATAAAATCATGCAAACCCTATCAGCCATCCTGTTAATAGGGACCTTATTCAGATAGAACTAGCAGCACTCCTCATCAACTTGGTGGGCAAACACTCTAGTAACTATAAACCTAAAGGCAAACTATGTTTAAAGTCCTGTTTAAAAGCTTATTAAAATTTGGAAATAAATTTTTAAAGAAGCTGTGACATATTGTCATTTTAAAAATAAACAAAGCTCACACCAATCGGAAAATGCTTTTCTGTCCATTAAAAATATCTGGCTACTTTTCAGTGAAACAACAGTGCACACTGATTAATAACTTTTCCCAATACACTAAACACTTCTAAAAATCATTTGAAAAGTCTGCCCAACCAGTTCATTAAAGTCACCTACATTAAAAAAAAAAAAAAAAAAAGGCTGTTAATCGTTCATAGATTGTCACGGATTCTATCGGTTGCGACATTTATTTTCTTGAAACACATTTACAAGTGAACAACTAATCTTGTATCCAAAACGGCCCACATCACATTATAAGATGATATTAAACATCAATAGGGACAGGACTTCACTTACTGGAAGAAATACACCAAAACAAATACAGTTAGGACTATAATCAAACATAATTCTTCATAAGCCATTGAAACTTGTCAACATATTCACATGTTTCTGAACTTAACTGAGTAACGGCGAACTGTCTTACTGACGTCAACAATAACACGTGACAATACAAATGCTAAAAGTTCCGTTAATCTGTCTCGGTAACAAGTGTAATGTTACTAGTTTAAATTTACAGAAATATTCAAACTAAGAAACTTCAGGTTCTTTTACATCTAATACATATTATCATGAACAAAGAAGTAACTATTAGTACTTCTTTATCAATTCACATGCCGTAAAACATTTATCTTTTCCGGCTACAATTAAACCCCACCCATCAGAATGTAAAAACATATGTCAGCCAGCTGCCTAAAATGTTTAATTTCTGAGCATATTGGCAAAGTCGAAGAAAAAAACAAAACGAAAACAGAGAATTGTAAACACAAAGAGTATGTTCCCAAGAAAGGTTTTTCTAAATGGAATTTAGGTAGTATTTACGCGGTGTTTGAACAAAGTTGCAAACCTATTCAACCACCAAGATTCCTCTTCTCTATTCAACCACCAAGATTCAACCTTCCTATTCAACCACCAAGAACCGAGTTTTGGACAAGAATATTAGAATTTTCCCGAAGCCATAAAAATGCAGTTTACTTAGTGAGTAGTTTTAAAGCAGATTTTACATCTTTTTAAAATCGTTAAAGTTTTGCGGAAAATTACTTTACAAATGGGGATTTTGCTTTGGTTTACTCAAACGTTTACAATTATATATAACAAATATAGAGATAGCTAGATATTATTAATGTGCTATTTTCCATTGAATAATTTCACAATCTTAATTCATATCTGTTTTGAGCTTTCTTACGTTCCCCTGAACATTTCTCTCTATAACAACGATACTCGGAGTTAAAAAGTTAAAATATCCTTTCCCAATTCAGATGCACAAATACACTTACACATATATACAGATGCATATATGTGACTAAAAGGTACTTACGTGTTATCGCAATCACCTTGAAAAATGACGCACTCTTCTGTTATCGGGACCGGATTCAGAAATGTAGGTACGTAAGCATGCATGTCGGTGTTAAAACCTTGGTCTTGAAAATGGATCTGCTGTTTTCGCTTATCTCAGTTTCTCACAGTTCCAAGGATTAGTTCTGATATTATGGAGTCTGTGTTAATTTGTCTGACCATTGAAACTTCAAAGCCATATATTCTGTCTTGCAAAGGTGTCTGCTAATTCAAACTGAATTACCCGGGGCACGCGGCGAGGACGGCCTTTTACTTACTGCTCCTCCCGGGTTTCCACCCCTTCTCTTGCTTATTGCTTAAAAGTGCAATGAAGGAACCACTGGCGGTACATTTCTAAGAGCCACCTCTAGCTCAATAATAAAGGTGATTTAATAATAAAGTTAATTCACATGTCCAAGATCTCTTTTGTACACAACATTTTGTGTAGATCTTTTCCATCATTTTTAGCTCGCCTTGGCAAGGACATCAATTATTTTTTTTTTACTGTTCCGTTCTTTCACGAACTCTTGAACAGCCATAAAGTTGACCGTGTCCAAATGCAGGCTCAGGTTTAAAAAAAAAAAAAAAATTGCCAACACACTTAAGTAAGTTGACCACCAAGGAAACATAAAGTTGACCGTGTCCAAATGCAGCCTCAGGTTAAAAAAAAAAAAAAAGCAAACTTGTATATATCATTTTTAAAGAGAATTTATTACTGAATTCAGTACAAAACCAAAATTCAATTATTGCGATACAAAAAAGTCATATGTACTTTAAATAAAAAACACGTTATGAAGTGTTTTATGTCTAGCTTTCCTAGCCAATCACTGTCTTGTTCTGAGAGCCAATCAATGTTAGTACTGCCAGTAGAAGCTGATTGTTTACCTTGAAACATCATTAGTTTGCTTTGTTCTGGTAAAGGGACCCTTTTCTTATACACTGCAATTACAAGTAGAATTTTTGTAAAAATTTTTAATATTTAGTCAAGAAGCAATGACACAGATAAAAGAGTAGATTGACACCTAGAAAAGATGTAAATTATTGTGTTACGAGAAAGGGGTCTTTCCTATGCTGAAATTCAAGACAGGTGGGTGGTTCAGTAAACTGCATCTAGAGTCCGAAATTTTTTTTTACGATATCAGGGAGACAAATTCAATAAAAAACAAGAAGGGAACATAACTGTGTTTTTTATTTATATTAAAGACATATGACTTTTTTGTATCGCAAATACTTGAATTTTGTGTTTCTATTGAATTCATAATAAATTCTCTTTAAAATGATATATACAGTTGCATTTTGTGAAACGTACGTTTTCTAAGCATAACAGGTTCAAACCATAAAATCTCCAAAAGTGTCCACAATTTTGGCCACCACTGTATATAAGCGGCTAAAGTGTTGTCGCCCTAGTTTATTGTTGACCATTGGAAATGAGAAGCGGAAATTAACGTTTCCGCAGTTTTTAATTAATATTTCGGCCGGTTAAAGTCGTACGAAGATGAGAACGGTATTGATGGATTTAGAGAATTTTTTGGAATCCGAGGATACGCGTCTCGAATTTCAACTCGGCACCGTTCCGTAGATATTCAAGAAAAAAGAATTTGGCACGTAGCCAAATCCCTCGAATAGGGAAAACTCAAGAAAGAAAGTGGGAAAGGTAGGGGAAAATTAGTTTTTAATTAATATTTCGGCTTATTAAAGTCCCAAGAAAGCGCGAATGGTCAAAATGACCTATGGTGCTACGGACCTGCGGAATCCAACGGTGTGCTTCGCTAAGCGCGAGAGCCAGCCGTTTCGGAGGAGCTAATGTTACTTCACCCCATATATATATATATATATGCAGCTTAAGTATCTGTTTGTCTCCGATAGTTTATTGGTTGCTTGCGTAACTGTACTAGCCAACGGGGTGAAGTTGCTACGGCACAGGGTCAATTAAGACGTAGACAATTTCCTGTAAAACTTGCCTTTGCTATGATCCTCAATAAGTCTCATAGCCAAACGCTTAAGTGTGTTGGCTTTTTTTTTTTTTTTTTTTAAACCTGAGCCTGCATTTGGACACGGTCAACTTTATGTTGCCTGTTCAAGAGTTCGTGAAAGAACGGACGTAAAATTAAAAATAATTGATGGTCCTCTGCAAGGCGAGCTTAAAATATGGGAAGATCTACACAGAATGTTTTGTACAAAGAGATCTTTGACATGTGATTAACATTTTATTATTTAAATCACCTTTATTTATTGAGCTAGAGGTGGCTCTAAGAAATGTACCGCCAGTGATTTCCTTCATTGCACTCTACTTTAAGCAATTAAGCAAGTAGAAGGGGAAAACACCGTGGAGCAGTAAGTAAAAGGCAGTCCTCGCCGCGTGCCCCGGGTAATTCAGTTTGAATTAGCAGACACCTTTGCAAGACAGAATATATGGCTTTGAAGTTTCAATGGTCAGACAAATTAACACAGACTCCATAATATCAGAACTAATTCTTGGAACTGTGAGAAATTGAGAAAAGCGAAAACAGCAGATCCATTTTCAAGACCAAGGTTTTAACTCCGACATGCATGCTTACATACCTACATTTCTGAATCCGGTCCCGATAACAGAAGAGTACGTCATTTTTCAAGGTGATTGCGATAACACGTAAGTACGTTTTAGTCACATATATACATCTATATTGTGGATTTCCTTCAGGTTTACAGGAAAGTACTGCAAATACAGTAGAACCCCTGTATAAATACCTCTATATCAATGTGACATACTTTAGCAACCAGGTGCATATCTATTCATCTTCTTTATTTTTAAAAGTAACTCATCAGACAACCATTCGTATAACAATCCTTCAGTCAAACAACGTCAAAATTTTCATATGCATTCTTTTTGTTGTATTTCAAGTTCCAACGATTTTTATAATCAAACCGTGATTTTTTTTTTTTGGCCTTAAACTAAGTTTTATGGAACTAAGTTCGTTTCGCCGGCTCAAATCTCGCCAAGCAGACTTTATTGACGACAACATACAGTATACAAATAAAAAAATGTTAACAAATGTTAGTTCTAAGATTTTTTTATTTTGAAGGCATTTTGAAATTTTAATGTCATTTAAAAGTATTGTAAAAAATGTCAATAAATAAAGAATAACTTTGTAAAAATATATTAATTTAAGAATTTACTATGCTTTCATGGTTTAACATCCTGATTCGCCTTTTCATATCACGTGATCCAAAGTCTCCCGTAAATTACAAAAATCTCTCTCAGTAGTTATCTACATTAATTTCAAGTTGAATCTTAATTTGGAATACAAGTTTAAATGCAAGAATTATTTCAATTCGGACGAATGCTTACTCAGAAATTATGTAAATCTGGTGCTTTCTTCTACCGCTAGTCCATTTTCATTAGAATTGATGAATTTAACCCTTGACTTTGCCTTTTCTAAATTTTCGCCTTCGGTTGAGCGGTGTGATTGCATTCTAGTTGACTTAATTACGGCGAATGGCTTTAGGGCATAAAATTGAACTATCTAGTAAAAATTCTATGTAATTGTAGGCCAGTGAAAGAAACAATCAATCTGATAAGAAATGGTTGCGAATTGTTTTGAAAATGAGACGTAAAAGGTTACCAGCGAAAATATTACGTTTGGCGTTAGTCGTACCATTATTGGCGACTTTAACGCCTGCGCTGGCAAAACGGAAAAGTACCAGTTTCATGTATGCGTTGTAAGTATGCGCTTGTGGAATCTGACAGAGACGGAAGAAACTTTGCGAGGGAAAAAAAAAATTGCGAAAATACAGAATTTTGCCACAAAATCTCTTACATGAAACAACGAAGCCATACGTTAGTTAGCCGATTTTACTGAGGTTTGTGCGAGGAGGCTCAGCAATTCTCTGATTTATATTAAGAGAAAGCAGATCGCTGTGTACTTGGGGAAAACAATAAAGCAAAAAATTACAGATTTTGAAACGCATGTAATTTTTTTTAATGTGTCACAAAATTACTATTTAGCAACAAAAATTTTTATTAAAAAATGTTGACTTTTCATGTGTTGATGTTTGTCAAGTTAGATATATATCGATAGTTTCGGAATCTTTTAAAAAAAGTAACGTAAACACAAATTTATACCCGATAAGTAA